AAGTACGCAGGTCGCAATGCTGAACAATGCTGGACACTGGCCCTGCCTCCCCAGCACTAACCGCACCCTGACGGTCCGAACTTGCTCAACTGCATCCCTTGCTCTCAATCACTTTGAACGTCCAATCACGCACGGCCTACCAGACTCCACCCCAGCGCGAAGGGGGTGTGCTGGAATAGCGGCAGAAGCATCATGCAGTGCTCTTCCCTCATTCCTGCCCAATTGCCCCCATGAGCGTTCTGAGATTTGCAACTCATCCGGGCGGCGGACACTCTGTCGCCTACTCCGGACACAAGGCTCCCTTCACGATGGAGATTACTATCTCTGGCGAGGGCTGCATTCTGGTCAGCGCTACGTAGTCTGCGTTGACCACATAACTTTCGAGCCCACTTGTTTCTATGTAGGTATTCACCCTTGAGGGTGTTTTGCTGCACACTCATTCCACAGATAGGGGGGCCCCTAGCTGCTAAACAATGGCCGGAGTCTGTTTTCAGCCACCAACTTTTGCAAATTGAAAGAGAGTTACAGCGTGGTGAGACTGTCGAGATCGAGAGCACGGGACGCCCAAACACACACAGAGGGCTCTAGCAGAGTCCAGGCTCCCAGTAGTGTAGTTGGCCCCTTTGCACCAGAACCCAATTTGCCTCTACGGCTTGGGTCACGCTGCAGTGCCAGCCTCGGCGGAATTGTCGGCAGCCGACTTCTCTGTGGCTTTTAACTTATTGTTATCTGACACCTTTTGATTCGCCACGGTGTGCTAGTGGTAAGGCAGGCCCAATTGTCTCCCTACACCATTCGAAAATGGCAAAGGGGATTGTGATCCGCAACACAATTTACAGATGGGTGACTGTGAATGGTGGATGGAGCTCCGCTCTCAACGGGTCCATGTGACCTCTTCCAAAGAATGAATGAACATGGCAGATCAGGAGTACTTTGTAGAAGACAATAACCAATAGCGCCAGTAAAGGATAGACCAGTTGTCCCCACTTTGAGCCTTACCGAAATTGTTCTCGAGTGCGTAGGGTGTGGAACGCTTGCAGCGAGAGGGTCGTTTCGCGTGTCTCAGGATCGCCATTGATAACCGTCTTTTCCAAAGGGCTTGTTTGCATGGGTGTTGGGCAGTCAAACTTCGACCAGCCCACAGGCGAGGGGTCCTAGCTTTTGCACTTGAGGCATTGATTGACCAGGATGCCATTTGGAGCGAACGCTGACTGGTGGTGATACGAGCTTCGCATCGAGCGTGTCAAACAACTCTTAGTGCCTGGTGACACAAGATTACGTAGGAGGAATACATGGGGACGTCGGCAAGCGCCCTTTTCTGGTGAGGCAGCAGTGCCCCCCTTTGGGTTCGCTGCGGGTGAGTTTCGAGCTGACTGGTTTGACAGATTTCGAGCCACGTTGCCTGACGAGTCAACATTGAGGGTGGCAAGGACGCTAGGAGCACAACAGCGACAAGCCTGAGTGACATACTCTGACTTGTCCACGAAGAAGGATGCGTCTGTTGGTTGCGTGCAAAATAGGTGATCACGAGGTTGCTAGACCCCATTCGGACGTGGCGATGGGTTGGACTCTGGTACCACTGGCACCCAACTTGTCTTGTGGGAAATTTCTGCTTGATCAGATTTACGTGATTCGGAGATGACAACTCGATAGAGGCGCGATGAAGAGTGCGATGCGAGGTGGCAAAAGACCCAGCGGCAAATCGCAGCCTCTATGCTCCACCGTATGTTTCCCTCACTGTCTTATTGCTCCACCGTTTTTTCATATGTCACGTTACCGCCACTGCCAAGACCGCATCCAATGCCCCGGCGACTCCCGATTGCGTCTATCGAAATGTTGCCTTCCGAATCTGATCGCGATACTTTCCCATGATCGAGGGCCATTCCGTTACCGTGCAACTTTAGGCGGTTTTCTCTATATACTAACTTGAGGATATTCACTGTTGCGTGATCCAGCATGATGATCGTCGTCGTCGCCCCCTCCAGTCTATCTGCCGGGGATGGATCGAGATGTCCAGAAAGGTGCTCAGCATCGTCTGGACAAAGAGAGATTTACCGGCATACTCGTCGATCATCATGGCCCTGAACAGAGTTGAAGTCAGTCTCAGCTCCAATGGTCTGCTACTGACTTGAGATGCTGTCCCGATTTTGCCACACCTTGTTAAATGCCCGAGTCGAGACCTCAAGAGGCCCTCAGTTCCCCCTGTCCTCAAGCGAAAGGGTCCTGCATTGGCTTCTCAACAGAATTTTCGAGTTTGCCTTTCCCCCGCTGACAGCATTCGGCATGAGAAAGTGTCTGGAGACGGAAGGGATTCAGGTAGATCGCGTCTGGTGACGTCTCACCTTACTGACCCCTGGACAGCCCGAGTGTCAACATTTAGCTTCATAGGGCTTCCGGCAATGTTTCTTCAGGTCCGGGTTCGGATGCGCCCGTTCAGGATCGACGGTCCCGACCACCACTACAACAATAGAGGCCGGACAAAGGATCATTTTTGCAAGCAATAGTTGCCACTCAATTGGGGAAGTCCACACAACAAAGCCTTCGAAGTGCCATACTCCACAAACCACCGCGGAAAACGCTGTGACTATTGTTCGGGTGTGTTGGTGGTATATCGATTCCATCTGGAGGTCCCACCCCTCCATCGTTTTCCGTCAGTTACGGCACTCCTTTGGTCGACGCCCTACCCGTATAATCTGGTAAGGATAGCCCAAAATCCTTCCGCACCGAGGACGGGAGTGGAAAGACAATGTCTCGCGACCGATTGACCAGGCAGCCAGGGGCGAGTTCCGTCTGGGAGTCAACCAGCGAGGGGTTAAACGAAATTCCGCTGTCTTTGTCCACAACGCCAGCATCCCATGCCGCTCACCAATGCCGAACATGCCTTTCCTTTCTGTCGAAGGGGTGGCACTTGTAGTTTGAGACTCACTTAGCCATCCCCCTGCGCCATTTCTAACAATGCAAGTAAAGTCGTGGAATACTCGACCAGAAAATGTGGGACTAAATTATCATTATAATGTACTTGTAGATTGAGTACTCTCCTAAATGACATTACTGTAATCAGGGTGGCAGCGCAAACGGCGCATGCGAGGTGATATTGACCGTCACATTCTGAACCGTGCATCCTAGCTGCATCGTGAGCGTCCCATTCAATGCTGCTTTCAACCAGTCGAAAGCCCGTCCATCTCCGTTTGTCTCTTCGTCGAGGTGATTACCTGCTCTATTTCTCTGGTATAAGATATTGGCCCCTGCGCCACAGTATCTAGAGACAAGAGCGTCGGTATCACTGATCAGGCTGTATTCGTCCTGAATTGCCTTGTAGATAAACGTTGGCATTTGCGGGACACCATGATAGCCTATCAGACCATCGACGTTGAATGCCCTCTGGACGACCGGCTGCTGGAGGAAAGCCGTGCCATTGACAAAATAGTCGGCGAGGATGCTCTGGTTCATGAAGGCGACTGCCGCTTCCAGATACGACATGTTTTGAACAGCCAAGAACCCTGTTGCATTGTGAGGGCCCGAGAGTCTCAGGTTGCTGGTCAAGGCCTGGTACGCTGCAGGATACTGTTTCACCACGCCGAGGAGAAACGAAGGGATCAATCCTGCCGCCGGCGTCCCGTCAATGGTGTGTAGAATGCTCGTGCCGTTCGGGACCAGACCACCCAGTGCGACGCCGCTGAAGTTGAGTTCCGGGGCATATTGGACTTGAAGCTCTGCTGCCCATTCGCTCGCGATCGATCCTCCTGAGTACCCCCACATGGCATATCGTGCACTGGGAGAAAGACCAAATCCTGAAGACAGCACGGCTCGAACTGAATCAAGCGTGGCGTGTCCTTCTGCAACTCCTGACCCAAACGATGCCAAGGGACCTTCAAAATCGGGTACATTGACGAACCAGCCATGACTGAGTGCAGAGTTGATGTCCGAAAGGACTAGGCCTGTTGCCAGCTCGGATCCAAGCACGTAGCTGGGACTGTGGTTCACGTCCGCCGTGTTGTATGGAATTTGGTAAGATAGGAAGGCGTCGCTTTGGGAGCTGTTGTTGAAATTTAACGGCACGAATAAAGTTGTCACTGCCCAGGATGGCTGATATTGTGCATCGGTGGTGCGAAAGAGGATATTGTGCACCGATGAACTGAAATTGTAGATCGATGTTAGATTGCCTGTTGCCTCCCGCACCCGCAAGATTGTTCCTGGAGCGGCGGATTCATAGTTGGTAGGAGCAGTGTAGAACGTATCTTGTGTAGAGGACACTGCAAGGGACGTGGCCGGGAGTGCTGTGGAAAGACCAAACAGCAGAGCACAAACGGACAAATCAAGTAAGGAACGCATGATTCAACCTCTACCAAGGCAAGTTTTCATGCTTGGGTCATTCTTCATCTCAGAGCATGCCAGACCCCTTATATAGGGCTCAATCGACGGAGTGGTTGTCGGCACGTCCATCGAGCAACGGAGTTGAACACGGCGATATTGGAAGGTTGAGAAACAACTTTCACCTTTGGCTTCGCAGCAAGAAGTGGGCGCGGAGATATCGACATCCCGGACCTGCTCTGCTGAATAGGTGAATGGGTTATTCAAGTTGCACCGTTGTAAAACCAGGCCGACCGTTGACGCTGAGAAGGGCTGTATCTGGTTAGAAATAGACATAGACGCTAACCTTGGTTCGTATGGAAGTTTTCGCCTTGACCGACTTTCGTATTTTTTGGTCCATCAATGTTTCCACATCATTAATAACTGGCAGGAGTGCGATGTCCACGACGTGTGGCAAATGTATCTAGAAGATCTGAACCTCGGATTCACCAAGGTAGTAAAGTCAAACATGTGAAGCGTACATAGTAGATCGTGCACGTATGTCGGTAAGCATTGAATACCAACAAGAAGGCATGTCACGCATTATCCTTTCTCTCGCACGTCTCCCACAACCATCTATTGGTTCCTTCGTTTTCAACCCAAGTGATTATACTATTACTCTCACGAACCGGCCTCTTCTATGTACTACGATGATATTCGAGCACAGCGGTACTCCGCGAACGATCCAGCCTTTCCAGGTATATCAGAATACGGACAGTTTTGTTTCGGATATGCTTACGCTGCATGACAGCCACTTACTTCATGATTCTCATGCGGTCCGGGATGAGGACGACGCTCGCGAACGGATGGCCATCAGGACACTACTTCGAGCTGTGTCGCATCATTTTATAAGTGGTAGTCGACGAAGTGGTCCATTCATCCTCCGACTAACCGACTTCCATCAAAGCAATATCTTCGTGGACGACGACTGGAATATCACTTGCTTGATCGATCTTGAGTGGATCTGCGCTCTCGCAGCGGAAATGTTGTCAGTACCATACTGGCCTACGAACTGCAGTGCTGATGATACCATCGACGAACGTTACGACAAATTTGATGAGGCGCGACAGATTTTCTTAGGGATCATGGATGAGGAAGCTAAGAATTTACGGCATGAGCATGACATCCAGATCACAAAGACAATGAGAGACTCTTGGTTGTCAAAACGAGTGTGGTTTGGGGCCTGCATAAGATCTCTTAATGCCTGGCCCTTCATATTTGAGGATCATCTTCTTTCAAAATTCTCCACTGGCAAAGAATTGGTAGCCGACTTGAAGCGGATATCGACCCTATGGCAAGAGGAGGTCGACCAAATTGCGAAAACTAAAGTTGTAGAAGAAGAGGGGTATCAAGAAGAGCTTCGGCGCCTTCTCGAAGATGAAGGGCTAAATACGTTAATAGACGCATAGGCTTTCTGGCTTTTCTTCGTGGTGATGCACGACGGAACGGAATAATGATCCAGCGTCTCAGCCAATGACAGAGTGGTAAATGGACCTGCGCACTATTTAAGCTAGTCCTAATTCGAGCTTGATCTCATCCTTCGACAACGACACCAACGGTACCTCGACCGAAGCTCTCTTGGATTAATCAACACTTAGCGTGCATTGAAGAGGGTAATCTGATCCTCCATCATCTCATGAACTTGAGTCAGCGCATCCTTCACGTTTGCACATCTGCTATTGTCGTGTCGGCAACATTCCAATACGTTAGGTTCGTGACCGTCGCACTGGGCCATCGCAGGTGCGATCAAACACACCGGCACTTGTACAGAGAACAGTCTTGACCTGGAGCGAGGCACTTATTTTTGCTTGACTATTACTGCATGATAAAGACCAATATTTGCCATCATTTTCGATCCCAAACTCGGGCAACGGGCGTTCTCCCTTGAGCTCCTCGCATCATGACCCGTCGCAAGCCCATACCTTTGGGAGGTTCAACCTCTCATCTATCACAAGGTAGTGGCCATGAAATCAACCGCGCTTCAAGTAGGGCAAGCGAAGAACGCCCAGAAGCCCCATCTCATCCCACAGCAAGCCATGCTTCTATCCCACCGTCACTTTCAGCCAACCTCTCCGACCTCTCCTCTGGGTCCACGCGCCTGATCAGCACCTCATTTCTGATCCCCGGACGTGGCAAGCCCCAGCACAATATGTCTGTGATTGTACAAGACGGGACCATAACCTCGATCCAACCCACGGCATCAGTGCCGCCACCCTTCAAAAACCTTCCGACCACGTTCGTCCCGGTCCTGATGCCCGGTCTGTGGGATTGTCACATCCACCTCCTGGGCAGCAAGACATTCAACTTCTCCGAGATTGCCACCCAGTCGACGGCTCTTGCTGGCGCCAGAATTGCCCGTAATGTACACGACATTTTAATGAGCGGGTTCACCTCCGTGCGCGAACTTGCTGGCTACGGGCTTGAAGTCTCCAAGGCGATCGAAGAAGGCACCCTCGTCGGACCAAATATATACTCTTCAGGAGCTGCGATATCCCAGACTGCAGGACACGGAGACGTTTTTGACCTACCCTGGGGATTCGTCGGCTCTCTCTTTGGAGTGAGGGATACTCAAGCGAACGGATTGTCCCCAGGTACAGGACCGATGATCATCGCCGACGGCATCGACGAGTGTCGACGCGCCGTCCGGCTGCTAGTTCGACGAGGCGCCAAATGCATCAAGGTTTTCGCGAGCGGCGGCGTGCTGAGCATTGCCGACGACCCTATGCGCCAACAGTTCTCACTCGACGAGTTGAAAGTTATTGTGGAAGAGGCCAGGCGTGCAGGGCGTGTCGTGGGCGCGCACTGCCACGGCAAGGCCGGAATTATGGCCGCATTGTACGCGGGCGTCCACAGTATCGAGCACGGAACGTACATGGACGAGGAGTGCATCGAGCTCATGAAGGAGCGAGAGGCCGTGTACGTGCCGACGCGGACGATCGTCAAAGTCGGCGTCGACCATCCGGAGCTCATGTCGCCGGAATCGTACCGGAAGATGCTGGAGACGGCGAAGTACCACCGTACCGCGTATCGTCTGGCTGTGCAGTCCGGCGTCAAGATCGCCTTGGGTACCGACCTGGGCATCAGCACGCCCGCAACGCACCCACTGGCGCACGGCCGAAGCGGCGGCGAACTCTCCTACGCGGTCAGCGACGGCGGCATGGAGCCCTTGGCGGCCATTGAAGCCGCAACGGCCATGGGGCCCGAAGTGCTCGGATCTCTAGGCATGGCGCCTAAGAGCGGTAGGATCGAAGTCGGGTACGACGCCGACCTGATCGCCTTGAACATGAATCCTCTGGAGAACATGGACGTGTTCAAAGAGCCAAAGAACATCACGCATGTGTGGAAGGGCGGGCGGCTGTTTAAGAGTCCCTCGCATGTCTGAAACCCCAGGAGAGAGAGAGAAAAAAAAGTGACAATGGTAGCTCCACGCCCCGTCATGAGATTCCTTGCCAAAAAAAAAAAAAAGTTCCGACCTTCCAGTCACACAAAATATCGCCCTTACGATCTATCCTTTTCTCCTTCCCGCGATTCCTCCACCTTTTCTTTCCTTTAGTATTGAGATTGAATGGTCATTCCAGAACCAGTTCCGGCGTTTGGGGACTCAATCTTTCACAGATATCTCTGCATCTTTGCGTCACTGATCAAACGAATGTCAGCTAGCGCGCGCAGAAACTAACGAGCAGGCAATGCGGGCGGTGGGAATTAGAAAAGTATTCGGTACGGTGCTTACAGCGATTGTGGGTGCGCATGCTCAGTCAAAGGCTTTACGCTGTCTTCATGGTCGGCACATTCACCGTGGCGAGACGCCATGATGGGAACAAGATAATGGAGGGAAAACAGGAGAGCATGACCTTGACACCTCACTTCTTGCGCGGTCTCTTCCATCGACGCCGACGACGCAAATTCAGTCTAAATCTAGGTGGGAGTCTTTCTCTAACTATGTGCGAAGAGCAGTCTTCACTATTGAGGCATTCCGGAATGGGGGCAGATTTTGCACGAATGTGGTGACTCGAGGGGACCGAAAGTGACAATCGTCTCCTTGAGATTGTGTCTTCCACGCCTGACTACGCCGTTTGGAGTGTCTCTTTCCAAAGACCGATGCGAGCACAGAGAAAATGGCAGGTCGAGGCTGTGGCCATGTCTTCATGTCCTTGTTGACTGGCGCAGCAGATGCTCATCCTGACTTTTCTCCGACTGCAGAGCCGTCATTATTGAAGGATGTCGGTGGAGTGCTTGCTGATATTCCCCGGGCTCGCCTGATTTCTTGACACCGTGTTCACCGCGGTAGTTGATCGCCGCGACAGTCATCGTCGTCCCCCTTCTGTCCCTTCCAGAAAAACCACCCGATAAAGATGCCGAGTTTCAAGCCAGCTGCAAGCCACAGTGCTCCGCCCATTCCGGCCGATGATTTGTACATCTCACCACCAAGGATTCCGCCGAGGAAAAGTGCCACGATGCACGCCGCTCGTCTCTCCTGCTTTCTCTCGCTCACCACCACAAACTCCCACAGACTGGAGCTCTTCCTCCAGGAATCCCGGATGTTGTACAGGTCCGCGCAAACGTCGTGGTACAAGGCACTCAGAACGATTGTCGGCAGCTCGACCACGGAGAGCATTCTCGACAGGGTGACTTGCCCGGCTGCCTGGAAGGAGATCAAGGCGATGGGACACAGATCCAAGAAATTGATCATGGACGAAGGTATCTCGTCGTTCCCGGAAGAGAAGGTGCCAGCGACGAATGGTTGATTTGACACTTCGTTCGTGGAGACCAAACTTGCGGCAATGACAATGAACACGGTCTGGGTAAAGAATGACACGATGAGATTGACTCTTCTCCGGGACAATGTTGATTGGCCAGCGCCTGCAGGATAGCGATGCAGGCCATTGAAGAAGAGCGCACCCAAGCAAAATGCTGCAATGGACGTCAGGGACTTGTAATACTGCTGCTTGTGACTGGCTTGTGGCTGGCCACCCAGTCCGAGGGCGGCGAAGACGGTGTTTCCTAAAGTGTTACAAGTCAAAGATGGTGATCGAGCGCATGTTTGAGGTGAGAATTTTCAAGAGGCAACATACCGGTTTGCATGTTGACGAAACAATTCCACGTGTTGAATGCCACACTGTCAATGAGACCTGAGATGAGGAAGCAGATGACGAGGACCACGCTCATGTACGAGGAATCAAGGTCCTGGGAGAGATATCTTTGCGAGGCATCTGCCGTTCTTGTCAACCTGTCCATGCAACCCATTCTGCTTCCCGCACTTTTTTTCAGATGGCGCGCTGACGTCTCTGGAGGGAATTCCGGTGTTGAACTGAAGGATGGGTTGAAATTCTTTTATCGTCTCAGAAAACAGGTTCGCCTCGTCAAGACCATATTATACGCCACGATCAAAGCGCCAAGGCCAGTTTCGTTGCTCGATGTCGGATGGACTTGCAGTGTAACAAACGGCTCGGAAGAAGGGGTTTGATCTCTTGTATCCGGGAGGAATGGGGAGGGGACGTGGTGCAGTATAGGAGACGGTGTCGTACTGCCAAGATGCAGGTAGGGGGGACACTTTGGGCGGACCCTACAGTTCAATCCAAGAGGATGGTCGCAGTGGTGTCGCAGTGATGATATGGGAGATACGCCATGCATTTGTTCGCAACGCACATGCCAGCGGCCGCGAGTCGTTTGGAGGTGGGTGAGTGAGTGAGTGAGCCACTCTTCTCCATTCCCGATTGACACACACAGGAAACTGACCACATCGCAGCTCTCAGATGGTTCATAAAGTTCATCGCAAGGCTGCGTGTTTAAACCACCCAGTTCCCCGCCTCTCCCACGCTCCAATGGTCATTTTGCCAGCGCTCAATCTTGGACCTCCGTCTAGTCCACCCATGTGGTTACAAGTTGAACAATCTTCGATGGAAAGAGATGGAGTTACAGCGTTGTATCACCCTCTGCGAGATGGCGCGTCCTGGTCTTGGTTCGACGCAGCAATCCGTGCCATTCTCTTCCCACAAACGAATCCTCAGCCTCCAGCAAACGGTGGCGAAGAGCCAGACTCTCAGAAGGCGTTGGGGGAAAGAGATTGGAAGGGAAAGCGAGACTTTGCCGACTGAGAAAACAGGCGAGACATTTGCCCTCGTATAGCAAGCGAGGTTTTGCTCACGGAGAGTGTCTCAGGACTCGTCTACTGTGCGAGATGCCGCGCTTGACCAGGTTTCTGTTGCTGCTGCATATGGAGTTCTTTACACACAGTAGTTCAATAAACAAAAAGCATAACTGACCGCAACACACTGCTCGAGGGGAGCATATCAACTTTGGCGCATTAAAACACCAAGAAGCCAAGGTCATCGCGTCTTGACGCTGACGAACCTAGAATCTGAGGGCCGGGTTTCAAAAATTCAACAGTGCTATTTCAACGGACATCTGCGGTCTATCTGTGTTGATTGGTCATTTTGTCGACCTTTGAAAGCTATCAAGATTGCAAAGACAACCGCTTGTGGAAGATGAAACCCTCTTCTTCCCAGAATCTTCCGTGGTGGCCACCCGTGCGAGTCACTGCCACATGTCAACAACAGATGAATTAGGTCTTGACATCCGGTTCGGTTCTGCCAATGAATTTCTGGAGTTGCAGCAGGTCAATGGCGAGTCCGACCGAGCCCTTGAGATAGTCCTGTGTGTCCTCGCCAAGCTTGCTCTTGTCCTCCTCGAGTTTCTCGACGTAGAGGCGGATGGTGGCACCGCTGCTGCCCGTACCCGATAATCGAACAACGACTCTTGTGCCGTCGTCGAATTTGAAATAGATACCTTGGTTCTTCGACACCGAACCGTCGAGATCGGTGTATGAGAAATCGTCGGCTTCCAGGATCTTGCGGCCTGAGACCTCTGAACCGACCGTGTCGGACTTTCCGATCTTTTCTTTGAGATACTTCACCATGTCGTTGGCTCCGTCACTGCTCACATTCTCGTAGTCGTACCGAGTGAAATACACGCGGCCATATTCATGCCAGAACTGCTTTTGGATCTCTGCAATAGATGGGAACTTGCCAGTATCTTTCCCCACCCCAGCAATGATGTTGAGCCAAGCAGTGATGGCCCACAAGCCGTCCTTTTCTCGGATGTGATTTGAGCCAGTTCCGAAGGACTCTTCACCGCAGATTGACATCTTATTGGTATCGAAGAGGGCGCAGAAAAACTTCCATCCCGTGGGAACGACATAGAGGCTCAAATTCTGCTTCTTGGCCACAAGATCAAGCGCCGCCGACGTGGGGAACGATCTCGCTAGACCATAAACACCCTGCTTCTTGAAATAAGGGATATACTTCTGAGCATAGTGGGCGATAATGGCCAAGGAGTCTCCGGGCGAGACGAAAGCATTCTTGCCATAAATCATGTTTCTATCGCCGTCCCCATCCGAAGCAGCGCCAAAGTGGATGCCCTCCTTGTCAACTCTTTCGACCAGAGAATGGGCGTACGTCAGGTTGGGATCTGGATGACCGCCGTTGAAGTCGGGGCTGGGTTGGCAATTCTGAGTGCTTTCAGGTCCCAAACCGAGCTCCCCTTGGAATATGGCCACCCCGTAAGGACCAGTGACCCCAGAGAGACCATCGAAGAGAACTTTGAAGTCGGGTTGAGACTTGAAGAAGGATCGGATGAGGTCAAAGTCGAAAATGTCCTTCAGCATGGCCATGTAGTCCGCTACAGAGTCGATAATCTCAACTTCGAGATTGCCATACTTCTTGGTGCCAATCGTCGACAGATCCACTTCTGGGATGTCTGCTATTTTATATGAGGTAAGGGACTTTGACTTCTCGAAGATCTTGTTTGTCACGGATTCGGGGGCTGGGGCACCGTTGGAGAGGTTGTACTTCATGCCGAAGTCTTGTTTGGGACCTGTGGCACTGTTAGACCTAGTTTTGACACTACCCGACATGTCTTGACTTACCACCTGGATTGTGACTGGCGGTGAGAAGGATACCACCCGTGGCCTTTCTGATGCGAATGATATGGCTGGCAGCGGGAGTACTGAGAATACCATTCTGACCGATCAGAAGCTTCTTCACACCGTATGCAGCACCAATCTTTGCAATCAGCTGCACCACTTCGGGATTCCAGTATCGACCATCGCCACCAATGACAAGAAAGGCACCGTCTGCGCCTTCAGGAATGGACAGGAGGATCGAGGTGACGAAGGATTCGCTGTAATGTGGCTGTTGGAAGACGGTGACCTTCTTGCGAAGCCCTGAGGTACCAGGCCTGCGGACAGAAGAGTTAGAAGACAGTCGTCACCGATGAGGTGTTAGTCTCGAGCTTACTTCTGGTCGGTGAAGGATTTAAACTGGACTTCTTTCACGTTTCCCATGGTGAAATGCTTGACGGCTTGTGAGGCTGAAGAGGAAGGGTATGGCTTTGAGAGTTGGTAAACAGTTAGACAAAATATAACAGGAAGGAAACTTGGTAAAACTCAGCCAGCTGGCCGGGAGAAAATTCTGTTGAATTGTAGATCCCTTCAACCGCAACCGCTGGAAGATGAAGCCACGAGGAAATGATCGCGGGGCAATAATTTCCTAGCAAATCCGCCATTAACGAAACACTTGCATGCGATACGTCATCGCTATTCCTTGCCCTTTGGGGCCACCAGGACCATCATTATTTCTCCGATCAGTCAACCAGGGCTGATGATTGGCTGGCTGATGCTGCAGGTCGACATCCTCACACCACTCTCGACTTTGTTGATGTACAGTTCGCACCACACCTTACACCCTTCTTGTAGATTGTGCGCACAGTCAAGGCTGGCTTGGTAAGCTAAGTGAGAACCAGGGGAAGGTGAGTGACCCAAAAAGTATCGTGGCCAGATAGAGTAGGAGCTAGGGCAAACGGTAACGGTTGATGAGTCTCATCCACCTCTGAGAAAGCCAAAAGCGGATTACAAGCATGGTCATGGGTTTCAGTGGACACTTGGGACGGATGCTTCAGTTTTCTTGCCAAAATGTAAGTTCCCTGGTTTTGCACGTTTGAAAAGTTTGCTCAAAGGCGACAGCCAGTGGAGACGAGTTCATGACTCTGCTTCACAGCCGTCAACATCCATCGGCATTTAGACTGCAGACATCCAAAGGTATCATTTCTCTGTCATGGATGTCCTGGTTTTTTGGGGGGTGTGTAAATGGCTGTGTAAACGTGAACGAGACCAAGAATAAGAATGCTAGATTGATACCAGAGGCGCAGTGTGATCTGCTTCAGTGTCCAAAGACGTAGCCACTCAACAAGCATTGCAAGCCTAGCGAAAGAGAGCAGGCAAAAGCTGTGTCTGAAGCCCGTTATGGAATCAGTCATATTATTGGACGGCTTCTGTTTTCTCCTCCTGGTATAGTTGTGACTACTCCGTACTCTCGCGAGAGGGTCAACGGATACAGCCTCGTCTCTCCGCAGCTTGATCAGGCTGGGTCTATCCGGATAAGGCTTAGTGATATCTTGGCATTTCTGCCTCGTCAAAGAAGTCACTGCAGTTGACGGAGCCTCTATGAACTCGGTCCAAGAGTAAATTAAGTTGGACAATTCTCTCTTCATCCACGTTGTCAATCTGGACATTTTCATTACTTCCGTCCAAACTCCTTGTTCATCTTTGTTCAAATCAACCCTGCCACTCATTTGAGGACCGTCCTCCTCCATCGCGTGCGCCATTCCCCCGATAGCTCACCGTTCCTTGCCGAGTCTGCGGAGCAGGCAGTCCCTCCTATTCCCCGGCTCGCTGAATGCACATGAGATCTCATTTGGCGGTGGAGTTGACGCTTTGGTAACTGTAGCATCTCCAATTCGGGAAAAGTTGGATTCAAGATTCACACAGCGCGGGTTGTTGCCTCACGAATCATATCGGAGATTTGTTCTCCGCCATCTCTGCGCGCAGAGAGCGGAGAATCAACTTTCCCTTAAGGAGCCTTCAAATTTCTGACAGCCACCATGCCCTGCTTTAAAGGTCTTGCTGTGAGCATACACACTCCCACAGGGCCTTTGCCAGAATACTCTGTACAGAGAACCTCTCGTCTCTCAAGAATCAGTGCCTACATTCCCGTTCCACCTGCACAAATCCCTGCCGACTCTCTGACGGGAAAACCCGAGCAATCGACCTTTGCCATCTCTATCACCCTCCTCACCCCTGGTCAGGAAGTACCTTACTCCACCCCAAAGGCAACACCAGATGTTCCGAATCCGAAACCCAAACTTGTTGGGGGCCTTCCAGGTCACACAAGCGAACGAGGAAAATACACAAGTTCAGTTGGGCCTTATGTCCCCTTGACAACCTCCCCCAACGAAACTATTGCCGCCTACATTTACTTTGATGGCCGAGCCAAAGAGGAGGTTGCAACACTACTCAGAAAGGGCGAAGAGACGTGGGTGAATTCCCGATGGGTCAGTGTTCCTGAGAAAGAGGGAGGTGGACTAGCAGAACGCGAGTTTTTGTTCCGTGAAGTCGGTCTCGAACGCTGGTTGAATGGTCTGGACCTCGATGGAAAGGACGCCGCGGCAACAATTGAAAGACGCAGACAGAAACTGGAGAGAAGGCGACGAAAGCGGAAGGAAACCACCGGGAGCGATGATGACACCAATGGACTCTCAAAGAAGGACAAAAGAAAGAACACCATGCGCTATGGCGAAGATGGAGAATTGAAGGACGTTTCCGATGACGAGGGCTCGGTAAGCGAGAGCGGTTCCTCAGAAGACGATGATGACCCGATACCAGAAGCAGCTGGGCAGATCAAGGTTGCCTTGTTCCGAGTGTTGGCTTCTGGAGAGATCAAACGCGGAGAATATTCACCTCAATTCGATGCCCACGATGACTCAGAAGGCTCAGACGTCGGAGAAGGCGCTGGTAATGGTGAAGGCAAGAACCGAGCCGATGTCGACCACACTACCAGCTTTGCCAAACCCAAGACCCTGGACCCCAAAACCATCTCAACACAGACGGTGACTGGTATTGACCCTACCGATAAACCATATGCTGTCTTTACATTCCTTTATCGGGGAGAACGCCAGTTACAGAAGATGGGCATCCTGTCTGGACCCAAAACTGATAAGGCAGCGGTCAGCACGAAGAGACGTAGCATCGCGGCAGAGCTTCCCAAACTTGGGCCCCTGAAGAAAGAAGGTACTGCCGGCTTCTCAAACTTCCGCGACTCAGAACGTCGACGGAGTCGAAAGGGTAAAGGAACAAGCGATGATGAGATGGAAAGCGAGAGCGACGATGACGGTGCTGGCATCATTGGCAAGATGGAGGACATCAATGATGCAGATGCAAAGAGAGATCCGAGCATGCTGAGTCCAGAAGATGCTGAGCGGACAGGTCAGGTTGCAGAGGGCATCCGTAAAATGAAGGTAAGAGACCCTTCGCCGTTGAAAATCCGGCATGGGCTAAGGTATCATCAGCTCAAGCGACAGCATTCGGCGGAACCGCTGAATAGCAACGGTATAACAGAACCTCGCAAGAGCTCGAAATCTGGTAGCACTTCGGGTAATTCGACACCCAAAGCTGGCGCTGTTGAGCTTGGTACGTCACCTGCAGGCACGAATACGGGGTCCATGGGTTTGAGCAGCAGCCTGGACGTTCAAAAGGACGATGAGAGTTTCATGGTCGGCAGTCCGATGAAGCGACATCGGGCTAGCATTGCGGACTTTGACGATGACATCAAAAGCCGATTAGGGGGTAGCACGTCCACGTTTTCGAACGCTATCGGCGAGGTTCTCGGGACTTCGGGACCATCTCAACCGACTGCGGCTAGTTCAACTGCTTCTGGCCTGCAGTTCGGAGGGCCGTTGGTCAAAGAGTCGACAGCTGGCGACGATGAAGAGCTCTGAAAGCCCTTTAACAAGCCCACAAACTCTATGCCGCGAGTTGACCATGGACCCAGAATTTCGTCCACGGCTTCCGAAGACTTTTATCGACAGACGTGTGTGGATACTTCATAAATGCTGCCTGTCAGTACTATGCCACGCGCTGAGAATACAGGAAATGAGAGCCGCATACGGCGGCTTCTGTCAGCAGTCGATTTGGAAATTCGACTCTTCCACTTTCTTTTGTCAAGACCGCAGAATTTGGAGTCAGGATGATAAGATGGAGAGTGAAGATACACGCAAGCAAGGGTTGGCCGTCGAATATTTTGATTAATTGTGCGAAACAAACGCCTGCAGCACGAGCCTGTGCTTGGAGAATGGGATGCAGGACGTGATCGCAGAATAGATCCCTCCGAGAGGCTGCAGGCATGGAGGGCATGGGTTAGGGAAAGGATGCAGAGGCTTGTAAACAGTCTCCAAGGGTGCTTCAGGCCAGAGAGGGATCAACAGGCCAAGGGAGCGGGGGAAAGGCATGAGCATGGACGTGGACGCATGACTGCCGAGTCAACCCGCGGTGGTAAATGTACCAATTTCCCAGGCATTGACGAGTGTCCTTTTCGTGTCCCATCAAAAAGATAAACCTCATACAGGCACGATCCAAAAAGCTTGGAGCTGCCAGCCAGCAAACCAGGCCGGAGGTCCAATGACATTATCAAATTGTTAAAAGCACCTATTGATCGCAAGCTGATCTGGCTGTCCATGGCCCTGTAGTTCCCGGCAGCCCTGGTATAGTGTTATAGATGTAGTTTGTTGATATGTGACGGGTAAAGAGGGACCTGCGTGGGTGGAGGGTGGAGTTCCACTCCGGACTCCTTCCGATTCCGCTGCAATTTCATTGGTCGGGAATTCTGTGGGTCTTGGCCCCGAACAGTATTGGACTTAGGGTACATATCGTCATCACCTCTCGCGTTGTACCGTCCTTTCTTTGCCTTCGTCACAAATTCTCTCCCATAGAAACGTTGCCGCACTAGTGGCGAAGGGTAACAGATGATCAGATAATCGTCATTATCCTTTCCCCTGGGCTCAATCACCCGTTGGATGAGGTTCGTTTAGTTCCTCGTGGGGCGAAGTTCCTCTATTCCTCCAGGTCTTTCTTCGATGCAATGTTGTCGAGCAGCTCATTTTAATTCATGCGAGGCCTGTCAAGTCAGTTTTCCCCCCAATTTCAAAGTGGGTATATGGGTCCAGAGCCTTTGTTCCAGACAGTCGTCGTTGACAGGCCGAGACTGGAGTGAAAAACATATGTTGAGAGGTTGGTCAGGTTAGACACAAACCTCAAACTACAACCGAAAAACTTATCAAGGAAGCACCAGCCATGGCACTCACCCGATCTACCGATCCGCTGGTCTGGATCGACTGCGAGGTAGGTGTACACACCGAGTGAACCCCTTACTGGCCCTTTTCCAGCAACACAAAAGAATCACCCCTGTTTACCTGTTACAACCATCATTGCTGAAATTTCCCCCCCAACACAAGGGGGAGAAACTTCTAATGAAGCCTCACACGCACATCTGTCTCCGACCGCACCTCGTTGATTTGCAATATGTTTACCGCGTCTTTTGGCCCATCTACCCCTATCCAACTTCATCTATGGCCATTGCTTCTGCGTCGCGCTGACCGAAGACTGGCTCCCAGATGACGGGTCTCAACCCCGCCAAAGATACAATCATGTCCATAGCGTGCATCATCACTACCGCCGACCTCGCTCCGCTGGACACAGAGGGCTTCGAGGCTGTGATATTCCACACCCCGGAACAACTCTCGAGGATGTCTGAGTGGTGTGTCGAGACGCATGGCAACTCCGGTCTCACACAGGCATGCCTGGTTTCGTCGACCAGTGCTGAAGAAGCTGCCACCAAGCTTCTCGCATACATTAAACATTACATCCCCGAACCAGGTCGAGCTCTTCTGGCAGGGAACAGTATCCACGCTGACCGTGCTTTCTTGGCTATTCCACCTTGGAACGTCATCCTGCAACACCTCCATTACCGACTGTTTGATGTCTCGGCCATGAAAGAGATGGTACGACGCTGGGCGAGTGATTCAGTGTTGATGGCGGCGCCAAGGAAAGAACTCAAACATACCGCCCGAGCAGATGTGTTGGAGAGCATCCAGGAGGCGCAGTATTACAAGCGTTTGATCGAGGGAATGAGTCTGGGCATACCCGGTGAGTACTGATCTGTATCCCCAGCCACACTTTCCCTTCTCGTTTCACTTTCTTCTACTTCAAGCAGGAAGCAGCCATTGTCTGGCCGCCTCCATCGTTCGACGACTGTCCATAAGAAATGACTAACAGAATTCCGTCTTCCCTCAGTACCTGCAACGTCGATGCCGATCCAACCAGGGTTACAACCGCTAATGCCTGCTCCCGGAACAAAGCAGGGCCAAGAAGCTCTCGATATGCTCCGCAACAGCGGCACAGCCATAGGCGACGTTGGAAATCTTGACCCAGGGTTCAGGACCGATATACCATGATCGGCAAATGACAACCCTGTTCGATATTCCCTTTTTTTTCCCCGCGAATATCGGCCATTTCAAAATTCTTGTACAAACATTCCACAGAAGTAAACTACATATATACATACGTCTTGGAAGATAAGGACTGAATATAGCCTCATTCTGTCTTCCCTTTTTTTGTGGGCCTTCGGTAGGGCATTTTAGGGGGAAGATGTGTGTTTTTCTACCCACCATCATCGTTGGTTATCCTAATGGGTGCTAATGGCTTCTCCTCGAGGATCGCGTGCCTTCACTTTAGCGGTAAGGGCTACGGCAGTGGCTACTCACCCCTACTACATGTTACTCAGCCAGACACTCTCATCACACGCCAGCATCGATACCTACTTGTTAGCCTCACAGCGTAGGCATGCTCGGTGACGCTCGACCGATGGTCTTAACTCACTTGATACTTCGCTCATAGCCCCCTCCCAGGATCCCATGTTCCTTCTCCCCACTACATGCACTTCGGTTCTTTCCAGAGCACACCTGTTGAGCGCTGACTGCTCACTATCAGTGGTTTTCCAGCCGTGCGCGCCTAGGGATCTGGCGAATATGAAGTATGGCATGCGGATCCTGGCCCCTGTTCCGGAGGGAGAACTGACGGATATCTATGGTGAGAGGGCAAACAGGGTAGGAATGTACATTGCTCGGTGGAAGCCGCTGATACCAGGAAACAATCTCTATCGTCAATCCTCTGTCACATTATCCGCGACCAAGCTCGGGCCAGAGAGATACCCACCTCCACCCTCCCAGCTCTCCTTTCGCGCAAGCGCCACAGCCGTTTTCCGCCCTCGCATCATCGTCAGATCTAGGAAGTCACTAGGATGCTCGAACTGGTCTCAATACCGACAAGGCCGTGGCTGACGACTTGGACAACTTCCCAGTTGAAAAGGCCCGTCTGCGCGTCATGTGGTTTCCTATGACCGCCACAATCTGCTCCGTCGTGGCTTTCGGCTGGGCCCTCCACTACGAAAAGGTCTATTAGTTGGTCCGGCGCTGTCGAGTTCCTCCCTCATAGGACGACCAAGACTGACGGACTCCGCCGGTATAAGCACATCGCCACATCGAACCTTCGGAGCCAGTCGAGGAATGGGACGACAGGAATCGTCTATATAGTATATACCCGTACCTGGTTGATTCCGCGGGACATCCTGGTGGTCCGTCGCGGCAGATGTAAGTCTTTCTTCTCCCTCTATCTCCCCCCTGGTTGATGAAACGCTCACGAATGTTTCGGCAGAGCGTACAATGACATGCTATACCTCTGCGAGAGATACGGCCCATCGAATACTTTGGAGACGTACGACCCGCGGAAGGATATTGGAATCACAGGCACGCATATTCCCTTTGTCATCAGTCCGTTGAAATGAGTCAGTGTTGGTCGAGTACTCAGAGAGAGGGCGTGGGAGAGAGAGGACCTACCTCCTGATCATGATTCGTCAAACGTAATTAATTGATGTGTATCACCACCTGAAAACGAAACGAAAACAAATCATTGGTAGATTCTATGCAGATTGGTAGAATAAGAATGCCACATCAACAAAACATACAATGACCAGACCAGAAACGGGACTTATGAAGGAGACATGACATGACAGATACATTATCGATAGATACATACTCGGATATACATACATGGCGAGTATAGGCAACGGGCAACAGGCAACAGGCAACAGGCATCGAACGGGGTGATAACGAATATGGTTTCATACCCTGCTGGGTAGACTTGACCTCTTTCTTGGGGACCATACCATACCATACTATATCATACCGTAACACAACGCACCGCACCATACTATACTATACCAGAGCCGGAGCAGGAGCTGGAGCCGGAGCAGGACGGAGCACAAACTCCAAGAAATCTTGTCAAGAACAATCAAGAACACGGACAAGAACCAGTATAAGAACAGGTAAGAGGACAAGAACCTCGCTTCCCAAGGACAGGGACAGGAACAGGAACAGGGACAAGGATATGGACGGCCCCTGCCCACGCCTGTGCGACCTAAATACCTACATAATTATACATCGTGATGCTCCCAACCGGTGCATGTTGTGGACTGTGCCGTCCCCCGTCCCCCATTTCCAATTACCCCTTGGAGTGACGCCGCCTGGTTCCTGGTTGAACGGATGGAAACATTTTGCTCGTAATACAATAACTCCCTTCCCTTTGGGGGGTGTGTATGTCTTGAGCTCCATGACACATGACACTTTATAGGTGACCCTCCTTAGTCGATTACCTCCCTGAGGTCTCTGCCCTGGCAAGCCGATACCTCACCGCCTCCCTAACGACTTGGCCGCCCCATACGCTGTCCTCTCCACCCTTGGAGAACTCCATGCCAGCCACATCCCCTCGCTCTTGCTCCGCGAGCAGCACGCTGAGGTCCTTCTTCTGACTGCTGAGCCACCTCTCGATGAATTTCTGCGGATCCTTTGCCATGCTCGTGAAGAACTGGTGCCGTGCCTTGTGGTGATGTAGCGCTTGTACCACGATGGCGAGTTCGTCGTCCAACTTGGCAATCGAGCGGAGTGTATTTTGGTGTTCTGGGTTTTGGGTGAGTTTGAAAATCAATGGACGGAGAGGGTCTTCAACCGCGACCTGCACATCGTAAACCGTGGGTTCGGGATTCTTATGAAATTCCTCATCCACGCGGATGGTGTAGGGTAGTCGCACAGGCGGCAAGGGGTGTAGGTGGGGGACTAGCCGTTCAGCCGCCTGAGGGAAAAAGAACGTGTCGGTATCAAAGATACGTTTGAGTGAGTCGTCGCATTGAATACTCCGGCGTTCTTCATCTTCTTGCAAGCCCATGGCGCGCACATAGTCCCAGATACCCATGACGACTTCGGCACGCTCCGCCTCTTCCATATCCAGAGTTTCAGCCAGAGCCTTGGAAAGGCGAAATCTTTCGGGCTGTTCGTCGCGTGTTAGGCAGATTGTAATGTTGACGTTTTCGTCGGATCTCCGCTCGAACTCGATGCTGTCATGTTCGCCAGATTGAGCGCTGTTTTGACCCTTCTTCCACGTGATCATCTGATTGTTATCGCCCAGGCTGTCTTTCGGGTTTTCGAACTCGACCGTCATCCCCTTGAAGAATTGTGTGAATTTCTTGGAAGGCGGTCTAATCTTCTTCTCTTTGGTTTGGTCTTGACCTCCCATCTCTTCATCTTCGTCGTCACTGTATAAGATGTCATCGTCGTCATACTCCAGTAACCTTCCTTGAATCTTGACTCTATAAGAAGGCTCGCCGTTGGAGTCGAATGTGAAGCCTTCCTCATCCGGATTCAGTTGCCAAGGTTGGCTTGACACCGTATTAGAGATCCATATCCGCATTGTCTTCTGCCTCTTGACATTTTTGTTGAAATTGTCATGAATTTCCAATTTCTTCCGTGCCATCAGATGGTCTAGTTGTTTCTCTGCCTCGCGCAATTTCTTATACTGCTCGACGCCATCTCCAATAACAATCTCTTCTAGCCCGTCCGGCATGTTTCGGTCGGTAGGTTTTCGCACACGTCGCTGTGCCAATTGGTGTTCAATCGCAGCATTGCGCTGTTGGGCTTGTTGTTGCATCATCTGAGCTTGCGCCTGCTGAGCAGCATGTTGGACAGGGGGGATCTGGCCTAGGGTCTGTTAGTGAAAGATCTCTTGTTGTTGGGTGAGAAAAGTAGATAAGAGAGCCATCTGTCCAGTGTCAACCAGACGACGGTATTGGGGCAGGAGGGCCATGAGGTGTTGTCCGTCATGATTGTCCTTTTCCTCGAAGGGATTCTTGGGATCTCCACCAATATCTGGTTTTGCAAGTATCCTGGTGCTCAAATCGCACTCACCTGGCCTACGTGCTGCTGGGGATCTTCCTTGTGCCTGGGCATATTGTCGATAATTCTGCATCTGGGGATTCATCTTGTTGTCGGCGTTGTTGTCACTTTGAAACCCTTGATCGTTCGGAGGGAAGGAAGGGGATATCGGCGTCGCGACTACGATCTGCGCATGAGCTTGGTGGCTGGAGCGTGTCAATAAGTTCAGCTAAGCATTGGTGATCGAGTGAGATGGCTGAAGGAGAGAGAGCCTTGCCCGCCATGATCGCGACATTGCAGAACGCGATTCAAATGCGGCTGGGCTAATCCTAATCTGGCACAAATTCTCTTGGCATCAGATGAGACAGTCTGCAAAGCAAGGCTGTCATGACTCCTTCCCTTCTATCTAAAACCATATGGTATGAATATCGGGTCTTTACCCCAGGATTAAACTTGCGCTGTATTGAGTTAGTTTGGGCTTATTGTCAAGACTCAACGAAGGAAGTGTGGGAGTGCGGAAGTCACGAGTTGACATCAAACCGCTGGCAGAGAGGCCACCACAGCCATTCTGAATACTGGTCCAGCAACATGGGCAAACCAAGGTTGATCATCATTATCAGACATGCTCAATCCGAAGGGAACCGTGACAAAGCTATCCACCAGACGACGCCAGACCACAGAGTCGGATTGACGGAAGAAGGGCATCGCCAAGCGCTTGCAGCAGGAGAGAAGCTTCGTGCTCTCCTCCGAACCGATGATACACTACACTTCTTCATTTCTCCATACAGGAGGACCAGGGAAACGACAGAAGGTATTCTGAAGAGTCTGTGTTCGAATGAACCTGCCCCTTCACCATTCCAGCGACACCACATCAAGGTATATGAGGAACCAAGGCTGAGGGAGCAGGACTTTGGCAATTTTCAGCCAGACACCGAAGAAGTTGAGAGACTGTGGCGAGAGCGTGCACAATATGGTCACTTCTTTTATCGCATTCCTAATGGAGAAAGTGGAGCAGACGTCTATGACCGCGTATCATCCTTCAATGGTTCACTCTGGAGACGGTTTTCCGAAGACACAATGGCCAGTGTGGCTGTTCTCGTCACTCACGGTCTCTGCAGTCGCGTATTTCTGATGGCTTGGTATCACTACAGTGTGGAGTTTTTTGAGGATCTCCGAAACATCAACCACTGCGAATTTTTGGTGATGAAGTTGGGCGCAAATGGGAGGTATGTGCTTCAGAACAGTCTACGGCGATGGTCAGACCTTAGGAGAGAGAAGGCGGCCAGAAAAAACAGCGTATCTTCTCCATCAACACCCGCAAATGTCGAAAACATACCAGTTAGACGCTGGACGATGTCCAAAAACGCCCATGACCCCACCGGTGCCAGTTACATTCCTACGCCGGTACGGAAAAGTACGATAGACATGTTCAGAGATGAGCCGGAAACCGTACAGGAAGGAGGCGAATTCAAGCGTAATCCAAGGGCAACCCCGGCCGAGAGGAGAAATAGTACGAGCAGGGAACAAAGTCGCACAAGAGTGCGGTCATCCAGCAACCTTCGAACCTCTGTCGCTAATCTAACATTGGATACGGGGAGAAAAAGTGCGAATCTGAGTGGGATAAAATCATACCTTGGTAGAGACGGTGGCGGGACAAGATCGGGCCAGGGCTCACCCTTCGGATCCGATGATGAGTTGGAAAGCGAGAGTCCCAGGGGAACTACGCAGTCTTTTGGCTCTTTGTCGGGGTCTCATGAGAAAGGCAAGAAGGCCTTCTCTTCGTCACTGGCTCGAGCATTGAGAGGAGAGTTGGACGATCCAAATAGGAAGATGGCAGATGCGCTTGGCGATCAGAGTGATGCAGAGGTGGAGGAGGCAGATCTGGAGCTCGGGACACAGGAGCGAGTTTCTGGCGAGCTGCAGCAAATCCTAGATGAAGAGAGGCGGGAGCGGAGTCACCGAAGTATATACTAGACGATCATGAGGGTCACTGGATGAACCCCGGACATTGTTAGTAGGGATCAGGTGGGAGAATATGGCGGGTGAAGGTGGCTGGGAGATGTTCAGCCTCGCAGCCTCGCAGCCTCGCAGCCTTGTGGCACTACGCCAAGACAATCTTGGATTCAGCCAATTGAAACTGGTGGTTCTCATGCTCTCCTTCTCTCCGACTGATCCAATATCCCACTTCGATCGAATAGATGGCAACACGGTGATAGACTTGCTTCGTTGTGTTCCGACACAACAAATACCGCGATCCTCCAAGCCTCGAAATCTATGTCAAGATGACAGATGCCCTTTACGAACTTCTGCAACCTCATCTCGTATCGACATCTCAATCACCATCTTCATACCCGGAAATCTCTACATATCTGTCCCGCCTCGTCTCCCTCCGTCTCAGTGACTTGACCACCACAGAGCCTCAATCACTTAGTCAAGCAGCACAGTCCAATCTATTCTCGATCCAGGCACTGAGTTCTCGGTCTCACCGAACGACGACTACCTCATCAGACCATCTCAGTATTCTCCGATCGTCACTCCCGCTTATATCAAGATCCGCCGAATCGATCAAGAATGCGATCCCTGAATTGGATGCTAGTGCCGTGAAGTTCGCCTCAACTTATAGCAAGTCCAAAGAGGATAGCGCTACTGGAGGCAGTGGAAATGCCCTCCTTACCGCTCGAAGGGAGTCCGCGCTTCTCGCTCGGCAAGCGGACAAAGCTCAGGACATTCTGGAGCTTCCATCTTTACTCTCTGCGGCAATTGCCTCAGCCCACACTACATCAGCGACATCAACGAATTCAGCATCCTCCGGCACCAGCGGCGCGAATTATTCTCAAGCCCTTGATCTCTTCGCCCATATCAAACGTCTTCAGGTTCTCTATCCTGACTCCCAGCTGGTGAAGTCTGTACTCGCCGATGCCCAAAATGCAATGAAGGACATGACAACGAACCTGATTGCTAGTCTTCGGAGCCAGAATCTTCGCCTTGCTGCTGCTATACGGATGATCGGTTGGTTACGACGCGTGGCGCCAGAGCTGTCAACAAGTACAACAATGGGCTTGCCATCAGCAGGTTCTCAAACTAATAAGCCCGGCCCATTGGCACCGACACTGACCTCGCAACTCGGACTAGGCACGACTGCTTCGTCACACCAGGACGAAGGTCACTTTGGCGCCCTGTTCCTGGTCTCTCGGCTATGCACGTTCCTGAATATGATAGAGGCTCTTTCTCCACTACGCGATCTGGCGGACCAAGAGACATTGGCGCGGAAAGAAGCCGCCAGCTCCGGATCAAGTTCCCAGACGCATCTGACGCCCTCAAGTACAACGCGACCTCTACCAAACCGCAAGTCCTCTTCCGGAGGAGGCTATAATCCCTCTCTGGCTGGCCAACAAACGGAACGCTATCTAAAACGATTCATTGAAATATTTCGCGAACAGTCCTTTGCGACAATAAGCATGTACCGCAACATCTTCCCGGAGGACGAGCAACCACAGGTGCCGCAATTCCCCTCCTCTGCAACTACCCCAGCAGCGTCGCTAGATCTATCCCTCACGCTACCTTCAGCCCTGCAGACATTCCCATTGTACTTGATTGACATATTCATTTCAACGCTCAAACAATACCTTCCGAATGTGACAGACCCCACAGCGAGGGAGAGCTTGCTGATGCAGGTGCTCTACGCGGCGAATTCGCTAGGCCGGCTAGGTGCGGACTTCAGCCTAATGATAGCGGAGCTAGATGACGATGAAGACGAAGACGAAGACGAAGACGTCAACCAGGGCGAGAACGTAGCTGAGGTATCCCCAGAAAGTGTGGCCGAGGATACAAAAGCCACAGTGGACGAAGATGAGTCCACAACACCGAACAGCGGGCATGACCTCAGTGGCCAAGCGGGCGCCGAGGACAGAACAACAGCGGCAGCACCGGCGGCGACAGAGACGAGGACAAAATCCCCGCCTGAGCCAGAATGGATATCCGTTATCCGGAAACACCGCGTACAAGCGGCCAGGCTGGAGGCTCTGGCTGCGGGACAAGAAAGGGGCGACCACGTCCAGAGACAGGGCTCTGCGGATGTCGCTGTGCGATAGGTTTCACCCTTGTAGTATCCTATGGCGGGCTCTGTCCTCAGCGCTATGTATCCCCTGATAACCCGGCCGAGTCTAGAAAGAAAACCCAGCGTATGGGCTATGTTCAGCACGAGACATATGTAAATAACGAAACCAGATCATTATTTTACATTCCGGGGGTCTCTTGTCACTTCTTTCTTGTTTGGTTCTCTTTCTATCTCTCGCCATTCGTCCCATGTGTAGTTGATGTCAACACAAAGTGGGCAATGCAACCAAGCTGGAGCGAGACCTGTCCAATCCTGGAACAATGATTTCGAGGAGACGCGACATGGAGAATGATAGGGGTAGAAGAAGAAATGCAAAGCAGGAATGGTAAGTATAAGGTGCCTCCTCTATGGGTAATGGACATTGCCGAATATGTGAGTGTGATCGCGTGAAGTTGGAAAGGATTCACGCAGGCGCCAAGGCTGTCGGCATTGGGCACCTAGGCCTGGACTACTCTTATTAGTAGTGGGCGGTGAGAAGCCCCTCTAGAGCTAATTCGATACATATCCATAGCCATACGAGGTACTTCACGGGAAGCCCTGAGTGGTTAACGAGCCGAGCCCACTCAGCATCATCGCGCATGCGTTTGGCGCCGCCGCCATCAAAAAATAATCAGAGAACACAGCCTTCGCGCGACCATTTACATTCTCTCCGTCCCAGTCGGCGCACAATCAAAAGTCCCCCTTCTCATCTTCGGGCTTTTCACTGAGGTATTGAGGTCTTCTAGCTGTACTTCATTTCTGGCCTCTTTGTGTTAATCTTCTGTCTCAGACCTCCACCTCCGGGTGACAAGAGCGACGCCGCCTCCTCCCCCGCGTGCAGAAGAGGATGAATTGAGGCCACACAGCGGCAGAAGAAGAAGAAGAAGCGAAAAGCGAAAAGCTGACATCCTACCTCGTCCCTTGTACACGCGCATTTATTACCAAGGGGCGAGTCGGGTCCGCAGACAGGCAGGCAGGCAGGCAAACAAGCCAGCCGAGCGCGATGTTCTTTCTACGATATCTCGAGCGCGAAATTAGCATCCATCCATCCTTTTTTGCGGCGAATGTGAACGAGAGGCTTAAAGATCAGCTCTATGCGGATCTAGAAGGGAGCTGTAATGGAGAATATTACATCGTGTGCATAATGGACATCTACAACATCTCTCCTGGAAGAGTGAGGCCGGGTTCTGGGGAAGCGCACTTTACAATCCTCTATCGAGCCATCCTATGGAAACCTTTCAAGGGAGAGACGGTAAGGATATTTGCTGTGACTGGGCGAAGAGATCTTTCCTCACAAGTGACAATGAACAGATCGATTGCGCTGTCTCCTCCATAAAGCCCCAAGGTGTCTTCTGTGAAGCTGGCCCGCTTACAGTGTTCGTTTCAAAGCTGGTAGGTCACAGTGGTGGTCATTTCGAGCGTCGAAGCGTTGACAAGACGACAGCATCTTCCGCCTGATATGCGACACAACCCTGACGCTACTCCACCGCAATACTCCAACAACGCCGGCGATGTGATCGAGAAAGGCTCGGCCGTGAGGGTCCAGCTGATCGGCTTGCGGAGTGATGTGGGTAATATGTATGCCATTGGGAAGATGTCATCGCAATGGTTTGGGTAGGCGCGAGCCCTTTCCCCTTCTTTGCGAAGTGGCCACTAACAGGAACAGTGTCGCATGAGAGCTTTGATCACAGCAGGGCAGCATTCTTCTCGCAGAAAGGTCGTCCGCCATGTCAGTGCAGTTGGCCCAAACCAACATTCTAGGCTCCACAGTCACAGTATTCTCCCTGTCTAGAGATTGTCCTCGACCAAGTTGAAGTGACAAACAGTCATGTTGGACCGCAGCCTGATGGCGAAACGCAGACACTGTGACTTTGGCCGCAGTATTAGGTGGTACACGATGAAAAGACCTCGATGGGTATTCTGGATATGCAGATTCAAAGATTGGATCAGAAAGTGATGATTACACTGACCGTCGATGAGAAGGGCCAAGGCTCCATCACTCAAGGCCAGGCTTGTGTGGCATAGGGCTCAAACATGGCCCCCAGCCCGGAGTAAAGTTCTGAAACGACGCTAAGGCGGAACACCTGCATGAAGGTCAACTTTAGGTGTTTTGGACGCGATGGCGGGGCAACGCGTCTTCTCATTGAACAACCTCACGCACCTGGCACCGCTAACGAAATGCAACTTTCAGGGACAGGCCATTGCCCATTGACATGTTTGCTTCCTCCCTTTAGACTACCAAGACACCTATAGATTCTGCTGCCTGCGACTCAAATCTGTCGTCGGGTTGGTATTCCACCTTGTAGTCAACAAGCGTCAAATTATCCTTTCCCAATAAAGACGTCGCATAGCTTGCCTTCTCCTTCCACCCTTGTTCGATCTGTTGTTTACCCTTGCGTCGTGGCTCTTTCCACCTGACTGTTGCTGCTACATACACAAACAACACATCCCTTGTCGAACGCATCTCCCACACGTATACCTTGACGATTGAACCCTTTCCTCCTCCTTTGCCAGACGCTCACGACTGCTTCGCGGAGTTACACCTTGAACCCGCAGCGTCGTCCTCAATATGACACTCAAAGACATCTACCAGCGGTTTTTGGAGTTACCCAATCCTATCAGCCTGTCCGAGAATGCCTCCCTCCACTACATCACCACCCTGACTACCTTGGCACAGCCTGTCAATATTGTTCGACATCTTGAGACTCAAAACAAAAAGTTAGTCAAGACCAAAAGTGCAAGAATAATTTCGGCGGTGGAGGGACCTAATGCCGTTGCTCTTGAAGTTGAGACGGTGCTGGAGTTCATCTCAGGAGGAGGATCATATTTGCCAGGGCTTGAGAACTTCGTTGTCGACAAGATTGCGACAATTCCGATGGTAAGAGTGCTCCTCTCCGCATGAGTGCGTTTGCAACTGACGGCGGACTTGGCTAGACACATATTGTCCATTTCGATGCCGAACAGAAGATCTCCGTCATCCGCATCTCCTGGGATCAAGCCTCATTGTTGAAACAGACTGAAGTGATTGGTTCGAGAGGCAAGAACTGGCCTGTGGTCGACGGCAAAGACCAGGTCAGACTCATCAACTCCAGCTTGACCGCAGCGCTCTCTGCGTCAGAACTCCCCACTACTCCTCGAGGTCGCTCCGAAAACCAAAGTCTTGCATCCTCACGCAATGTGTCCCCAAGCAAGAGGCACATCAAGGATCCTCACGCAAGTCTTGACCTCTTTTCACCGAAGCCCGTTGATGAGAATGAACGGACCTTGGGTCCGAATGCTGTGGCTCCCCGGGCATCAGCGAGACCCCCACCACGGGAGATGAGCGAGTTGTTCGCGGCGGGACATGAAGACCACGAACCAGGATCGCCAAAGAAAGTCCCCGTCGAGCCTGTTGTGGCGCCCAAGAAGGGCAGCAACCAGAAGTTCGGCCCTCCCCGCCTCTTCGCCGATGACCCGAACGAGCCTGCTCCTGTCGGCTACAAGTCCAACCCTGCCAAGTACAACCATTTCAATCTCGGAGAAGAGCTGGAAGATGACCCGTTGCAGTATCGTGATGCTACTCCCAAGCCGAAGACAACGATGCCAGCAGTGCCAGTACGAGGGAAGTCCAACAGACAGCAATCTCAATGGGATTTTGCCGACTTCTTTACGCCCGAGAAGGTTACACAAAAGGTGCGAGATCAAGACATAGTCCACTTCAGCCTGGACAGTACCGTGAATGATGTGGAGACCCCGGGAAAGAAGATCGCTGGCAAGCCACGCCGCGACAACGAGATCCACTTTGAACTCCAGGACGACGGAACACCCATCGAGCGCCACGCTGTCCCAAAGCCTCGAAAAGATGCGGAAACACACTTTCAACTGAGAGACACTGCGACACCGGCCACCAATCGTACCTCAGATCGTCCAACCAGCTCGGCAAGTGATCGCATGGGACTATATTCAAATAATGTATTCGACGAGAACGAAAATGGCAAAGCGCAGGAAAAGCCTCCGCTCTCAACGATTACCAACAACACCAACCGCAAACATGATTTCGACAGCCACTGGACAATGGCTGATGCATCACCAGCCAATGGAAAGGCCAATAATGAGAACAAGGTTGCCAGCAAGCACCGCAAGAAGCCATCGCAAATGGATACCCACTGGGATCCATACGAGGAGACGACTGACCAGCCACAAAACCCGCCTGCGCAGAGTCGGTTGAGAAAGGGGATGGAGAGTCACTGGAGCATGGGAGACGAGGAGGAAAAGGCGGGGACCAATGGGAAAAGCAAGACTCAAAAGAGCTTCTGGGACTTTTGAGCATTCTGTGAAGCTCGAGCAGTAACAGTGGACACAGAGAAGCGAAGGTGAGCGAAAAACAACGATATTGTCCTGATCGTGTCTGATATTGCACGACGATTGAATGAGAGATGTCTATAGCATCATTGCCACGGCCTTGTTGCAGACGCCAACAGATACAAATAGCTGAATACCAAAATGCCATCGTACTTTGTATTGTATGCATGCGACGGATGATCTGCTCCGGCTGGTGCGTCTGCAGATTGACATCATCGTCCTTTTCGATGGGGTCGTGGGCTCACTGGGTCCAGGAACGGGTGAAGGATCTGGCGAGTAAACAACCACGACCACCTTGTAGATGCTGGTAAGAAATGGGGTGATGGCGCACTCGGAATTAAGGCGCCCTGGGCGTCTCCTTCCCCCCCTTCAATCGAGTACTGCGATATGACTTTGAGTTTCCACACACGCACACGGTTCCGTGTGCCGTGAGTCATCGACCAGCCTAGCCGGGGTCACCCACTGCTAGATCATGATTTACATGGCCGTCTGCATTTGGTGCTGATAAACTGCGCAGACTTATCCAAAAGCTTCGCCGGCAGCATTGGCAGTGCAGCTCCTTCGCATCGGTCAATCGAGTCGCTTACCGTCCCCAAGGTTCTCGCAGCTCGCTAGCCTGCTTTCACTTTTCTATTCATTCGTGGCAATTTCTCCTTCTTGCGACTCTCTTTCTTTCCCTTTCTCTCTTTCTGTGAGACGTGGCTCTGAGAGCAAGCATTCTCAGCTGGAGATATTGAGCGCTGAGGAAACCTTCTCCGGCGATTCACGTGCTGCCCCAACCGAATTCTACTACCCGTCACCCGCAGATAATCGTGTTAAATCCGAGCGCCCACTTCACTCTTCACTCAGGCTACCATCCTACCACACGTTCAATCGCATTTTCTTTACATTGGGCAGAACGTCTACCAGAATCGCAAACGTCAATTGAAAAAGCTGACCGATCCGTCCGAAGCGCTGCAACAGGAATTACGATCGCACACAGGCTTGTGGGGGATTCTTAAAGCGTCTAGTGTAACCGTCCGCAGCCAGTCTCTGCCGCGGGGTTTTACGAATAACGCAAACACAATTACTGAGTGACTGGACTGCAAGACAGCCCAATTCAATTTCACAATGACGCCCACGCCTCCCTCGACGAACTCGTCGCATTCTGGCGCCTCTCCCGATCAGTTCCGGGTCGTGCGCAAGCGAAATCGAATCCCCTTATCCTGCGCGCCGTGCAGACACCGAAAGCTGAAGTGCAATCGACAGTCTCCCTGCGATAACTGCACAAAACGAGGCGATACTGGCTCATGTACCTACGCTGCTCCCGCCGCAAGGAAGAAGGGCAGTCAGAGTCAAAATGCTGCTAACGCGACACCCGATGATATGCAGAATCGGATAGATCGGCTGGAAGGATTGGTTTTGTCGCTCATGACCAATGGCTCGTCAGCCGTAGGCCCAGCCGCCGCTGCCCAGGCCCTTTCGGCCGGATCGAGCACTATTGAGAGTGGTTCATTGGGGCCGAATCTTGATAATGAATTGGACGAGAGCGCGATGATGGATGATGCAGATGGCCAAGAGCCTGAAAGTGAGACGGATGGTGTGACCAAGAGCTTTGGAATTCTGAAGGTCGACGCTGAAAAGCAAAAGACCTTCTACATTGGCGAGGCGCATTGGGCGGCTTTGCTGAATGAGATTGGCGAAGTCAAGAACTACTTCGTCGCTCACAAGAAAGAGTACGAGGCTCAGATGGAGAAGGTCGAACAGGCCAGAAAATCCATGGGCGCAGACGTGGGCTCAGGTCCAGCTTTGCTCTTTGGCTCTACCATTCCACCCAGTCGAGCAGAGATTCTCGCACAAATACCATCTCGGTACATGTCCGATATCCTGATCGGACGATATTTCAATACATTTGACCCTGCCACTCACATCCTGCATGGGCCGACATTTCAGCGACACTACAATCAGCACTGGGTGGACCCGTCCAAAAGCTCGATTGTATGGGTGGCCATGTTGTTCGCCATGATGCGCCTTGCCATGTTATCGTATGGACGGGAAGGTGATGAACCACCCGAGTTTCGTGGCAAATGTCAGGATCTGGCCGCGAATTTCCGCACGCAAATGGCCCACTGTCTCATCACGGCTGACTATACAAAACCACACAACTACATTATCGAGACGCTGATATTCCACCTGCATGCGGAATACACTTCCAATCGAGATGCCGAAGCCAGTGTCTGGGTGTTGGTTGGCATGATCGCTCGTCTCGCCATGCGGATGGGCTATCACCGTGACGCGAAACTGTTTCCCAATTTGAGCCCATTTCAAGGCGAGATGCGGCGTCGTGTTTGGACATTTGTCCGAAGTGCTGATCTTCTTTTTTCTTTTCAAGTGGCGTTGCCTTCGATGATTCGCATTGGCGATTCCGACACCGAGTTGCCGCGCAATATCTACGACGACGAATTCGATGAAGATTCTGCGTCATTACCGCCCGCTCGTCCTGCCAGCGAAGCCACGCCGATCTCGTACATGATTGCAAAGGGGCGCTTGTCCTTTGGTTTTGGTCGAGTGTTGGAGGAGATTAATGGAGTCAACCGCAAAGGTTATGACGAAGTTCTCAAGATTGATCGTGGATTGAGAGATATCTACGAAAGCATCCCCGACCACCTCAAACTGCGACCGATGGCAGAACAGACGCTGGCACCCATCTCGTTGATCATGGCGCGCTTCAGCCTCGCGACGGTTTACCACAAGTCTCAATGCGTCCTCCACCGCCGGTATATGCGTCTTGCCAGAAATGGCAACAGGTATATGCACTCAAGAAGACAGTGTTTGGACTCAGCTATGCAGTTACTGAGCTTCCAGGCAATTCAACACCAACAGAGTCGGGAACGTGGACGACTGAGGAGTCTACGCAACCATGTGAACTCACTGACCGCACATGACTACCTCTTGGCAGCAACGATTGTCTGTATGGATCTGTACAATCACCGGGAGCGACCCGACAGTAATACCAACGATGTGAGCACCCCGAATACTTCCGTTAGTGGCGGCAGTATCAGTCAAGGCAGCATGTCGTCAGATGGAGTTTATATACCCGGACTCAGCTACAATCGCGAAGATCTCATCCATGCATTGGAAGAGAGCCGCGACGTCTGGATGGCGAACCGTGACCTGAGTATCGAGGCTTACAAGGCCAGCGAGCTTCTCAACGTACTGATATACCACATCAAGCAACCCGCTTCTCCCAACAATACTCAAAACGCGCAGGTCCCGATAGGAATACAGCAGCCGCAGGGTTCGAACAACGACGAGCAGAATGCAGCAATGACGTTGGGCATGCTTCAAGCTGGAGGCATAGGATCTAGCGGGCAGGCAGGCGGCATACCGCAGGCAGCATCACCGGGTGGCGCATGGGAAAAGACAGGATTATATCCCAATCTTGGGGGGAACAACGAGCAGTATAACGCGGGAATATTTGGACCAGCAAATGCGACAAGCCCTTTCCCAAGTGGATGGTTTGGCGGTCCGATGGGCAACCTAGACCAGGGCATGAATTTGGACTGGGTAAGTTTCGAACCCTCCGGCCCCCGGGGGAAGGTATTGGCAACGAATACTGATCTTGGTGCGCAGGAGGCATGGGATCAATACATGCAACCCTCGAGTCTCACACTGGATCCGGCAGCAAGTTTGTGGTCCAACAACTCGCCCAACAACAATCTTTTCACGCAGACTTCATCTCCCGAAAACACCACTTCGGATGCTACTTTTGGAATGAGTACAGGATCTAGTTTCTATCCACAAACCCTGGGGAGCATGATGACCGGGTCGACACCAGACCTCTCCAAGACTGATGGGTCTGGACAGACGCAGCAGATGCCTAAATTGAGTGCAACTTCGTCTGTGGGTGCGAGCAACGACAACAACGCTGCGGGAGAGGTGTTTATGGGTGTGCAAAGTCCACCGGGTGCAAGTTGGAAGTGGACTGTGATGAGTGACAAGAAATGAGGTTTTTGATGTTTCGAGAATGATACCCGTCCTTGATTTGTAACGATTTAGCTGTTGATCGGAAAAGGGAATGGATTACGCTGAGAAGGGGAAGCACCCATAGGACGTGTGTAGATGAGGGATGAGGACCGGATATACGCCGACACCAAGATGTATGAAGGCCCATTGAGGCTGCGGACCAATAAAAAAGGAATGCTTTGGCGGTGGAATGGGGGAATATCTCTGCTCGCGTTTGCTTGCCTATCTCATCTGTCTCGTCTTCTACTCGCAATATGACTCGATAGCTTATTGTCAGCTCTAAGTTCCAACGTAAAGAGTGAGTGAAGCGGGGAGTTCGAGCTGAACAAGGCCAAGAGGCGCCAGCATTTGATACACGTACAAAACCACCCTAACGTGCCCCCGTAGTGCGTACGAGGTACATCTACCTAATAAGTAGGTTAGGGAGCGACCTCAGTCTCTCTGGAACATGCTCTTCATGGTCTAGCCCGTATCGAGCCGAGCCTAAAAGGGACAACCCCCCTCTCCCATCCCCCCTGTTGAGCCCAGCCAGCGTCAGTCAAACCCGCCCGCCCAGCGTGGCCCAGACCTCTCGCTACTCGCTGGGTATGGATCATTTCACATTGCCCATCAGCCCATCATCAATTCCTCCATAAGGCCTTCCGGGCCCTTTTTCCCCTTCTCCACAATCCTTCCATCCCATTCTTTCCCTTTTTTTCCTCCAGCCCAGCTGAAGGGCGACACGAAGCACCAACAAGACATGACCAAGCCCAACGGGTCCGGAGGCCAAGCAACTCTTGTCCAGGTTTCACTCCTTGTTTGCTTTCTTGGATTTGATTAATCAATGACAGCAGTAGCACCAGCAGATGGTGGCAGGTTTTGGCAAAGTTCGGTGTTGTCACTGCCTCCCTTGCCTTGCTTGCCTCGCACTTCCTTGAAACACTTGTCGATTGCTGCTACAAAGTCCCTTCATTCTTCTCACTTCACTTTCGTGTCTCTTGACTTTTCCCCGTTCATGCTTTTTCTTCCCCGGTCCCTTCTGCTACTCTGTCACACGGTCCTCTCTTGTTTTCATTCGGCATGTCCCCGTAAAAGTCCATAGGTCAATCTCTCTTTGCTCCAGTTTACGTTCAAGCCATTCGCACCCATCCCAATACCCTCTGCGACCTCGTTTCAAATTTCGAGACTGAACGGACCTGACTGCCACGAACTACATACCACCTACTCTCGGTCATGGGCCTGTTCAACAGGAAGAGCAAGTCTGGTGCCGTTACAGACGAAGCTCCAAACACGAACCCTGCCGCAGAAAAGTCCAACGGCTCCAACGATACCACAGATGCCCCGTCGGCCACTCCTGTTGCTGAAGGTCTCCTCCCACAATATAATCACAATGGTCATCTGATAAGAAGGGGCATTCATCCTGACGGAGAGAGTGGTCGCAGCGGAATTCACCCGGGCTATTTCTTCAAGATAATATGGACATCGTCTTGCACAGTTTCGAGCTGGGTCAACATCTTGTGGCCTTTCGTCCCCGCCGCCATTGCCCTCCATTTTATTCATGGCGACCACCATCTTTGGACCTTTGCCATCAATTACATCGCGATGGTGCCCTCTGCCAATCTGCTTGGGTTTGCTGGACAAGAACTGGCAAGAAAGTTACCAAAGGTCATGGGTATCCTTATCGAGACGACCCTGGGATCCGTCGTGGAAATCGTCCTATTCATGGTGCTGATCGCCAAAGACGATGGAACTGGCCAGATTGGCAGCGGCAACAAGATTGTAGTGATCCAAGCCGCCATCCTCGGGTCCATCCTTACCAACCTTCTTCTTTGTCTAGGATCCTGCTTTCTCGTTGGCGGGCTGGTGCACAAGGAACAAACTTTCCACGCGGTCATCAGTGAAGCCGGCTCCGGTTTACTCTTGGTCGCTGGATTTGCCCTCCTGATCCCCAGTGCCTTTTACTCGTCGTTGAGCCGCAGCACCGTCCCGGCCGGCGAAGAGGGATATACAGCCGCACAGTTGCGCAGCGATACCCTCAACATCAGCCACGGCGTCTCCGTCATTCTCATCGTTGCATTCGCGCTGTACATACTTTACAATTCTCTTTCGCATGACAACATTTTTCAAGAAGTCCTCGAAGCCGATGAAGAGAACGATCGAGACAGGCATAAAGACCTCAAAAAGCCAAAGCTGACCATGACCGAATGTATCGTGGCAATCGTCTTTGCACTAGCTTTAATCTCTCTCATTGCAGTCTTCCTGGTGGAGGAGATTGAGTTTGTGGTTGAAAACGGAATTCCCGACAATTTCTTGGGTCTAATTCTCGTGCCATTGGTGGAAAAGGCTGCGGAACATTTGACTGCCGTCGACGAAGCGTACGACAACCAAATTGTGAGTTCCCTGCCTCTGGAATTGGGGAGAAAAGAGGCTGCTAACGCACTTTCCAGAATTTCGCTCTTTACCACTGCCTTGGCCCTTCGATTCAGACCGCTCTGTTCAATGCCCCATTAGTCGTCATTGTTGGCTGGGGTCTTGGTAAACCCATGGATCTCAACTTCGAAATCTTTATGGTGGTGCTTTTGGTCATGTCTATCTTGGTAGTTGGCAATTTCCTCCGGGATGGATCGTCCAATTACCTAGAAGGTGGCCTGCTTGTGGTACGTATCCCAGGGCTCGTTTAACACAGAAACATCATGGCTGACTACAATCACGCGCAGATTGTGTATGTCATCGTCGCAGTCACCGCGTGGTACTATCCCAACGCCGAGTTGACCACATCCAATGGAGCTTCAGGGGGAACGAACAGTAGTGGTGGAGAAGGCACTGAAGCGCTGGTCCATGTCGCAAAGATGCTGATGGCCTGACAGCAGCGCATGTAGCTGTCCGAACTTCGATTTGCCCGGGAGAGGTAGACTCGGATTGTTCTGAGGGGCTGGAACTTGGCAGGCATGCATTTGAGGAATGCGCAAATACCAAAAGCAAGGCGTCTTGGTGTCTACTTTGTTGTGCTGGGGGCAGCAAATCCTGTTTGCGAGAGCTTTGCATCCGTTACCGACTAAAAGGTATTCTACAAGCGACTTGTGAATGCTTGCGAAATGCTTGACATGGCCGTTAGTGCTCGCTTCCAAGATATCATGTTGGAAGCGGAGTCAGGGGTTGTGGCAAGGTAGATGACTTGAGGCGTGGCTACAAGGCTCTGGCCACGCGAGGCTACGTCATGCTCCGCGTTGCCTGGTATCCGGCGTGCCGGCTCCAGACGAGGAAACGACTTGGACAAATTCCAGGTATCAGCGAGTATCTAGAGCTGCAGAGAGAGGGTCATCCGGCTGCGACTTGTACTCGTCTTCGAGATGCAGAATGTCAGCCGGAGTGAAACAAGGCTGAAGTCGAATCGAACCACAGAGGGCGCAGTCATGAAATAAAGATTCCACAAAGGCGGGAGGAGGAGAGACAAAATAAATTGTTTCTTTAAAATAGAACTGGCTTACAGGCGCAGGGAAATGCAGTCACTGGGGTTGGCAGCTAGATACGTGCAAGTAGCCGGCTAACTATTAGTTCTGGGTTGCTGGTGGCATTATTAATGGGGAGCAGCTGCTCACACTACGGGGGAGGGACTCGTAAGACCGGGCTATTCAGGCGGATATGGCGGAGAACCAGTCAGAATTCAGGCTCCATGCTGGGCGTTCGTGGGCAATGGTTGGTGTGTGGCTGGCAGGGGAGATTGGGCTCCCAGGCGGTGCTTCACGGGCTTGGCATATCACAGTGGGCACAGGTAGGGTCAACATTGGGCGTCTGGACTTTGGGACTCTGGCAAACACGAACCCCCCGGTCACCCTGTAGTTAGCTGGGAACTCCGTACCACATTAACCTTCACCCATCTAACACCGTGAGACGACAACACTTGTATGCAGACATCCAGCATCATACCAACCACAGTGCCTATACCAGTCAACAGTCTATACACTGACCTCGGTGCTGCATTGCTAGTTCCCTTCTTCCTGTTCCAAATCCAATCTCTCCTCGCAGACGTCCAATCACACATCCCAACCAAGCAACAAACCTCGACCGAGATATGACCTCCGATCATCCTATTCCCTCTACGCACCGGTGACCTACGACCAATGCTCCCATCTGTCCTCCCCTCGTAGGTCTCTTTTCAACTCCGTGAGACTGAGATGCCATCTGTGGCATCTGAAGCCCCTCTGTCCGTTGTCTCCAACAGCGTCCATTCGAATTCTTCGTCGTTGGAAGGCCCTCCGAGAAAGTCCCACGACAAGACGATCAGCGGCGTCTTTACCTACACAAACGGGACCGATGTCGAGGCCGGATTGTCTGATCACAGACTGGATCAGCTCAAGAGCCTGCGCAACAATACCAGTCACAGCTCCCTAACAAAGGGTATCCCCAATGGCAACGTCAAGGCGCCCCTGCGGGATCGCACGCAATCCAAGGCCGGCAGCACCAATTCGGCCGCGAGTACGAATGCCGCAAAGTACACTGAACAACTTTCGAGAAGCCCGGCTTCGTCAGAAGGACCACTGACCAAGTTGTCTAGCGTCGAGAATGTGGGAGAACAATATGACGATCAGAGTAATGGCATCCATGAACAATCGCCCTGGCCGCAGTCGACACCGGAGTTGGGTAAATTGAAAACGAACATCCCTCCGACAAAGCCGGAGTACGATCCCTACCACATGGTCACCGCCTCTACTGTCCCAGACTCTGCACGATTAGATGGAGAGACGACCTCCGGTGGCCTCTCTCGTGCTCCTGCACCAGCCCTTGCTCGTTTCTCCTCCCCGCCCGCTATGTCCCCGGGTGCTTCAATACAAGATCGATACCCCGAATCGTCATTGAACCCTGAGCCCCCGAAACTAACACACCGTCACACCCTACAAGTTCCGAAAGCAGGCGGCATTGGCGCAGTCGGCCGGAGCTCGCGCGACTTCTCCTTCGCAGGCGGCCCCTCTGAAGAAGCGCTCTCCACCACCACTGGTCGCTTCTCCCCTACACGAGAACAGCACGATGGAACTGTGGTGAGGAACAGACGAGCGTCACTTGGCTTGGTTCGTAGGACAACTCGGTCCATGCAATCAGATGCCCATCTCGACGAAGTTCCTCCCGATGAAGATGCAGCACGTTGGACGGAGCTCATCAAGCAGAAACGTGCGAGTAGACGCAAAAGAAAAGAGGACGAGGATGACGACCGCGTCATTGTTGGCAAAAAGGTTGAGGAGGGCCACGTCAATTGGGTTACTGCCTACAATATGTTGACCGGTATTCGATTTACTGTGTCGAGAACGAATGCAAAGATGGACCGGGAACTGACGGATGCCGACTTTGACGCAAAACACAAGTTCAGCTTCGATATCACCGGAAATGAACTGACACCCAGCGCCAAATATGACTTCAAGTTCAAGGATTACAGCCCCTGGGTCTTTCGGCACCTCAGAGCCATCTTTGGGCTTGATCCGGCCGACTACTTGGTCAGTCTCACCAGCAAGTATATCCTCTCAGAATTAGGCAGCCCCGGCAAGTCTGGCTCCTTTTTCTACTTCTCGAGGGACTACAAGTACATCATCAAGACGATTCATCACGCCGAGCATAAGCTGCTTCGGAAGATCCTGCGGGATTACTATCGACATGTACTGGATAACCCCAACACGCTGATAAGTCAGTTTTACGGCTTGCACCGGGTCAAAATCCCCTATGGGCGCAAGATCCATTTCGTGGTCATGAATAATCTATTTCCACCCCACCGAGATATCCATCAAATGTTCGACCTGAAGGGATCCACCGTTGGCAGGGACTTTAGTGAGGAAGATTTGGCCAATAACCCTAGGGCGACGCTGAAAGACATGAATTGGTTACGGAGAGGGTTGCATCTCGAATTCGACGCTCGAATACGACAGATATTCCTAGACCAGATGAAACGAGACGTTGCTCTTCTACAGAGGCTTCACATTATGGATTACTCCTTGCTAGTTGGTATGCACGACCTGGAGAAGGGTAATGAGGAGAATTTGAGAGAGACAACGCTGCAAGTATTTCAGCCTGGTGGGGAGAATAACGAGGACGACTATTCATCCTCGGTCTTGATTCGGACCCCCTCGCGACTGGAGAACGCGAGAAAAGCGCGAGAATTGAGGATGACGCTGAAAAGGGAGAAACCTGTCCCCATGGGCATGGTGAGTGCAAAGATGCCGTCTGAGATGGCCTCCGGGGATGAACGACGGGATCGCATATTCTACAGTGATGATGGTGGAATTCGGGCTACGCATGAAGATGGGCGAGGTGGTGAATTGATTTACTACCTTGGCATCATTGATTGTCTGACCCATGTAAGTTGAACTTCAATCCTCTTTCCTGTGCCGTGACTGACTTTCCGCAGTATGGTATGATCAAAAGAATTGAGCATTACTGGAAGGGTCTTTCGGCGCCACGAGGGCAGATATCGGCTATCCCTCCACAAGCATATGGAGAACGATTCATCAATTTCATCACTGGGATCACCATGACCCAAGAAGAAGCTCAGAGGCGAGAAACTGAGGAGAGTCGCCGCGTCGGAGAACCGGTACCGATACTCGCAGCATCGGCGGAGGGTATGGGGCAGTCATCAGGCGCGGCGACTACGGGTTTCGAGCAATCTACCGTGCAATCACCACCCATGAGTCCAGCGGTCGAGAGGACGATGAGAAAGGCTCACAAACAAACCGACAAATCGACACCATCTGAGAAGGGTTGGGGTAGAAATGAAGAGGAGAAGCCGGAGCGGACATTGAAAACAACAGAGGATTCACGTGCCGCCATGACACTGCCTGTCGTCACGGAAGCCGGTGAAAGCGCGGGGTCAAGCGAAAAGAAACGGGCGTTGAGTCCACCGAATGAGGCGGAAGAGGAACGAGAAGATTTTGCGTCTCAGCTAACCTCATCTCCTGTTCCCATCGGCTCGTCACTTCCGGGGGTTCGCAGAGTTTCACCTTCGACGTTGGCAACGGCAACAGAAAGGGGAGAAGACGACACGAGCATGTCAAGTCCACCGACCCAACCGCTTGATTTGGAACGAGAATCGCTCTCCGACAACGACACCCACTCGCTGCACAATCGGAGCTTGGAATTGGGGAGAGAGTTCAACGAGAAGCCACCGCGAATAGCAAGCGATCTGATCCAGCCTCAGTCCCCTCTTCAGGATAGCGTGCTGAGGTCGCTCGATGAGCAGATGCGGGATTCTGGCCGGGACCATTGATTGTCATTTTCATCCACGTCATCTTTGCAGCATTATACGTCTCCTACGACTTGAACGAAGAGCGCATGCGGTCTTTTGAGAGCATCAGCAATTTCATTTGTGTTTTTCAGTCATATCTATCACCTGACAGGGGGTGTTTTCATGGTTCGGTTCAGAGGGGTTCAGAAAGGTTTGGGACGGGCGCATAGGTGAAGAACATCGAGGCAGAAGAGAGAAGGGAAAACCTTGACAAAGGATGAGGCTTCGTCAGTGGAAGGGGAACTCTAATCCAATTTCTAGTGGGCCGTTGCCGGGGAGCCATTTCATAAAGGAAGCGTGTCTCTTTGGAGACATGTCTCCTGTTTACAGCCACAAAAGGAGGCGGCGTCGTCGTCGAGAGTTTTGCGAAAAAGGGCCATACGTCTGTTGCAAGTGGATGACAAACATAGCCAGAGGGAGAAGAAAGAATTGGGAAGAGAGGTATATCTTGTACAGATAGCAGAAAGTTACCAGGTAGCCTGGCAGCCTGGCAGCCTGGCAAACATGGCGAACTTGGTTCTGACTGTCTTGGTCTTCTACAGCCCCCCGAATCTTGAGAGTCGGAGTAAGAGTATCAGTACTCGGTATGTAGGAATGAGGTCGGTCATAACGGTGCTAGCATACGTAGATCCGGGACTACTCAGTACATAGTAGTAGCCCACACAGTAACCTACGTCTACTTATAGATAGCAGCTCAAGGAGCCGTATCTCTCTGTTGGTCCAACAGGCTGTACGTATTACCGAGTGCTCGGTAGTCCATACCTATGCAGGGCTGGCAAGCCCACAAAACAAGCTCATCAATTAACCTTTAAGCGCCTTTGTTTCTTTTTGGCACCAACGAGGAAATTTGGTCCTGCTAGGGTCAGTGGCTACGTCATACATGCCGTTTCTGCCGACGCCGCCGATGCTGACGACGCCGCCTTTGCGCCGCGTACAAGTACCAGGACCAATCCAAGGGCCAAGTAATTCGGCGGAGATGGAATCAATCGCCTGACGGGTCAAGTGACATTTTTTCGTGGTTCACCGTGGACGTTTTGATATAAAACGGGCGATCTGAGCACCTTTTATCCTTGCGCTGAGGTCAGGTTCACTAAGCGATAAAACATCAAATAACAACAACCACTACTACTACCACCACCGACACAACCAACACAATTTACTAAGAGGATTCGTTCAGAGATTGAGCAACGAGATATCCGCGATAACATAATTGGACGCAACTAAAGCAGACGCAGCGCGAGAACGAAAAAAAGAACCACAACTGAAGAAACAGTCTTAGAAAGAAAGCCGACGGACGGAAAAGCAATGGCCCGTCCCCCGTCTTCCACCGTACGTTATGTTCTTTGCCCTCATCCTGACGAGATGGTCCCTCTCTTCCAATTGATGAATCAATCCCATCAACACCTCCCTCATGAAGTCCTTAATATTGACGACTGACTGACTTTGCCGCGCGACTAGAGCGACGTCTGTCTGTACTTCCTCGCGCTCTTCCTCCCGCCGCTAGCCGTCTTCTTCAAGACCGGATGCGACTCGAACTTTCTCATCAACATCCTACTGAGTATTCTGGGCTGGCTACCGGGTGTTTTGCGTAAGTTTATTCTTTCTCCCCCCCCCCCCCCCCCCTTTTTGGAGACTCCGAATCTTGTACCTCGTATGCTGCGTGCTGTATGCGGTATGCTTGCTTTGGATGCATGCACATGTTCTAACGAGTGTCTCATGTGCGGATCTGGACAGATGCGTGGTGGATCATCACGAAATATGAAAGACCGGCGCTGTCTGCCGTGTAAATGATGAGAAGGGGACGGATTGGGAATTGTGCAGACGCGAAGGCAGGGTATCCTTGTGTGGAATGCTAGCCCGTCGGCTTTCCCCTTTGTTGGTTGATCTGTCGAGAACGACTTCGGGAGTACAGAGACGCGGTGGTGGTCTGTCTTGACAGCGAACGTTCAACTTTATACCCACAACAAACCCAGTTTTTGCGCGCGTTTCGACCGGAGGGAGCTAACTGCTGTAATGATGATGGAAAATCGACGATGTGATTCTATTCTGGAGGTTGTTCTAAAGCCATTGAACTTGTTCTGTTCATCCATATGCTTTCCGTTATTCCTGAATGATCGTTGCAGACACTCAGATATTGCTTCCGCACAGGCGATACATCCAAGAGTGCCCTGCATTCAGCCAGACCAGTTCATGCAGGACAATCGTCTATCTTATGTAAAGATGCTACAATAATGGGAGCACCTTATCTTACTGGAATCCCTCGACTCGCATCTCTTACATAGTATCGGTATCACAGGGCATCGAGTAAGCGGATGCAACATCCACCACGGGCGGGAAGATGGAAGCGGGAAGAGTCAAAATTCAAGAGGCGGATTATCCAAGCGATCGGCACTAACGACTACGGAGCATGTAAGGAAGACGTCTGCTCATACCGCTTTTGGTAGGGCTTCATGAAATCATTATATCATTCTGCTGGCTTTTCATAGTCTTGTCCATCCGTACCACCCCTGAGGGGCACCGGCTTGACTCATTGCCCTGCACAAATGACTGTGGCGCTGCGAAGTATTGCAGGTGTGCTTCCTCTGTCTGGCACCACAAAGGCGCAGGTATGTCCCTTGGGACACATTACAAAACTCGGAGACATCGTAGTCAACTTCAGACTGGCCTCTAGGAGAGATGTCGAGATTGATTGCTATGATCATGGAGGTCAAAAACAGGTTTCAGAGGCTGGGCGTGCAGTGTCTTGATTGAAGACGTCCATAGAAGGAGCCAGCCTGATGCCGCTACCAGCCAGTGACATTGATGACTGTACCTCGTACTGGCGGACTCCAGGCCCAAAGCCATTTCCAGCGCGGGGTGAGCAGGGGTGGTTGACAGGTCTGACAGGCTGATGGCTTGACGGCTCGACGGGTTGATAGGTGTCAACCAGGCACGCCAGGGTGCCAGGGTCAGTTGGTATTGGTTGGCGTCGTTGATGCGGGTCCCGGTGGGGAGTGAATTTTGATCGTGTGCAGAAAAATCTACGAAACTTCAATCCGACAGCCGAGCCTTGCAAAAAAAGAGTCATCCTTATTCCCTTCCTTCCCACTTACTTGTCTTCCAGTACATCCTTCATTAACGCCTTCTTCATTCCTCCTCAGAACCTGTCTGTCGTTTGATGATTTGAGAAGAGTCTGAAACCCAGAACAGTCCTTGAGCCATACTGCATTCTGCTTACCCTCTCCTGCCTTCTCCACACCGACAACTACAGCTGCGAACATGTCCTCCAGAATGGTTGAAGCCGGCGTTAAGAGAAAGCGCTCGAGTACGTACAAACTGTCCGGGTCAAATTCCAATGATCCTCCCCATACCCGCATTCCAGGGCCTTTGTCATGACCTTTCCTTGGCTCACACTTTTCCTCAGGAGCGCAGTCTCTTCCCCCTCCCGAACTTCCTCGACTCGTCGCCGAACAACATGTCCCTATTGCAGCAACCGACAAGGACACAAAGAGACTGATTGTGGTGTTGTCCAACGCCTCCCTCGAGACGTACCGAGCTGCACACAGCGGAAAGCCCGGAGGGAAAGAAGAGAAGTATTCGCTCTTGAATAGCGATGAACATATCGGTGTGATGCGGAAGATGGGTCGAGATATAAGTGATGCCAGGCCCGATATCACACACCAGGTGGCTATTCATCCCACTGAAACTCTTGTAGTGGCGAGCTGACTTCAACGTCCAGTGCCTTCTTACTCTGCTCGATTCACCCATAAACAAGGCGGGTAAACTACAAATCTACATTCACACAGCAAAGGGCGTTTTGATCGAAGTCAGCCCTACCGTCCGGATTCCCAGAACCTTCAAGCGTTTCGCTGGTCTCATGGTCCAGCTGCTACACAGGCTCTCGATTCGATCGGTGAACTCGCAGGAGAAACTGCTCAAGGTCATCAAGAACCCTATCACCGACCATCTACCACCCAACTGTCGGAAGGTCACTCTGAGTTTCGATGCCGAAGTCGTCCGCGTCCGCGACTACGTCGATACCTTGGGTCCCAACGAGAGCATATGCGTCTTTGTCGGGGCCATGGCCAAGGGTAAGGACGACTTTGCCGACGCTTTTAAGGACGAATCGATCAGTATCAGCAACTACAGCCTCAGTGCCAGTATCGCTTGCAGCAAATTCTGCCACGCCTGCGAGGATGCTTGGAAAATCATTTGAAGTGCGAACCGGGCTTTTTCCAAACAAGGTAATGCCGTCAAAAAGAAGACTGATGCTCATCCCAGGCCGAGATTTTCTCTACTTCCAGCCGTGGGCCATTCTAGCGACCAGCTCGATCACAACATCGATGCCGGGTTGCATGAAAGGGCCCCTCGATACGGTTTGTGCTGCATTGGGGGAGTGTTGGATCTGGCGTTTGTTTTCACAACAAGACATAACATGGTTCAACAAAACCTCAAGGCGAGATTTCTTTTCTCCGTCTGAGATACCCGTAGGCGCATGTCAACCTGCCCTACACTGCTATCCATAAGACATCAAAACAATGTGTGATGAACAAAGGTTTGGAGGAGAGGCGCCAGTCTCGGCGAATCTAGTTTGGTAATAATGCGGGCATCTCTACATGTCCGTCGAATAGCGGCGAGAGGCATCTACTTGAATGTTGCCACTTTCCCAGCAGTCAGCTGGGCCTGAACATATACCGCCACCTTGCACAAGTCCATGCTCTTGTTCTCTGGTCTCCAATGGTGTTCTCCAAAGATATCTTTGCATGGAGGTCTCCAACCGCCCCTCTTCTTACAAAAACTTGTGTTGGTGGTCATTGAAGTCTGGCATCTCTGGGTTCGCCCACGACACCTCCGAGTCATCCTAGATTCTCTAAGCTTGTCTTCCTGACGAGAGAAATGGGCAGCCGGAGTAGGATTGTTGTCTGCGACGCTTCTGCGTGGAATTCGGAGCCGATTCTCTATAATAGACAAGTTCTTTGATTCTTGATTTGACCACCCAGTGACAAAAGCAACCTGGGCCAATCATTTGTTTTGTCATAAAGTCCAAGACTGATGCTCAGCAACCCAAGGCAGACAGAGATGTTGAGCTTTTAGTACATGGTAACTACATGGTGGGAATGTATGCAGGTCGTGTCACACTCTTTGTCGAGGGAGGATCGTATAGGCGAAGTTGAGGGCGAGAGCGGGGAGTGGTGGTGGGTGTTGAGTTAGAGGAGGAAGCAGTTGACTGAGACCCAACTGAGGCACCAAGTCACTTGCTCACTCGTGACTTGGATGCATTGACGCCCGACCGAAGTCGCAACGGGCCGAAACACAGCGCAGTTGGCGCCGTTCTTCCTCCATCTCAACCACTCATGCGGGTGCGCAGTTCCCCGATTCCCTCAATATGCCCTACGCTCCCAATCAAGCCTCGACAAACACTCCCCATTTCCGTTTCCATCACCTCTCTCCCGAACGATTCCTTTCATTCGACCCACAGGCTGCCATCCGCCTCCCAAGCCAACATCAAGCCTCTTTGACGTGGCATTTCCCCCGGCACCAGACCGTTTCATCGCCATCCCGCCTTTCTCGATTCGTTCGCCACCAGTGATATCTGGAGCCTCTTCTCGCCTCACCCAGCATGCATCACGCATTGTATTTCCCAGCCCCCCCTCGTCTCGTCTTCCATGTCAGATGGGCCTAGGGATTTAGTAGGAAAAGATCAGGCGCCTACAGGAAGCAAGGCGCAGGTACCCCATCCATCGGCAGCCCTCAGATCCCGCTGTAGGGTCGCTTGAAACCCATGTCTATGGTTTGGTGGACGAGAAAGAAACTGTTTTCCGATGGATGGTTGATCATCACAAGACTTGTAGCGAATAAACCGCCGGTTGGTACCAGTCATGTTGGCTGCTCGTTGCTGATTGCTGATTTTTTTTCCCTTCCAACTCCTCATCTTGTTACTAAGGATTTTATATAGAGGACAGTATCTGTGTCAGTTGCTGAACCCACGAAAATCTTTGACCTTGGGTCGTTCAGGTTCAAAAACTATCGTTGATTTTCCCTCAAGTTTCTATCTAAGGGAATCCTCATTACGGTGACACAGTCCGTGGAAGATCGGTGAATCCAGACTGCAAGTACACGGTCTCGCCCAGGGCTCCAGACCCCATCACTACCTCAGACAAACAGGCTGCAAGGACCGACCAGTTCTCCTTCGTCAGAAATCACATAGACTCTGAACGACTTCTGCTCCAGCCAGCAAAAGAAGCAGAGGGATCTTGTATAATATCAACCACCACCTACCTGCTTCCCGAGCGTTTTCTCGTACCTGGGACCATCTCACTCAGTTCCTCGACGATTCCATGCCTTCCTCTATCACCCTCACCGTCAGCCACCTTCCGACATCTACTTCGTTCTTCCTTTCCGCCCTCCAACCGCTCAACTACGTCTTCCGTGGCCGACAAGAGCAAACCATCGGCTTTGGCCCCGCGTCTCCACCCAATACTCCCCCCGACTTCTGGATTACACAAGAAATCCCCGGTGTCCCCGCGGGGGCCGCGCACGTGGCTTTCCCTGCGGCTTCTCGGGCACAGGTGCAGGATTTCTTCCTTGCTGCTCTGAAGGCTGGTGGGAAGATACACGGAGAGCCATGCCAGCGGGATGCTGCGGGATATTACTCGGCCGCAGTGATCGACTTTGATGGGAATTCCATCGAGGCAGTTTACAGACCTGCCTTTGGCGACGATGCGAACAAGGAAAATGCCGACACGCGAACTATGGTGTCCCATCGCAGTGCGACTGTGAGAGCCCCTTCTGTTGTGGCACCTCCAAAAAGCGTCGTTTCCGCTGCGAAGAGTGCCAGAGCACCATCTCAGGTTGCCTCGCAGGCTCCGTCGCATGTCTCGGTTCCAGCAAGTGTACCCCCTGAAAATACTCAACCCAAGCCAAAGCCGTCTGGGGATGTTCTTGGGTCGTTGATCAACGAAGCTCGCAACGCTGCGAATGTGGCCCGCGGCCTCGTCAATAGCATGGCACCCAATCTCAGCTCTCCAGCCCCGCCATCTACAGGTAACTCCACGGGTGGTGGGAGCGGAGCAGGTGAAGCCATTGTTGGTACCCTCCTCGGTGTCGCGGCCGGCGCCGCCCTCCACTACGCTTTCAGCAACCGATCCAAGGAAAACACCCGTGACGATGTAGAGGAGCACAAATTTGTGCCTCCTCCTCCTCGCCCTTCCGTCGTCGGCCGCAGTGCCACCGAGCCCGTCAACGTTATGCGTGCGGAATACTCAACTGTCCCATCCGAGTATCCCGGAGTTCCTGAATTTGGCTATCGAGCCATTGAGCCAGCTCCTTCAGCATACACTTACACACCCCGGGACCCCAGCGAGCAAAAGCTCATCACCATGTATGATCACGACCAGCCGGCGCCGACAGTTCACACCTTTGCCGACGAGGCGTCCACAATCCGCCCTGCTTCAGTGGCGAGGCGAGTGAGCGTGGATTCTGGAGTTGGCCTTGGGGTTGTCCCTCGCGATTTCGACGCAGCTTCGCACGCCTCGAAAGCATCGCGGCAGTCGAAAAAGAGCATGAATGCACCGCCACCGACAAGTTACCGTGCTCCGACTGCACTGACGGTGAAATCGAAAGTTTCGGGTGCGTCTGGTGGTGGCGGACGCTCGAGATCCCGCGCGAGCAGTTTAAGTCGCCTTGGTAGGAGTCTCAGTGGTCGCTCGTCGGCAGATCAGCCGAGGTCAAGATCGCAGTCTCGACACAGCAACAGATCGAGAAGGAGTCGACGCGATGAGTTTGAAGATAATGCGGCCGAGGACGAAGAAGCACAGACGGTGTTGCATGTGTCGGAGACCGTTCATCGTTCTTCGAGCCGTGTGTCTTCGCACCACACGCATACGGAATCAAAGGTAGCAAGTCACGTCTCTGCGCACCACTCCCATGCAGGATCCAGAGCCCCAAGTCATATCTCGGTGCACCAGTCGCAGTCAGGATCCAAAGCACCAAGTCACGTGTCAGCTCACGAGTCTCATGCCGGATCCAAAGCGCCTAGTCATATCTCGATGCACGATTCCAAGGCAGGTTCAAAAGCAGCGAGCCATGCCTCGGCCCATGAATCCCACGCAGCCTCCAAGGCGGGCAGTCATGCGTCTGCGCATCAGTCCAAAGCAGGATCCAAGGCGGCTAGCTATGTCTCGAATCACGACTCGCAGGTGACGATAAAGCCTGCGAGTCGAGTCAGTTCAAAGCACAGTCGCAGAGACCCTGCCGAATATCCCCTTCCGCCTTCTCGTGCGGCAACATGGACAGGTTCCGATACCGGAAAAAGCTTTGTTTCTGCGAGGTCGAACTTTGGACCGAATGGGCCAAGGACGATTATAGGCAAGCTCAAACCCGTGCGCGATGGAGGTGAGATGACCGATGAGGACGATAAGACGGAGACGGCGAGCATGGTGTCCAAACAGAAAGAGTTGGCCAAGTTAGATGTGACGGATCGGGAGGTGATGCCGGAGGACAGCGTCAGTCAGATCTCGGTGGAGAGCCGAAGGAGCCGGAGAAGTAAAGCCAGCAGTAGAAGATGAAGGAGACAGCAAGGGCATTGCAGTCGAGGAGAGGTGACAGGAGGAAGTATTTCATTGGCATATTTCTTTGGGAGAAGGTACATGGCGGCATAGCGCAAGCAGATGGCTGAGGATGTTTGGAAATCATTACCGAAGAGACATAGAAACTGGTTGAGAGGGATTGCTCGAGCAAACTACCGTTGGATTATCCGCTAATATATACATACATGAATATAAATTCATACTGACATGGATGTCGTGCCTGATATAAGCGCGTCTTTGACTCCGCGGAGGCTCTTCGGTCGACATGTGAGTCAAGCCTCTTGATCTGCGCATTGCTTTGGAAATGACCAATCAGAACTGACAGCCGTATCCCCGGTCCTCGGAGTTCCTCCACTTGTTTTTCGCTATATCTGATGTCTACCACCCACTCTCTGCCACTGTACCTACACAGGCCGTTCTTCTCGATCACACGACGGCAGAATTTTGAGCGTCGACACATTTCGAGTCAACCAGAACCAGAACGAAGGACGGGAAATAAAAGAAAGACAGTGTACCCTGGTACACGACACAGGGACCGAGATATTTCCTTGTACGTACCTGGTACAGAGAGAGATCGCCACCACAGCCATGCTCGCCGCCATTAATCGCGCCACGATGAATTTCCCATTCTCATACCCTTATGACGACGAGTCGAGTTTTCAGTCCACGTATGATCCTTTATCAATGTCAATGTCGACGTCAATGGGGACGGTGTCCTCCGTTCCTCTTCCTATCCAGCAGCACCACCAAGATTCCAACAAGCGACGACAACGACGATCTGACAACACGGCAAACGTCTTCCCCAGCCCTTGCGACATACAGAGTCAGGATTCGTCATCATCATCATCATCCTCTTCTTTCCCATCCGCCTGTCCTCTCGATACATACAGAAGCGAACCGTCGCGCTGGCGCGCCCTGGTGGCACGAGATGCCCACGCCACCGACGCGTTCGTCTACGCCGTCGTCACCACAAAGATCTACTGTCGCCCAGACTGCCCCGCGCGGCTGGCTCGACGGGCGAACGTCCGGTTCTTCGACCTGGCCGCACAGGCGGAGCGGGGTGGCTTCCGGGCTTGTAAGCGGTGCAAGCCGAATCGGGCAAAGGCGTCTGTGTTTGGTGGTGGTGAGGTCGTGTCGTCGTCGACGTCAACATCTTCAGCGCCGTCTCCTCGGTCCGAAGGGACTCCAGGTTCATCGTCAGCAGCGGAATCCCTCTCTGGTCCGAGGACCACCTCCCCCGTCTTGTTACCTGCGCCGGATCAGCAAGGCCAGGAACAAGAACGGGAACAACATAGCCATGCGGCAGTAGACGGCCACGACGACGAAAACGAGAACGAGAACGAGAACGAGGACATCCACGCCAAAATCCAGCGTGCGGTACACCTCGTGCGTCAAGCGGCGCTGGAAAAGGCCCAGCCGTTGAGCCTCGCCCAGCTGTCCGCGCAGGTCGGCCTGAGTAAGTGGCATCTACAGCGCGTGTTTAAGAAGATCCAGGGCGTGACGCCGCGGGAGATGGCGGAGCAGATTCTCGAAGCGAAGGCGACGGCGACAACGTCACCAAATCCAACACACTCTGCTGCATCCAGTTCCATGTCCATGTCCAGATCCCTTTCGATCCCGGAAGGAGACGAAATGACAACCTCTCGCCCTCACGCGCAGGGTCCCCAACCTCTTGCGCCACTACCTGTGATGGGTTCCGCCACGGAGGAGTGGATGGACGGCCTGCTCGACAGTGACAATCTCTTCGATTGTGACTATGACTATGACTATGACTATGACTTTGGGTATAACGATCCACGACCGCAGACACAGACGCAGACGCACCCGCAGCCGCACCCGCAGCAGTGGCAATGGGAGGGAGCTCTGCCTCCACCTCAAGCAGCACCTCCGTCGGCGCAATTCGCACATGGCGTCCAGACCGTGATGATCCCTGTGGACATGAACCCAATTATGGGTATGGACTTTGACATGGAGATGGATATGATCATTGGTATGGGTATGGGTATGGACATCGACATTGACATGCACGCCTCCGACGCCGCCGAAATAGAAGGGTTGCTGAACGACCTATTCCCCGAGATCCTTGTATAAGAACCTCCCAAATAGAAAATTTTGAGGGGACGGGATGGCACATAAAGAAAGAGAAGAAGCCGAGTGACGAGCTAGCTTTTTTGGAATGATTATTTTAATGATTATTATTTATCATTTCTTCTTCTCTTTTCTTCCCCTCTCTTCTCTTCTTTCTTCTTTCTCTCCTTTTCATGTTTCAGAAAAAGAGAACAACGACGATACCTATCGCACGCACGCGCAAAGGTCCAGAGGCCAAAAAGCCAAAGACCCCCCACTCCCCAAAAAAAGGATGAGGGCTGGGAGCTGAAGTCCGCAGGCTCAAAGCACAAAGCCCAATTCGTCCCGGTTATCGTCGGTCAGGCGCGCCCACTCGAGCAGCAGGCGGAAAAAGTAAGACTCCATGTCCTCCTTCCGGAGCACCTTGCTCGCCCACTCGCGGCCCGCCTCGGCGATCATCTCGGCCTCTTTGACGTGCGGCTTCCACCAGATCTTGTGGCCGAACATGGTCCCGTTGACACCCCCAAAGTACGCCAGCGTGCTCCACACGCCGTGCAGGCGGAGGTCCTGCGGCACAAAGTGCAGCCAGGCCGTGAGACGCGAGTCGTACCATTCGCGGAACAGCGCCGTCTTGAAGGGCAGGGAGCGCGAGTGGAGAAAGGGCAGGAAGCGGCCGCTGAAGCCCGCCCCGTCGAGGTCGAACAGGAACCGATACCGCCAGTGCGCTTGGAAATCCGTGGGTCGCACGAGGTTGAATTCTCGCTCCTGGTCCGTGCAGTCTTTGCCGCCGCACCGGGCGATAAAATCCACAATGGCAATGTCGGTTTTCAGGCCCAGCTTCTTTACGTCGCCTCCTCGGATCGTCTGATACTGGTATTTGGAATGGTCTGCCGGGCTGGGAAGGAGGACAGTCGCGGCATCGTGGGGATGGTTGGTCAGATTGTTGGCCATGTGCACAAAGCGTTGGCGGGTCATTCCTCGCCAGGCGCCGCTGTTGGAGGAGACGCCCTCAGAGGTGGCGCCACGCCAGAACAGAACGTTTTCTTTCTCCCCGAACGGGGGGTCAGGGAATCCTGGGTGATAGCCTTCTTCTCCGGGTGTCCCTTTAGGCTCGCTGGGTGCATAGACGGCTTTGTCCATATAGTTCCAAGCCGAAGGGTACAGGATGTCGCTGTAGCCGTGCGGCTTTGACTGAGAGAAGACGGGCATGAGCTGGTAGCTCGTCTTGAATGCTGCAGGGGAGAGGTAGAAGCCGTGAAGTCGGGCCAGATCTGGCTGATGGCATACATCTGCTGCATCGGACCAATTGCCCACGAACTGACCCAGAGAATGTGGAGCCACGCAGCTCCCACAGAGGTGAGACTGGGATGCAAGGTGCGGCGACGCCCGTGCAAGCGAGGAAGGAGGGCAGCTTACTGAGCCGAAGGAATGGAAGCTGTTGCGCCACGAGTTGTCCCGAAATATCGTCTCCGTATATTCTTTTTCGGGCACTGGCAGCCAGCCTGACGCGCGATCGGCTGACCAACTTGAGCTACCACTCTTATCCTGTGCTCGGCCTTGTTCTTGGAAATACCTGAGCTGCTCATATGGCACGGCGACCCTAGATTCATCATTCAAGTTGAACGCCAAATCCATGTCGGGCAGATACCGTGCGAAGCTGTTAATGAGAACGGCGACACCCTCCAGCATCCATCGATGGGTTGGCAGTACGTTCTCTTGGACCTTTGCCTCTCCGTCGCGGATGGTAATCCCCGAAATCTCGTTCCATGGGTTAGACACCATCTTCCACGTCTGGCTTCGCAGATCAATCGGCAGGATCGCGCGGAAAGGCAGCAAATCATGATAGATCTGGTCGTATTCGTCCACTATCAGCACAGACCTGTTCCTCGCGTACTCGAACCAAGTGTCAAAGCCTGGAGGAGGGTTTCGGTTGTATCTGTGTTTATATTCTGCCACGGCCTCCGCGAGGGAGGAGGTACTCCCCACCGATTCAAGATACTTATTATGATGAAGCGTGGCGTCATACATGAGCATATCAATCGGGTGAAAGTGGACGTAGTCTTTCTTCAGCCAAGCGGGAAAGATGGCACCGCAAAGGATACAAAGCAGGAGGAGTTGCCGCGACGGTCGCATCACGTCTCTGATACCCAGTTCCTGCTGTATCCAACGATATGCCCATTGACCAATAAATATTAAGAAAAAGGATACCGTCGTCGCTGTGAACGGTATTTGAGGAAAAGGATTCCTGTGTGACCAAATAAACCCCAGAGCGGGTATCATAGTGATGGAAGCGGTCAGATACGTTGTCATGTCTAATGCGCCGTAAGTCATAATCTGCGGAAAGTCAGTATAGCTTTTGCGAATGAGTCCACTCCGACTTACACTGTGCAGAAGAGATATAGACAAAAGGCAGAAAAGAAGAACGTGATATCCCATGGCAAAGATTGTGCCTACATCCAGCGGTGGAAATACAAACAACAGCCAACGCCGGTACTCTGGTTTGAAAATGTACACACATATAGCCGTAATCGACCAGACGACAGACGTGGCAATCATGGTTGAGCTCCAGAGGACTACGCATCGTCGTCCTGAAAGACCCCTGCCATCAGATTTTGGGATAGTCTCGTAGGCAATGAGGACAAGGCAAAGGTCCAGCACCAGGGCAGAGACTTGCATTAGCGGGATTGTCTTCGAATCGCCGAGGGCAAGGGGACAGATATAGGTCGAGTTTGTTGAAGTCCATAGGCCGTGAGTGAGGTAACATCCGTAGGATACCATCAACATCCATAGGAGATACCGAGTTCGCGGTCTCAGAATATAGGTTCTAGCAGCTGCAGACAAGGACTCGTAAACCGAATTGTCGGGGTTTTCCTCATGCTGCAAGTCGATTGGGCGCTGACACCTAATACAATCATAGACTGCCACTAAGAATGGCAGAAACACTTCGACACTGGCGATGGTGCACTCCGTAGCCAGTGAAATGCGCCGGTACACCTCTATGCGCAAGGACAAGGCAGCAACTGCTAGGGCCAGTACCGATACGCGAACCTTGCCAGTGTGTTTGTATTGTGCGGATGTTGTTTCCAGGTATTCCAGCCTTCCGTTGGCTTCCTCCCCAAGCTCTTCCAAAGGCACCGCCGTATATTGGCCTTGTTTTTGCTTTGCATCTGGAGACGGGAACAACTGAGGTATTGCCCGACTGGCACTCGGTAAAGCGGACGAACAAGCCGTAAGCGCAAGGATCACAGTGTGAACGGGTCGGTCGAAAGCAGTCGAAAGCGGGACAAGGTGTGCTAGGGATGCTGCCAACAGCAATGATAGGCTGTCGCAGTCAGTATCTGCCAGTATACCAAGTGGCAAATGCTCACCAGAAGCACAGAATATCGAGTTTTGTCGCCATGATGACCGACCGCGCCCCTTGCGCCTAAACGAAATGTCAAAGGAAGAGACCCAAACAGATCTGTGTTGAGAGACTATATCGCATGGGCAATATTCCTCTATAGCACGACATCACGAACACAGCGCGCTCTAGTGAATGAGGATCATTGACTATTGCGCGGTTACAGCGATTTCTGATGCGCAAAAACAGTACGAGGTAATGGCAATCGGGCTGTGTTCAGGGTGTTAAACTCGAGACGAGGCTAGGGTGTCCGGTGTCTTGGGTGTCTTGGTGCTTGGGTCGCAAGGCTGTCGAGGATTGAGGATAGCCTTGCCCCCTTGCGCCTAAATTATTGGACCCCACGAGCCCACAGGTGCCATAGGTAGCCACAGGTAGCCACCCCACATTGTCTCCGATAGGAAACTGCGGCGAAATTTTTGGAGATGTTTCTGAACTTTTTCTTACCAGACAAATTCCCAGGACTGACGGGTGTCTAGTTGAGAATTCCACTCTCCCTACGTCAAAGCTTCGAGCGGAGGGGGGCCGGGAGAGATCCAAGATGCCTCGAAAAGCCATCGACTCCCGCATCCCAGCGCTGATCCGCAATGGCATTCAGGAAAAGAAGCGCAGTTTCATCGTCGTGGTGGGCGACCGAGCCAAAGATGTTATTGTTCACCTGCACTATATCATGTCCTCGGTCGATATCAAGCAGAATAGATCTGTCTTGTGGGCTTATAAAAAAGACCTCCTAGGTTTCACGTCCCACCGAAAAAAGCGGGAAGCCAAAATCAGGAAGGAAATCAAACGAGGCATTCGAGACCCGGACACTGAAGATCCTTTCGAGCTGTTCGTCACGTTGCACAATATTCGATATGTTTACTACAAAGAGACGGACAAGATCCTTGGTAACACATATGGCATGTGTATTCTTCAGGATTTCGAGGCCATAACACCGAATCTCCTCGCCAGAACTGTGGAAACGGTTGAAGGCGGCGGATTGGTTCTCCTCCTGCTGAAAGGAATGAAAAGTCTGAAGCAGCTATACACAATGTCTATGGATGTCCATTCGAGATATCGTACAGAAGCCCATGATGATGTGGTGGCCAGATTCAATGAGAGGTTCATTCTCTCTTTGGGAAATTGCGAGTCTTGCTTGGTGGTGGATGACGAGCTCAATGTTCTGCCCATATCCGGAGGAAAGAATGTTCAGCCTTTGCCCCCACCGAAAAGCGAGGCTGAACGTGTGCTGCCGAATCAGAAGGAGTTGAAGGAAATCAAAGACAGTTTGGCGGACAGCAGACCAGTCGGACCTCTGATTACTCTTGCCAAAACTGTCGATCAAGCGAAGGCTCTTCTTACCTTTGTCGATGCGATATCAGAGAAGACCCTCCGGAGTACTGTCACACTTACGGCGGCTCGAGGCCGAGGGAAATCAGCAGCTCTTGGAGTGGCCGTTGCTGCTGCGATAGCTCATGGCTACAGCAACATCTTCATCACCTCACCAAGTCCTGAAAATTTGAAGACATTGTTTGAATTCGTCATCAAAGGCTTCGACGCCCTAGAGTATATGGATCATGTCGACTATACGATTTTGCAATCAACAAATCCGGATTACAACAAAGCCATCGTACGGATCAACGTCCACCGGCAACATCGGCAAACCATCCAGTATATTCAACCTCAAGATGCCCATGTCCTCGGTCAAGCAGAACTGGTGGTCATCGATGAAGCAGCAGCAATTCCTTTGCCGCTGGTACGGAAATTGATGGGGCCTTATCTTGTCTTCATGGCATCCACCATCAATGGCTACGAGGGAACTGGCCGTTCGCTGTCGCTGAAACTCATCCAACAACTGCGAGAGCAGTCTAGGGGTGGACCTAGCACTAATGGAGACGATGTCGAGGTTGCAGACAAGGCGACAGGCAAGGCAGCCAAGGATGGCGCCAAAGTCTATACCGGCGGAAGGAGTTTGAGAGAGATCACGCTGTCAGAACCTATCCGTTACGCACCCGGAGATGGTGTTGAGAAATGGCTGAATCGGCTATTATGTCTCGACGCCACGTTGCCCAAGTCGAAGATGAATACCCAAGGGACGCCTCATCCGTCAACATGTGAATTGGTCCATGTCAACCGTGATACGCTTTTCTCCTTTCATCCTGTCTCCGAAAAGTTCCTGCAACAAATGATGGCGCTTTATGTTGCGTCGCATTACAAGAATTCTCCCAATGATCTTCAACTCATGTCTGACGCCCCAGCACATCAACTCTTTGTGCTGATCCCCCCGATATCTGAGAACGCAAACAAACTACCGGAGCCTTTGTGTGTCATCCAAGTCGCTCTCGAGGGTCGGATCAGCAAAAAGTCGGTTCTGAGCAGCTTGTCCCGTGGTCAGAGGGCAGGGGGCGACTTGATTCCCTGGCTGGTCAGTCAACAATTCCAGGACTCGGAATTTGCCGGACTGTCAGGTAGCCGCGTTGTTAGAATTGCTACGAACCCGGACTACCTGAATATGGGATATGGGTCACGGGCACTGGAGCTCCTGAGGGACTTTTACGAGGGCAAGTTCACCTCTTTGTCTGAGACGGACGAGACCACAATAGAGGATGCAGAGCACATGCCGCGCGTCACAGACGCCGAACTCGAAGAATCCAATCTGCTCGATGACAATATCAAAGTACGCGATATACACGAAATGCCGCCACTTTTCAGCAAGCTCTCCGAACGGCGACCCGACCGCTTAGACTATCTCGGTGTCTCGTTTGGCTTGACACAGCCACTCCATAAATTCTGGAAAAGACATTCCTTCGCACCCGTGTATCTGCGGCAAACGCCTAACGAATTGACGGGCGAGCATTCCTGCGTCATGCTCCGGCCTCTTTCGACAAGCACAACCACAGATAACTCGTGGCTGGCGGCTTATGCGCAAGATTTCCACAAACGTTTCCTTACTCTGCTGTCCTATCAATTCCGCACCTTTCCTTCGGTCCAAGGACTATCTATTTCGGAGTCCGCCTCGCGAGCCACCAGATCTGGCCCTGACGAGTCATCCTCGACGAATGTGAAACCTCTCACCAAAGCCGATCTTGACGCCCACTTCTCGCCTTTTGATCTTGCCCGTCTTGAGTCATACGCCAACAACCTGCTTGATTACCACGTCATCCTCGACCTGCTACCTGCCCTCGCTTACCTCTATTTTACTGGCCGCCTCAAGCTCCCACCTTGCAACGTCAGTCTGTCTGGAGTGCAGCAGAGCATACTACTGGCAATCGGATTGCAGAGGAAGGACCTCAGTGACGTGGAAAAGGAGCTGAACTTGCCGAGCAACCAGCTGTTAGCTATGTTTGTGAAGGTGGTCAGGAAGATCAGCACGGCATTGAGGGCAGTTTTGAGTAGCGAGGTGGAGGCGAGCTTGAGCGAGAAGAAAGAGATCGAAACGAATAGCAAGGTGGCAATCAACTCAAACCCCAGCGGTGGCAGGGTACACATTGCACCCCTGGGCCCTGCGAATGGTGATGACGGTGGGGAAGACGATGAGGAAGAAGTCGACCCAGAAATGCGAGAGAAACAAAGGGCAATGATCGATGCGTTGCCGCTTGACAAGTGAGTCTCTTTCAGTCTCTTGCCGCATACACACAGCAACTCAATCCTATCCGCTATCTACCCAATCCTCATGTGCTTGTTCTTTCCCATTTTCCCCCTACGCAGCCCCTTCCTGAAACCCAATGTCAAGACAACCGATGACGAGACACGAGAGAGATGTACACTCTGAACTAATAAGACTTTCGATCGGTGCAGGTACGAAATCTCCACCACCAGCGCCGCAGACGACCGGGCCTGGGAGCAAGCCGAACGACAGGTCCGCGAAGCCGGCAACAGCACCGTCGTGAGCGTCAAAAGTGCCGGTGGAAAAGTGAAAAAGCGGAAGATTGACGATTCGGAAGGTGACGGTGGAGAAGGAGACGAAGACGCCGCCGCTCGAGGTGGTGATCACAACAGGGAGAAGAGGCGGAAAGACAAGAAAGGAGGCCGGATAGAGGGGAGCGGAGGAGGGAAGAAGAAGACAGGAAAGACAAAGGACAAGGACAAGGATAAGGAGAGAAGGAGAAAAGCATGATTGATTCCCTCCTCTCACGTCGACCTTGCTTTTGTGCTGGAGAGAGGATCTATCTCGCTCGTCATGTATGGGCGTTTTGACAGGGGTTCGAGACTAGGACTAGGACCAGGATCCGGACAAGAGCATCTTCTTTGAGAAAAAGAGCCATTAATCGAACGCAAGGCTAACGTAACACCAAACTGCGAGGTCAGGTCGAACTCGAGACTCAAGACTCAAGTGTCAACCTTGTCACAAACATTATCACAATGCTTGACTTTTAATTCTTGGCTCTTGCCTCCGTCATCTTTTTCGGGTATACCTAGTACCCAGTAGAGAGAGGGAATGGAGAAAATTGCATCGTATCGTAGCTAGCTAACTAGGTAGCTTAGATTCCCTTTCGACGTCGACTGATCTCATGATGAAGAAGACGGCGACATCACAGCAAGCAAGCAACCAAGCAACCAAGCACAAAAGCAAGAAACCCAAGGCTCGTCCGGTCTCAGTCTTAGTCTCGTCCCAAGCAAGTGCCACGTCAATTCAATATGCATCATCATCATCATAATCATCCTATTTCCCAATGTCGTGTGTGCAAAATTGTGACTTGCACGGTATACTAGAACCAGAACGAGGTCCCGGTCCCGGTACCCAACCCGCCTCCCTTGTCACCTTTCTCCATCTTCACAAAAAATAAGCAAGCCCCGCGTGTGAGAAAAGTCAAAAAAGAGGTGGATTGTGTGTGTGTGTGTGTGTGTGTGTGTGTTCCACGAACAAAAGGGCGGCAAAGGCGGCCGAGCAGCCTGAAAGCTTTTCTTTCGTTTGCCACCAGGATGAGTGTCGCTGACATGACATGACACCCTTCGATCATAATGAGTAAGTGAGTGGGTCGTTGATGGGGAATTGACGCCACCACCATCACCACCAATTCTGCAGCAGACACAAATCATCCATCATCATCATCATCATCTGGCCGTTGAGCACAATCTGCACGAGAATGACACAGCACTGTATCAGTCTGAAGGGAAGTAGTAATCATCTTCAAGTTTGTATGATCTCTTTGAGACGGCGCTTCGCTTCGGTCGGTTTGAGGTCGACTGTTGGGAATTGGCGTGCGCAACAGCTGGCAGCTCCACGGTAAAGCGCACTCGTCTCTGCTTGTCTGTCTTTTGTTTCTTGTTCTTGTCTCGTGCACCTGCCATACTCGTGGGTTTGATGACTGAGCTGGTGTCCGTGCCAGTGGCAGCACCGGCTGGCGAGTCGGAGACTTTTCGTTGCATGCGATTCTTCAACTTCAATATCACGACGGGCTTCTTGTTTTGTGGTGCCGGGGTAGGCAGATCTTCCTTGTCTTTTGCATCTCGAAGTGGAAATATCTCCTTCTCCGTGACAGGGTATGTGCCGTCACCCTGGTAGAACCATTCGAATCCCTCCGGCTCGCTTCCATTCTCCAGATCCCAGACACCATGGACAACCGGTGTCCTTCCAGGATCGTTTGGATCGGCAACAACCTCATACCGGCCGAAGATGTTCTCCTCGCGATTCTCAACTGAAGACTCTATGTACATCTCCAGAGCTTCTTTAAACGACTTTCGCTGAGACAAGGTCGATTCAGCTGTGAAGCGGAATCTGAATCCTTTTGGATGACAGAAGACTCTCTTGGTCGTGAAATCGTCTGGTCTGAAATGTCGCGGGATGTGAAGCCTGACTCGGCCGTCATGACGTGTTTCTCTGCTTGCTATCTCAAAAGGGCTGCCACAAGAAATGCGCGCCTCGTCCTTGTTATTTGGTGTAACGGCTTTATGACTGTTGCGGTTCACCTGCTCCTCATCCACCATGGGAATAGGGTGGTCCACAACTCCTCTCTCATGATCCGTCTTTGGCTTCTTCGTGGGTGGTAATGCAGTCTCTTCATCGGTGATATCGAGACGGTGCTTTGCGGCGTTGTCGGACGACACTCGACTCACATCTTGCGTCGTCGGTGAACCAGCTATAGATGTAGCAGAGGTACTAATAGCGTCCGAAAAGTGCTCGGTGCGGGCGTTGCTCCTATCATCACTTCTTGTGCTGGCAATTTGCTCGGCCGTCGGAAAAGGGGCGCGGCTCATAAGCGTCTCTTTTTGGTCCAGTATCTTCAGCTCCAGGTTCCGGATCTGTGTACGCAGATCAACGTTTCCATCTTGCTCAATAGCCAGCTCCGCGATCTTGGACAATCTGAGCCACTCTTGCACGTTTGGCTGCATATCCCACAGAATGTGCTTGCACTCGCCGAAAGCTCTCGACGTACCCACAGGCGAGGCTTCTGTGAAAAGATGGTCTCGAGAAACCCCAGAGTACTCGAAACTAGAGGCGATGGAAGAAACATCAGTCGCATCAAGAACCCCCCTGATCAGGCGAATAAGTACCTCGAGTGGCCTCACTAGGCTTTCATCCTTAGTTGTCGCAGGCACACCATCCGCTGATCCTTCACGACTGGTCGAAGAATTAGACGCGGTCGAATCTCCTGGCGAAGGGGTTTCCTCGTCAAGTTCCAACGCCAGAGCCACAAATAGATCATGACGTTCTTGCTCTTCGTCAATACGTCGTTTGGTGTTTTCCTTCTGCCTGACAGTGTTGAAGTCATTGTAGTATTTCTGAAGCAGCTTGAGGTTATCGCGGGTCTTTAGCACCTCGTACAGGCAATAAACCATGAGATCTCGTCCCATAGGGTTTAGTCGTGTCACATCCACGATCTGGTGCCAATCCTTGGGCTGGATTTTCCCCCCATAGTCCTCGAGGACTTTGTCCAGAAGTTCCTCGACAGCTCCCAAAGAGTCTTTTGCAGCTGCCCGTCTTCGTAGCTTACTTTCAGAAATACCAACTTCTTCGAGTTCACCAGCTGTGACTGCCCAAGCTGGACCGTGTTTGTGGCTCGCAACCAAGACGGGCATTTTGGTCGGACTTATATCTCTTTTTGAGCGAGGTTTTCCGCGCGGCAATCTAGCGGGGATTTCGTCTTCATGCTGTACAGAGCGCTTGCTGGAAACTTGAGGTGCTCCGCCCTTTGTGGGGGTGGTACCAGGATTGTAGCCCAAACGCAATGCCTCGTACCAGGCTTTTGATAAAACATCAAAAACATGATCGAGGACTTCCTTCCGTCTCTGGTCGTCTCGAATTCTTGTTCCCCATTCCGCCCAGTCTTTCACGTGCTCCATAACCTGTGTACAGAAGGGAAGATTGCTATCAGGCAGAAGGGCTGATCGATCAAACCGTCGTCGGTGCTGCGATCGGGACCCGGATGGCATTAGAGCTGGAGGGAACTGGTACCTCACGGGTTCCTGTGTAGGGTCGTCGATGTTCTGGGTGGATACGAATGGTGGGATCTCGAAGCAACCAGACTGAAGATCCTTTCTGATCGCAGCGCGGGAGTTCTTATAAGTTGTACCCATCGTCTCAATCTGGGGCTTAGTGATTCGGGGCTGTTCAGTGATGGTGGCGACAAGATTGGGAACTGCTGAATCATCTCGATCTGGGGCCGACGACGTGTCAGTCATCCCGGCACTTGTTTTGGCTTCATCGACCTCTTCTCGGATGATTCCGACTTCGATAACGCATCTTTGCTCAGGATGGACATCTGTTCCGACCCTTACACCACGATTCTGCGAGGACTGTGTCGGTGACTGCATGGCTGTGCTTGCAGGCTGCGAGTCGGTCTCCATTCCCTGAGGTAGAGCGTCAGCTGGTGGTGCGGCAAGATGGTAACATCCAATATATCGAGGGCAAGAGAATGACTAGAGCCGATAATTCAAAGCCAAAATTCGCAATGAATCATACCAGAAATCAAGGGGAAGTTGAGAGGAGCGACTGGCGGCAGCAAGGGGGCAGATAGCAGTAGGAGCTTAGGGCACGCTTGGACGTTGAAGGGAAGAATGAAAGTCGTTCAAACCCATTTCAAACGAGTGAGTATTTGAAGAGAATGGTAAGTGAAAGATGAAAGAATGGAGGAGAAACTTGGGAAGAGATCGAGGTAAGAGAACAATGAGAGAAGAGAGCGATGTCGAATGACAACATTTGTGATTTAGCAGCTCGATGAGATTCACTAGGACGTGCGATTCAGAGAAATCATGACGCGCAACTTGAGCGTAGTTGACCTGAGATATACCAGAAAAGTGAAAGTCTTTTTGGTTTCACCATCAGAGCTCATCATGCTCTGCGCTCGGGCTCTCTTCAGGCTCAGGTTCTGGGGCAGCAGCACTGATAACAGTGTTAGTAGCCTCGGGCTCTGGACTCTGTTCTGGCTCAGGGTCGGCAAGATCTTCACTATCATCGGCTGTCTCGATGGGCTCAGTGGCCTTCATCGTCTCTGGGGGTTCAGGATCCGAAAAGTTCTCTGTCGATGCTCCAAAGCCATCGGGCAAGGCTGACCTGGAACCTTCGCCGAGTTTGATGGCATCAACGAAGTTTTCCAAGTCAAGGACGTCATAAGAACTACTCGAGTATCGTCGCCACCAACCTCTCTTCATGTTCATTGCAATGATTTCGATCCGCCCCTCTTGTCCAAGGCCCAGGCCATTTCTGATCAGGGTTGCAGCTTGGTTTTCAGCAGGTACAGCATAAGTGGGTATCGTACTGGCCTTGCGCATGTTGTGCTTGTGATTGATTTCCGCAAATGCCGCCAATGCCGATGTTGCTGGTTCAGACGGCGGATCTTGCGGATCGGCAAGGAGCACCAGAATGCAGTTGCCGCTTCTTGGCATCATACAAGCAGCCTCTACCTCTGCCTCGGTTGAGAGAGTGGGAATCGGCGTGATAGCCTCTGGAACAATCATTGGCTTTTCGTCCACTTCGACAATCGGTAGAGAGGACTCAGTAGAAGTGTCATCGTCAAGTACGATGGTGCTAGAGCCCTTGAGATGCTCTTCGAAGTCGGAGGATTTATGGGCCGCTGACGCTCTGGAGAATGCGGCCGAAGCTGATGATGATGGCTTGGACTTTTTGCCTGTAGACTTGGCTGGCTTTGTGTTCTTCGGTGCTGGGTCGGGGTTTGGAGGAGCAACCTGGCTGAAAAAGTTTACCAAAGAGTCTCTATTGATCTCGCCGTCGTACGGAACAGGAGTCGCGCCATGGGAAGGGATCAGTCGAATCGCAGGAAATTCGACGACGCCATACTTCTCAGCGGTAGCCTTGTCCCGGACCTGGGCGAAGGCGATGCTGCCGAGGAAATCGATGGCCAAACTCTTGACCAAGGGACTGGTTGTACCTTTATCCGTGAATACAAGAGCTTTTGCCGGAACATCTTCGGCGTTCAACCACTTGTCCAACGTGTCACCCGACAGTCTTTTGACATGATTTGGAATTTTGTCCTTGACCGCATCCACAATGCCCTTTGTAGACCTGGGACCCATATAGTCCTCGACAATAGGACGACCTGGCTTTGAACCCGGTCTGACGAGCTTTAACGTTGGAAAGCCTTGAATACCCATCTGACCACAGAAAGGCTTGTTGGCATCATCATCGCAGTCGACGGCCGCGACCTTGGCTAGGCCAGCTAGGTTGTTTGCCGCCTTCTCGTATGCAGGTTTGAGGTTTTGGCAATGGCCACACCATGGGGCGTAGAACTCGACAATCTGACAATGAGGGTCAATCAGTTGAGCTTCGGCCAGTGGATTGGGAGGCAAGGGCGGGGGATTCGTACAGAGGTATGGTTGGATTGTGCAATCAGAGAGTCGTATGTCTTTGCTGTGACTTGAAGCACTGGAGATGACTTGCTGTAAAGAGCATGTACATTGATCAGGCAGGTCAACGCGAGGACCAGCAACGTGAGCGGCGTTGATGTAGGCATTTCGGGAGGTGTTGGAAGGCAAAAGAGAGCGCGCTAGTGTATCTCACGGAACCAGGTGGTGGTGTAGAAACCTGTGTCCCATAGATGAGGGCATTGAGGTGATTGTAGGATATTGTGAGGTGAAAAGTGGTTGCGAACACTGTGGCATGAAGTGAAAAAAGCGCAGGGCAGCGTAGGACAAGCAAGGGCGGCGATGACGGTTTTGCCGCTCCCCTCACCTCACTTCACCCTGCTTGCCTCGCTTCAGCACTAGTCACCAGCATTCGGCCCAAGTTCTGAAAATATGTATTACTCGGTACTCCATGTTGTGGGATGAAGCGCATCATCATTCTCTAATCTTTTGGGAGAAAGGTCGACGTACGCTGTCACTAAACTCTTTTTTCGTCCTCCGTACCCTACGAATTGAAGTGTCCCTAGTTACTCTCCGGTCCCCATTCTGGCTACTCGATCCTGTCCCCGAGGCAAATCACAATCTCCCTGGCCTCGTGCGCTTCCGATTGCCCTCACCTACCTACGAGATGCCGGACCTTTTCTTAGGCCCGTTGTCCACTACGTGCCGCCGTGGGTATGCCAACCTTAGGTTTCAGTATGTTGTCGAACATCCACAGATAGGGCAAACTGGACTTCGGAATCCGGAAGATCAAGAGGGCACAGCCTTGATGACGCCAAGTACTCGGCACATGGTGTAGCTACAAGTACGAGTCTGTGAAGAGCAAAGAGATGGACCCCAAGAAAGAGTATGCGCCTTGTACGAGAAGGGTCATTCCAAAAGAGCCCCCATAGGCTATCTAGTACTCGGTAGTCCTCCATAGAAACCCTAGGAGCCTGAGGAGCGTTAGGGGCCATCTCAGACCAGCCTAGGTAGGCATGAATATGTAATAATTCTAGGCCCTGGCACCAACTGGTCCACTGGTCCCCCTTGCAGCGTCCCGCTTCCTCCATCCTCCTGGGGATCCCCATTTCGTTAGAGCTTAGCGCAATGCCCAGCATCAACTCGTATTGCTCTGGCCATGTCGATGTTACGGTACCAATCTGTACGGGGGTGTTGTCGTTGATTCAAAATCCCGAAACCTGGCAACTTGGCTTTGCACATCAGACACCCTGTGGGCTTTGAGAAGACATCTATGGCCTATATTCTCAGCCCAATGAATTCAAGAGGAATTACACTGTACGAGGTCTTGGAAATGTGTAAGCATGCATCATCTGGCATCGATTGTGTTCGCTTGATCAAAACCCCATTTGCACCCAGGTACATGTTCTCGATGTGTAGGGAGAGTCGTGGGTCCCCCAGGGTTCCGCTCTCACTCTCTTCCTTGTTCCCTGTCCGGCACATCCTCCTCCATCGGTCATCAAGCCCCGAGTATCGAGGAGGGATAGGTCGATGCACAGAGCCAGTCGAGACGACAAAGGATTCCCAAATCCCAAAGCTTAAACACGATGAGGGTTAGTCAAAGAAAGGAATAGAGCAGTAGAGAGTGAAAACCCATGTCTTTTGCCATCATCTACAAGAGCAATCTTTACAGCCCAAAGAGGACAACGGGTAGCGGGTACACAAGCCAAAAGTAGCCAAAAGCACCTGGAAGATCAGATCGGCAACTCCCCCAGGGTTTCTGTTGGTTATTAGTCGCGCCGGGCGATAGCGAGTGACTAGTGGGTTCAATGGCCCTCAGTGGCCTCCGTGCCCCCCAGTGACCCCCCAGTTGCCCCCAGGTGCCGACCAACTCCTGATCGAGTACAAGTACCTCGCACCCTAGGTGTCTGGGTAGCTGGGTAGGGCTCATGGGTGGCACTTGGGTGGCACTTCGGTGGCTCTAGGTGACTCTGGGTCCCTTTGGTGGCTCTAATTGTAATTATTATCGCACTAGCCCGACAGGCTCAAGGCACAATTCATTCTGTTGAACTGCGGAACTTCCCTTTCCACCTCTCCCACCTCTGCAACCTCTGACCAACAAGTTATATTGTCGCGTCCGTGCACTCGGTGTCCATTTCTCCCCCTCTTGCAACTCTTCGACAACTTCCACGACATCCTGCTATGGCACTATGGCTCAAGGGCGCGCGAAACGACCACATCAGAAGGTGAAAACGGGGTGTATGACCTGTAGGGTATGTAGACCCCCAATTTCGCCTCACCGGACGATGCGTGGTTCACCACTTCGGCTCCCACCGACTGATACTGGGTGGTCTTGATTACATTCTAACTCTTCTGGTGCGAACAGAAACGTCGAATAAAATGTGACGAGGGGAAACCTGCCTGTCGACAATGTACCGACTCTTTGCGCAAATGCGAAGGCTATCAACCTCCGCAGACATGGTTGTTCAAACCTCGAAAGGCGTCTGAAGTCAAAGACACCACCACCAACAAGAACAACACGACGCCCATGGCCATTGTTCAATTTATTTCTCCTCTTACACCTATTGGCGATTCCGAGGATAGACGTTCTTTTCAATTTTGGGTCGAACAAGCCGCTCCCATCTTTTCCTCTTACTTTGGTACGTCCCCATCACCGCCAGTCTTGCTTTGAGACTCATTTCTATCACCAGGTCACTCTTTCTGGGCTGAGCTGTTGCCAAAAATTGGTGTTGCTCAACCTGCTGTCAAGCACATGCTGCTTGCTACCTCATCTGTCGTCGAGGCGTCCGCCCTTGAAGGTGTCCCTCTCGAAAAGAACTCGGTGTATCAGACCCATTACACCAAGGCTATCCAAGCCACCTGCTCGTCTCCCCAGATCGAGAGCGTTTTGATGGCTTGTCTGTTATTCGCCTGTTGCGAATTCATGAAAGGTTCAGTCCTACCTGGACTACGGCACATACAGGCAGGCCTGAACATTATCGATGAATGGGCCAAATCTACCCGAACCTCAGACTTTCAGCTTTCGTCTGGCGCAAAGCTGATCATTCAAGCCATAGCCCCCATCTTTCTAGCCTACATTGACAAAGCGCCCACATACGGCATGGCCGATCTTCCCATCAACGAGTGCGCCTGTACCACGCTCATCAACAGCAGCGCGGAATTGCCGTGGGTCGACCATTTCACCATCATCCACAGAGCCCATCATGCATTGGATGGTATTGGCCACCATATTGCAAGAATGATGGACTACAGAAGATCTCAGTGGAGACCATCCCCACCGGATCAAGTGGAAATGTTGCTGGAGTCGTGGCGGACGCACTTTGAAACGTTCGAGTCGAGTCGGAACGATGCTCAGAGGCAACGATACGGTCTGGCCCTGCAGCTGCTCCGAGTTCACTACACCATGCTGTTGGTGATGCTTCGAGTGTCGTCGAGCAAGCAGGAGAGCGTCTACGAACAATACACGGAGGAATTCAAGTGGATTGTGGACAAGTACGACGCTTTTGCCGAGATTTGGGCCAGGGACGAGTCGACCAAGTTCTTCTCCGGCCTGGGAAATCTCGAGTACCACATGGGATATATTCCCCCTCTATTTCTCACGGCTACCAAATGCCGGGATCCAGGCACCCGTCTGGCGGCCTTGAAACACCTCAACGGTCTGCGTGTGGTTGAGAACAACTGGACCAGTTGCACGGCATACTTGATTGCCAGGAAGATTATCAAGATTGAAAACACTCGGTCTATCAACAACAAACGGGCTGGTCTCAAAGATGAGCGCGACCTCATCCGGCCGGTGGAAGCATTCATCACCGACAAACGAAGTACACAAGCAGGTCTCAACTACCTGGCGTTCCCCTATGAATCGAGTCCGACTTTGCAGGATACCTTGGATCTACAGAGTTGTCCCTTCGGCCCCTCGGCGCAGTGGGTAAGTACATTGCTCCCAATCTTTAGTGGCCCCAAACTAAATGACCTGTAGCCATTGTGCAGAATCATCCGCATCGGAGGATTTCAAGGAGGAGGTGTCAGACCCCTCTCTACAGGGTGCTCCTGTGGGATTGCGCCGTCGAAGGATGCCTTGATCTTTCGACCCAAGACAAAAGTGTGAATAGGCATATCTTTTGAACTGTTCAACAGTATTTTACAGGCAAAGGCTTGCGAAAGTCAGCATTCTTTCGCGGACCTCTTGCGCGACGGACCAACCACTTCTCAGCCACAGGCAGCCGGAAGATGTGTGGAACATGGCCTGCTGCGCCCCTAACATTCGCCTTCGAAGATGCGTCGCCACACACTATGAAATCAGTTGTTGGCTGGGGGCAGAACGCTGAACTTCCGGTCGATTCCATTATTGGTGGTCCGAGATATAAATGGGATGTTCTATTCCAAGTCTAAGACACACAGTCCTTACCGCCTGAGATTGACATGCATTGGCAACGCCTGTGGGTAGCCTGGCGAGCGTGGGCCACAAAGTACACGGCATAAACGCTTTCCCGAGGTTCCTGCTCCCTCTGCACTTGCAACAACCCTGGATTGCCTGCTGAAACCCCTTTCGTACAGTGGTTGGGCAAGTAGACCTCAAATTTGTCTTTGGTCTTTTGAGTGGAACCGCGAATCCGCGATTACTTCGGCAGGCGAGAGGCAGTGAAACCACTCGGTAAGGAGGCAGGGGTGGTGATGTGGAGAGACATGGAGGCGGTGATATGTGAGCCTGCAAACGCAAGATAGGGCAAGAGCGCGCAGGGCCTCGTCACGCTGGGGATGGTCGGTTGAAACCGGATATCGGGGGTATCAGGGGCACCCAAGGGGGGTGAAGATGATGAGATAATATGGACAGAGGCAGTGAGAGAGACAACAAGGGACAGGCATGGGCATCCTTCCCGTCGCCAGGGTATAGGCAGAAGCAGGGATGTTTCTGGCCTTGTGATCTGCGATCTGTGACCTTTGGCCAATATGTCCTGGGGACAAGTCCAAGAGTACATGTGAAAGGCCACCACAGGAGCCTTTGTGGAGAGTGAAGAGTGAAGAGTGGCTGTATAAGACGATGATTATAGCGTAATCACTTTAAATTCCCCCACGGTAGCGAGTGTACTACCAGTAGTAGTAGACATTCAGTCCCAGCCCAGTCCTGTCCTGTCCTTGGGAATGGTCATCTCGCTCGATCCGCTCGATATGCTGGCTGGTTTGCTGGCTGGGGGGGTGGTGGTGGTGGTGGTGGTAGAGTGAGATGACCACTTTCCTTCGCGAACCTACCAACCAATCAATCAATCAATCAATCACCAATCCATAGACAGGCAGGACAAGATACAGATGACAGATGACAGGTGAAAAGGTCAAGACAGGACAAGACAAGACAAGGAGAAGGAAAAGGAAAAGGTCAAGGATGTCGATCCCAACGCGAGTGACTGCCCGTCTGGACGTAGTCGAGAAACATCACCAGCACCAAGACAAGCACGGGGGGGTCGTGATGATGGATGGATCCTTGGGACGGATCGAGGGCTGGATAGTTGGGTGGGAGAGAGGGATGATCTGATATTCAACCCTGCGAGAATGAGAATTCACTGCTACTGCTACTGCCACTCTATTCTGCTGTCATTCTTGTCCTTGACCTCGTGACTTCGTAGAAGATAGGGCTCCCCTTTTTCCCCGTGACGGTGGTTCGGGGCATGCCGACAGACAATCTATTTCACTTCTGTTCATTGGTGTTTGATTTTGTTAATGTTGACAACGATGATGACAGATCTGGGGGTTGATGACAGAGACAGAGACAGCAACGTGGACGGGGGGCGGTGGCGGCGGCGGCGGCGGCAATCAAGTGATACTATCGACTATCGACTAGGTATCCAGTACTCCGTACCGAGTAGTCATTGTTTGTCACGAGATGAGGTCAACTCTTCGACTTGGATCTAGACCTTGACATGGCCCTGGACATTGGACCTGGACATTGATCGATGCCAAAGCTGAGACGATCAAAGGCACGGGACCGGAACAGGGGGTTTTGCCACACACACACTCACGCCGTGTACCTCGTGCTCGGTATTGACATACGTATGTATGTACTAGTGAAACACATTCTGAGCATACGTGGTGCTCTGTACTTCTCCTCCACACCTTACTCGTATTACCTTTGAGTATTACGATTCATTGGTAAACATAAGGTATGCACATAGACACCTGGCAGTGATGAACCTACCTAGTCACCAGGTATCCCGTATCAGGCATGTCCTGGTATCAAACTGGAACTTTTGTTTCCCTTCCGCCGGAGAACTCGCTCCAGCAAAATAATGAATGCGAGTGATGGTGTGCCGCTACGAAAAACGACTCGTCCCTCCCCCCTTCCGCTTCCCCTTCCTCGTCCTGCCTCCGGCATCTCAATCGCGCCCTAACGGGTGACTAGGCAAGCTAGGGTAAGTCGTAGGATGTTTGAGTTGCTGGGGGGGGGCTGCAAAAGGTACGAGGTAAATGAATGCCTATTTGGACCTACGTCGGACAGTTAGTACGCGGTAGGGCTGACGGGGTCGTAGGGCTAGTTTTGAGGCCAGGCAGAGGCGCGTTTGCGTTGGTGTACCTAGTGCCACAGTGCCGAGGGGGGGCCCTTTTGGATAGTCAAGGCACTGGCATTGGTGCAGATATCAGGTACGAGGTACAGATACCGAGTACACAGACAGGCACAGGTGACAGGTGACAGATGGCAGATGGCGGGTGACAGATGATGGGGCAGTACATGTGCATGTACAGAAGAGAAGGTACTCACTCCGCACTACTGTTGTTAGTAGTACGTGGGAATAGCGGTCCGCGCGCCAAGGCACCACCTACATTGGCAATCTACCTACCTACTCGTCGTGATATGTGCAGTAATTAATACTCCCTTGTCCGGTCCTCAGTAATTAGAGTCGACGTAAGGTTCAAAAAGGGAAAGGGCTCTAACCTTTTCGATACTCCGCACCCAAGAATAATACTCAATACTCAGTATTCGTATCGGTAGGTACTAGGTATCATTGCGCTAGCTAACTAACTACTCGTATCAATGTACTCGGTACATTATCCATCCCTACGAGGTACTCGGCACATAGGTACATACATGCGCGACACCGGCGCCAGTGCCAGTGTCGGCGCCTTACAGGGCCACGATCCCACATCCCACAGCTACGGCGCCACGGCGCCACAGCCCACGGGGTGAGTGACAAATACCGAGTACTTGTCCCCGTACCTCGTAGTGTGTGCGCGCGAGTGAGCCTTGTACCGAAGGGGGCAAAGGTCCAGGGAGTCCCTGATTGGTTGGTTGGGTGGTTAGTGAGAGGAGAGAATGGCAGACCGGACCAAAGAGCAAAGGACCAAAGGATGGAGTAGATAGATATCGTGCTACGAGCAACGAGCAGAGTTACAGAGTATGCACCTCGACTAGGTAGGTAGGTACTATTACTCGGCACAATTATAATCAGGTTGGTACGTAGGTCGGTAGATCCCTCCGATTCTTCACTTCTTACTAACATCCTCACGCGTACCGAGTAATGACCTCGAGTATTATCAAGCACTGACAAACATTCAAGATGCTCGTAAGACGAACGGGACTCCGATCAAACACGACGGGACCACGCCGACGCCGACGCCGACGCCGACATCCACCACCAAGACAAGAAGCCACGGCGAAGAGGACACACGCTACAAAGGACTCGGTGTAGGACTCGTCGGTGCATCGCATCGTTGCATGTGAACGCACACGGGGATACGTCCAGATACGGCAGCAGCCCTCATATTAACCCCCAGGAACATTGGGGTATTTCCGCTTCCCCTCGCCCTGTATGTACATAGGACATGCGAGTAGTTGGTACTTGACTTGGATGACAGAGACAGGCAGGCCAGGAGAAGCACCAAACGGGACGAGGCGAGCGGGAGCATCACATCCCAGCAAGGAGACGACCTGGGACGCTAGGGACACCACGGACAGTAAGAACAACCGGAACCGCCGTCAACGATGGGTGTCTTCCTTGCGCTTCGCTTCTCAGATTTGTTCCAGAATGATGTGAAACCTGGGGTCCAAACTACACCTTTGTCGCACACAGAGCGGCATCAAAGGCCGTGCCAACCTCATTGGGGCAGGTGGAAATAAGGCCGAGAAGGAAGCCAAAAGCTTGTCTTGTCTATCCCTGCATCTTGATTTCGACTACCGCGGTCAATCCTGGTAGCAAACTACATGGTTGGATGGGATTTCACAACCCTGCAGCAGCGTCGCTGCAGAGTATCATTCAGGAGCCATGCCGCCGAGATTTATCACACGTCGCAGCTTGTGCCATCGTCAAGGGAAACAGACCAAAAGAGGCACCATGATCGCGATGCCCCAACGACCTTGAAATAGTCCTGGGACCCTAGCGAGGGGCCTCTTTCAAGACTAGCCTTGGCAAGACCTAGGTATCGAGTGCGAGATGGACGTGACAAGGTACTGTCTCCACCAAACAAGGGAAATCCATGCCACTGATCCGGAATATGTCCGGATAATCATCAACAGAAGGCGGGGGCGGGAACGTTTCTTGAAACCTCAGGAGTCGGCCAACTCTGAAAGATTGGAAGTCCAAACTTGCCAAATACCTGTGGGGAGACGCAATCTGGACACCTCTAGGGCGGCAAATAGGGTTATTGCCCTGTCGAGAGAATATTGCGAGAGGACAGCCTTAGACAACCCAACCAGGAAAATTCGCTTGCACCAATGCTTTCCCCTATCGGGATCAAGGCGGGGCCGTTGCACCGGGTTCGTCTCTCAAGGGAACCCAAGTCCAGAGCTCCGAACCAAAATCAGATCGGCAGTGAGATGGAAATCGCCATGTGAGTGGGGACAGCGACAGCATCAAAGAATGGTGCGAGCAGACGGTCATGTGCCTCGTCGCCTTGTGACTGTACACCGCCATCCACGCTTCCGCTCCCTATGTAAATTGCTCCTTTTCCGCTCAATCGAGACGGTGTGCAATCTCAGCTCGCTCATCGCATTCCACAATGGTATAGGCGACGCCCAATACCTCCAAGGTGCCGCTGATCACGAAAGCACGGAGTTCCCCTTACCTCTTTCTCGAGGGCGATGAACCGAACCTCGATTCCGGATTGTGACCGCTCCCTCCACTCTGCTAGGTCCATACCGGAACACGAGGGCGCATGAGGCACGGGCAAAATGAGTTGAGCTCAGCTCGGGTTGACAGAGCAAGCCCTCGGTGGGAGCTTACCGAAACTATCAGGAGTCCAAGGGATAAGCACAGATTACCTCACAAATACCTCGCCTTCTCGAATCTCGATGAGAAATCTGAGGCCTTCTTGACCATGTCCCTTCGCTGAGTGGCGGTGATCGTCGAACCCGACCCTATATCCTTTTCTCGATCAAAGGCACGAGCACTGGGATCATCGTCCAGAGGTTTGTCCTGGGACGCCGTGTGGGTGGAGTAGAGTGATGGTCCCCGTTGAGTCTCCTGTAAATGGTGGTAAGACAATCAGCTTTCAGCACGTGGGCTTGAAGGCGCAAAGTACAAAGGAGTACGGTGTACGGCAAAATGCTATATGCCACGTAATCCCGACAGAGAAGAGAGAACAAAAGGAGGGTTTTATTGCCCACAGGGGAAGATCTTACATTGTATTCCTTCAATCTTCGCGCTGTGGCTTCGTCATGAGGATTTCTCGCTGAACCAGAACTCGCCGACCTGGCCGACGTAGAAGCATCGTTGATGCCCATGACCTCCCTCTTTAATCTTGCTTGCTTCTGCTCGGGTGTTTCATACCACGAAGAATCTCCTGAGCCTCCAGTAACTTGTGATGGACCCTTGGCTCCACGGCCGGTATTGAATTTACGATTCTTCAGTTTGGTGGGATCAACTCTTGCCGACCAGTCTCCGTTAGACGGTGCTATTGTCATCCATTCGTCACGCTTTATTGGCGCTGCCGACACTGTGTCCGTAGAGGTCCGCGGACCTATCGACGGAGACGTCGAAGACTTGGTAGGGTGGTCGTTGGTTGAGGGTAAACTGGGGCCGAAATCGTCGTCCCTGTCATCTGTGTCCGAGTGGTCTTCGTCTGTTGGTGGAGGACTTGAGGGTGGGCGTTCATCTAAAGGTGCTGGTGGGAGGGTCGGACCTGCAACTCGAGGCCGCTTTGGGGAAGGGTTTGTAGTTTCTTGCGCAGGTTTTGCTAGAGGAAGGGGGCCGGTCGAGGAATCGGACGATGCGTCTTCATCTTCGTCTTCATCAAGGCTTCTCTTGCGGTTTTGCAGGTGCGGAGGGAGTTGGGGGCCAATAGAAGACATGGGTGCGAAGGGGTGGTACAGGCAATGACAGAATTTGACTGGAGTGGTGGATAAGGAATGGAATCAGAGTGCTGGTTATGCACACTGTAGAAAAGGTTTGTCCTGAGGCTCAACTCCATTATGTGGTGCAGTTCCGCAGTCTGGGGATGGGACGGCGGTGGCAATAGTGCTCCGTCAAGCCTAATCGTTTTACTTGCCTACCTAGGTGCACCGGTGATTCTGGTGCCTCTACAAAGTAACCGCCCAGCAGTATAGCCGTGCCACCAGCTGCAGCCTCATGGGGGCTTCAGACGTTGACGGGTTCCTTCGTCGTTCTCTCCCACCGACTGGTTTACGACCTGATACGTTTTTCTCTCCATCCCTCCAACAGATGCGACGACCAAATGCGTTTTCCTGCATAATGTTTCTACCATTGCTGCGCCCCGTGGGCGTCCTGTGTAGTCGATTCGATGAAGCTCCAGTTCCGCAGGCGCCTGGAACAAACGCCCTGGTCGATTTCGCAGCATCCACCCGGGTCTCTCTACCACTCACACAGCAATCCTGCGAGACTTGTATCTCTTTCGTGATAGTTGACGGCTCGCCCCCTCGATCCACCAGCACTGTCCATGCACCGCTTCCTTGACTGGTCGAACTCTTCCTGCAATTGCCATTCGAGGCGCTGGGCAAAGCACATGCAGGCTTCCAATTCCCCGAGTCCTAGAGCTGAACACCAGCAGCATCACTCCGCGAGTTGCCCTCCTCATTTTGCTCCTTGCTCCTCAATGTTCCCACTCTCTCATAATGTTGCCTTCTTTCTGAGCGTTATCTTCTCCTACCACTGACGAGTCGACCCAAGCTTGCGGACGCCCCGTCTGCTTCCCTCTTTAAATGCAATGTGAAAGATTCCCTCAACTCTGGAAGGCGTCCTACCGTTCAGCAACATGGGCGGAATTGATGTCTCCTCCGTGGTGAGCTCCATTATCTCGGCCTTTGGCAGTGGACTGGACATTTTCCATCGCCTAGGAGGAAAGAAAAGGAAACCCCGCGCCAGACTTCCTCGTCCATCCGAAGAAGAAGAATGGCTACGACATTCGTTGAGGAACCGGCCTGTTGAGATCAAGCATGAATACGACCAGCAAGTGGCAAAATTCGGCCCTCGATTTGAAGTTGGCGACGCCGTTGCTCAGTCAAGCTTGGCCCATACGCTTCTTGTCCTCAACACTGGGTTGATCAACTTGATCAATCATGCCCTTTCCGGAGATCCTAGGACGATATCATCATCCAAGAGGACCTTGTTCAGCCTCTCGGAAACCGCTGCTGTTGACACTATGACCGCCATCGGACAGCTCGGCTCGCGTCTCAGCCTCGTGTCACCGTCTAGGCTAGCCCTTGAGTCGAGGGAGAGCCGGAAACCTGTCGAAAAGAATCCTCACAAAGAACACAAATCTAGTTCTAGATCGTCGACCAAAAAGACTACAAGGCCGCCTCCAGCGCCATTACTAGTTCGTGGCGGCTGGGTGAGATCCAGGAGCGGGTCCTCAGTTGTCTCTGGAGCCGCTGCAAAGAAAGCAAGGGGAGAGCAGACGGAGAAGCATCAACGATCCAAGTCAGATCTTACATTGTCGAAGTCGTCAGTATCCCGGTCCAGTGTTCCCAAGGCTAAGCAGGAAGAATCTGCAAGCGAAGTATCCGGTTGCACCTGTAAAACAACAGCCCTTCGAGCAGAAGGATCAAAGCCAGCCAACAGACGCAAGTCAAGCGAACACCCACGGCCACAGAGTCAACGTAGCATGCTCATCCTGCCTGGCGACTTTTTTGAGGATATGCGAGCCGTTCCTGAGCAAGGTGTAGTCCAGCAACCACCCCCTCCACCGCCAAAGATCCCGCTACACAGCAGGCCCCACACGACACAATCACGGGCGCGTCCGACATCGACCATGACATTCATGACAGCCAGCACGAAGATTGGCGAGATACCCGATCCCAAGTGGATGGAGAGGACGTTGCCCGACGAAGGCGACGGGCCGCGGAGAATGCCGTACATCATCCCACCGCCGCTTGAACCGAACGAGCAGAAGAGGAAGAAAGGTCTCAAGTTCTGGAGGAGAGAGGATAAGAGACGCGACGTTACCGCCTATTGAGCCTTGCTTTGGGATTTCTGCTGCGGGCACCGGGCGTATGGTAACGAGGGAGGGCGTCTAGCGTTGGGTGGTTGACGAGGATCTTGATATTGGTACCGTGTGATGATGAAAGTGATGCTTGGTTTATGTTTATGTAGTTAACTGACGTGACCATGAGATTCCCCAATAGAATGATGTCCCAAGACTATGCCTTTTTTTTGATATCAATCGCGTGAACTGGTGGATGCTGCATGTTTGTAGATCCCTTGCCACTGCAGCCTTGTGCTCCACACTCTAGATATTGATTTGTTTCTCCTTCATTTCCCCACACATTTGCTTCTACATCCTTGGATACATACATCGATACATCGACGACACAAGCCACCATGGCGACAGCAGCGACAGACAAGATCCCCGTCCCGAAACCGGGGGAGGGCGAGCCGATTGTATTTTTCGACATTCAGATTGGCGGTAAGTCATGAATGGGAGGATCCTCTGCTTCTCTCTTTCCGCTACAGCGAGGATAAAAAAAAATCCTTGGAAACAAACAACAACAACAATCCCCCTGCCCTACCCCAAGTCTCTTTCTCGCCCCCTTCCCTCTCTCTCTCTATAACTGACTAACTAATCTCATCGATCCGCAAAGGCGAACCACTCGGCCGGATAAAGATGCACCTCTTCTCCAACACGGTGCCCAAGACGGCCGAGAACTTCCGCCAGTTCTGCACGGGCGAGCACAAGGGCATGGGCAACAAGCCGATGGGGTATAAGGGGAGCAAGTTCCACCGGGTGGTAAGTTTTTTTTTTGTTTCCTCGTTTGGTTATTCTCAGGTGTTTGGAGGGTTTTGTCGAGGGAGACCGAGGGAAAAGTGAGATGGGAAGGGAAGATTCAAAATGTTTCCTGAGCGTTCGTCATGTCGGGTCGAAGTTGTCGACTACCTGATGAGCGGAGACGGAGGGGAGGGAGGGGATGATGAATGATGACTGGAAAGCACTCTCTTTTTGCCATGCTGAATGAGGAGTCAGAGTCTTTATCCCTTCTCCCTCTTTCATACCCACACCTGCACCTAGATAGTCTCCTCCCCTCCCTCCCCATTCTCTTTCCACCTTCCCTTCAACCAAACACACCAACTAACTCCCCCTCCACCTCCTTTGTGGGAACCAAAAAGATCAAAAACTTCATGATCCAAGGCGGCGACTTCCTCCACTCGGACGGCACGGGCAGCACGAGCATCTACAACAACGCCGCCTTCGCCGACGAGTCGTTTGCCATAAAGCACACTCGCCCCGGGTTGCTGTCCATGGCCAACTCGGGCCCCAACACCAACGGGTGTCAGTTCTTCATCACCTGCGCGGCCGCCCCCTGGCTGGACAACAAGCACGTCGTGTTCGGGCAGGTCGCGGACGACGAGGAGAGCATGAAGGTCGTGCGCATGATTGAGAATACGAGGACCGCGGGGCCCGGGGGGAGGGGCCAGGGCGAACGGCCCGTGCTGGACGTCAGGATCGTGCAGTGCGGTGAGATGTGATTCCAAAAAATCCGGAAGGTCTGGAAGATGGCAGAGGAGAAATGTCGTGGGTGGCTCAGCCTCAGGGCAGGAACTGGGTGTTTGGAGGACATTGAGAGGCTGTGGAAAGAAAGAAAGAAAAGAAAAAGGAAAACAGAACACGAGCCAGTCTTCCTCGCGTCAACCCCATGTCGGGGAGCTGAGGATCAAGTCAAGTCAACACAGTGCTTTTGTCTCTACAGTGACTTACGTCAAGGCACCATCGAGAGAATTCCAGAGGAGAGATAGTCCAACCACACAACCAACCGAAAGAGACATTCGAGCGCAAAGACTAGTCCCGATCATCATGTGCTCCTCAATCATACCGTCAATAATAATGTACACTTAAGCGTGGCTGCCTTGTTTCCTGCGACGCCATCATTCGATCCTGGGCAACGAGTCCCTCGCCTCCCTCAATACCAGATACTCAATAACGTCAATCTCACCAGACCGAGCCAGTGATAACGTGGGGAACGGTGAATACGAGGTCCCCTTCATCGTCGCCGCCACCCGTTGACCCTTACCACCAGGACTACCGCTCTCTTCATTAAGTATTCTCTTTGGTGCGCCGAGCATCCAGACCCCCTCCTGTTCCCATCGTCTCTGCCTTTTGACAGAACCTTCCCAGTCTCGTCGCCATTGCAGCACGAGATCGGTGTGCCAGAGATTGCCCATTTTCGAGGGTCCGTTGAGGGAGGTTTCGATCTCGGTCCAGCTCCTAGCCCCGTCATCAAGAGACATACTGCCAGAAGTCGGAAAGGGCTCGCCGGCGGAACCCTGGCTGAGGTTGAGCCACAGGTTGACGTGGATGATATGGCCCATTGTGCGGAGTCGGTTGTCTTGCCGTTGGAGCAGGAAACTTCCAAGCACTATGGCAGACCACGTCAGGCACATTCTCTGTTCAGAAGACTCAGAGAAACCTTCGAGTTGCTGATTGATAAATGTACTGGCAATGTCTTTCGGACTTGGCAAGAAGTCGAACCAGCCAGACTGGTCCCCTTCTCCCCCTATTGTCTCTGACATTTCTCCAAAATGGCGACGGTGAAGCTGTAGACAAAATCCAATAAGCGCACAGCACAGCTGTAGCTCCGTTGGACTGAGGTCGTCGCATGATTGCAGTGTTTGGCTAAATCCACGGCACTGCTCAATAAGTTCCAGGGACCGTCTGCTACGCCTGGTAACAGCCTGCAATGTCTGTAGTCTATTCAACAGCCGTTTCATTGAATTCAGCAATGCGGCGAGTTCAGCTGAGAGGTCTAGACCAGAGAGCAACGTCGGGGAGTGTGCGCGCATATGGCGTCTGGGCGGAGTACTTCGTCGTGATTGCGAGTCGCTCCTCTTGGGTCCCGATGAGCTGCTGTGATTGCGAAGGAGGACTGTTCGATTCCGGTAGTCGTGTAGGGCTTTCCAGCTGCACAGCGTCAATCACTCCGATCGTCTTCCAATGTTGCAAGTGACTGTAGACTTACCTCTCTAGTCGGTTCTCCACCACGCGAGCAACACCAGTGTTCGGGTGGTCGTCGATGTAACGTTGTGCAATGTTTCGGAATGCTTCGAAATGGGCAATAAACGCATCCGCCTCACTCGACATGTACTGCCAGATGTCAGCTGGTCTTCTCACCCGAGGGTATGCAATCAAATCTTACTGCAATGCTGATCATACGGCCTACCGTAAAGATGACAGCTTCTTCGGGTCCATCGTTGGAAGATATTCTTCGTCGCAACCTCGTCATTGCTAAGCCACGATGATACAGCATTAACCTGTCCTCCGATGGACTGTTGCCCTGAGATAGAGCCCACGCTGTTTGGCTGACGGCCACGGTCGCATCAAACAGCATAGCATCTTGAATCGCAAGTGGCCAGCACAAGTCCAGTTGTGTGTTGTAACCCATTAGATGGTCAAAATTGCCCGCCTTATGGGGAGCCCATACGTGGATATCTGATGAAATGGTCAACACGGTCCCTGAATCAACCTCAAGTTTGTCATGGGCTATGTGTACTCACGATAATCAACCATGAACATGACCTCCTTTGTATTAGTACCAGGAAAAGCGCTGAAGGGATCTGCTCGCAGTCCTGTTCGAAGAGCAAGGTTCATCTGTGTCGTGTTTGACTCGGCCAACTCAGTCGACTGTTCCGCAGGTGTCTTGCTTTCTAGAGGGGATTCCTTTCGTCGACTCTCGACAGGAGGTGTCGACGATGTTGACCTCCACCCAACCAAGCTCCGGGCATATCCAGCATCTTGCTGCGCTGAAAGTCTTTGCTGTTGGCGTTTTCCTGCACTTTGAAATCGCCGTGCTTGGCTAGAGACCAGCTTGGATCTGTCTCTCCGACGCGGCTCCGGACCTTGGTCAATGAAGACGTGCCCCGGAACGTTTGCTGAAGGACTGCTTGTCTTGGGCTGTTCCGGCATATGCGAATGATCGATCACCTTAGGGGAGAATGGTGGAAGACGTAAATGGAAATGGATTTATCCAGGGACTTTCTGTAGATGATATATGTAGCTTGCCGTCCTTCGCCATGGAAGCTAATGACCCGTGCTGGCCTTGCTTTGCATATTTGCCTCATTCAGCGCCAAATAGGTATCTCGAACCTTTGATCGATGACTCAGCTTGCGGGACAACAATCGAGGTTGGTGGAATAGAAGTGGCTTATTTAAACCACTTCTACTTGCGCTTGCTTGGGATATCGAGACCGAGACTCCCCCATGCGCGAGATTCTGGACTTGAGGGCGAGGAATTGCAAATGCAATTCTGGCCGCTGCATTCCTGTTCCAGTCGACCCGAGAACAGCTGGAGGAGCTGCAAGGCTTTTTGCCCGAGATCAGCCCAGCCTATGATGTGCTCGCCTACGCCGAAACGATACAGCACTTCGTGTATATCCGCCGGAACTTTCCTCTGTCCTTAGCAGCAATTGCAATCCGTCTAAAATCCGATTGATCAAGTATCCAGCCTTGTAAGAGGGGGCATGGACGATCGTCATTTGACCAATAATGAAAGGGTCGCTGCACAATAGATCCGGGGTCAGCTCGAAGCCGTTTTTCCCTTTCCATGAGGCGCAGCAGCAACAAACAACCAGAAGGCCAGACTAGCTTGCTAGTGCTCGTTTGATTGATAATGTCTCGTATTCAGATATTCTCGCTCCGTCCTGTGGCAAAGGCACGAAGACGTTTGACTTTGTTCCCGAGCCACTTCAATGCTTGGCTTGGTCCATCTTGACCGTTGATGAAGATCTGTCGCTTCAGTGTCGCTTCGGTGCTTGGCCACGTTGAAGGCGTCCTGTGTCATTCGTTGTCGTCCCTCCTTGTCTACCGTATTCGGCAGGCGCTATGGAAGATGCAGCCAGAAAGTCCACGAGTCGAATAGAAGTTTGCGATCAACGAGGACAATAAGCTCCTACAGACTTCTCTATCCAGAGCTAGGATATGTTGCTGCTGCAACTTGTTAAAGCAGCCTTTACTAAGTCCGAGTCCCAGGTGACGACGGCGCATCACTTACCTTAACCTCTCATTGCCCTAGCGAAACCAGCCCAATGACCAACAGTCGAGTACGAGGACGAGGACGGAGTAATACGATATGACCCAGAAAGAGCCTCTCGATCGGGCGAAAATTGCTGCATTCGCCCTTGAAAGCATTCCGATGCGCAATCGTGAGGTTGTAAACCCCTGCCACTTGGAAGTCCATGCCTGGCCACTGTGGCCGATCTGGGTTAAACTTGTCTCGTCTCTAATTGGCTGTCGTTGTGCTGGGATCAAAGGTCTTCCAACCCAGGAGGGGATTCGGACTCGAATGCCATGTAATATCCAAGAATGTCTTGATGCATTGTCCTCTTAACTCACGGTTCGCTCGAAGACTCTGTGAATAAGCAAGATGCTTGGTGAGAAGACGTCAATGCTCGTGAACCCTTGTAAGGTCCATTGAGGAGGGCTCGAAGGCGACGTATAAAGGCTATCTGGATTAACCCTGTCAAGGTTCATCCTCCACAGTTGTCAAGACCTTCTGTGAGTACACAACACATTCCCACGTTGTGACAAAGGGCTACTTCATTTTCGAACAAATGGGTTCCATATCAGAACGCGCCATTCCGGCAGGAAGTCTGGTCGTCGTGAGTGGTGCCAATGGTTTTATCGCAAGCCACGTTGTTGATCAGCTTCTGCTGGCTGGCTATCGTGTCAGGGGAACGGTCCGCAACTCTCAGAAGTCTGCATGGTTGATTGACTATTTTGGCAACAAATATGGTCCCGGCAAGTTCGAGCTGATCGAAGTGCCAGAAATGGCCAAGGATGGAGCTTTCGACGACGCTATAAAAGGCGCCTCTGGATTCATTCACACAGCAACACCCGTGATGGTGTCGTACGACCCAAATGAAGGCATTCCAATCGTGGTAAACGGCACTCTGAACGCACTCGAAGCTGCGGCCAGTGAGCCCTCAGTCAAGCGCTTTGTGCTGACTTCGTCTTCCACTGCTGCGATCAGCCCAAAGCCAAATGTCGAGTTCAGCGCAGATGAATCGACTTGGAATGACGAAGCCGTCAAGGCAGCCTGGGCTCCTCCTCCCTACGAAGGCGAACAGAGAAAACTCGATGTGTATTCGGCTAGCAAGACACAGGGAGAGCAAGCTGCTTGGAAGTTTATGAAAGAGAAGAAGCCTGGCTTTGTCTTGAACACAGTTCTGCCAAACTGCAACATGGGTCTAGTGCTCTCACCTGAAAATCAAGGAGCACCAAGCACAATCGGCTGGCTCAAGGCACTCTGGAACGAGTTCAAGGGGCAAGAGAAGCTCGCATTCAATCCGCCGCAATACTATGTGAACGTTCAAGACAACGCCCGCATCCACGTCGGCGCCCTGATTTGTCCGGATGTCCAAGGAGAGCGCTTGTTTGCGTTCGCGAACCCTTTCAACTGGAATGATATTCTGGCCATATACAGGAAATTGTACCCTGAGCACAAATTCATGGATGATCTACCCGATCTCGGTAGGGATCTCAGCAAGATCTCGAATGGAAGGGCGGAGGAGATTGTGAAGCGGTTTGGAAGACCGGGATGGACGAACCTGGAGGATACTATCCGTGACACTACGAAGGATTGGTCTTGAAGCGGAAACGTATGAGTAGTCCATCAAGGAGATACTGATTAGATTCGAACGATTCTAGGATTGGACAAGATGTGGTCAGAAGTGTCACGTGTAGAATCACGTGATAGATCTGTCAAAGTACTTTATTAGGAACGCGCAATTCCGAACCCAGCCCGACTTTTTCCTAGCCTCTCTCCTGTCCTCAATCCAAGAATCGTCCTCCGCAAATCGCAGGGCGTCATCATGATGAGTCTCCGTCGCAAAAGGCTTCTTTGGCCCGCGGAACTTGAACCCAAGAAATGATACTTATTCAACAGCCGGCCGTTCGGCAAGTTGAGGATCATGTAGGAGACCTCAAGTTCTTCCCTGATCTGTCGTATTCCAACGTTTCGAGTCACTCTTTCAGTTCCTTCGTTACTTTTTACCTTGATTCTTCATCTGTCTTCACACCAGCTTTGCTCTTCGTAAACATGAGATACCAAACTCTCCGATTTACCATGTTCTACAAAGAGCCCAAGCATGATACCAGACAGGTATCGAATGCGCAACCCTCAAACGGATCGTTGACCTCCGGATCTAGTTTGCGATCACCGACTTCGACAGTTTCCCTTTTATCAAGACACTCGACAAATTCGACGTCCGACCAACGGACAAGGAGTGAGGGAGAGGCAAGAAGAAGATGATGAGCAGGGTGGCGCAAATGTATATCTCATACCCAGTGGAAGCCCGCCTTAGCCAAGTGGCTCTGCGCACCAAAGACAAAACCCAGCGCAGTTGACTCTCCCCCTGGGCTTTTGGGAGGGACTTCAAAACATCCAACCGGCATGTGGATCGAATCAATTTCGGGAAGTACGCACCCAATATCAAAGTCGATCGCGTGCTTCCACACCTTGAGGCAGCACTCTCCTGGCGAGACTCCTGCACTTGGTGGGTGAAGCCACAACGGACCAATTGCATGGACAGACACATTACCGGGATGCTCACCCCCTCGGCCGCCGAACATCGTTAATGCGTCACCGGCGTGGATGTTCTTAAACCCTTACAGTGTGGACTAATGATTGATGAGAGAAACGTACATGATCACTGATTGACGGCTGTTAAATATGGACATTTGAACTTATGGCTGGTCATGTACGAGGTATGATGCATGGAGTACAGAGAATTGAGGACATGACATGTGGCTTACAAGTATACCTAATGATACCCAATATGAATTTGATCTCAAGTGGATTCTCGAGAAGTTGCTATAATGATCATTTGATTTGATTGAAAGGGAAAAGCCATGTGACATCGTGTTCCTACATTGCATCACCTGAGGTCGTGTCCTGACCACCTAAAACCCAAAACTCGGTATTTCTCACATGCCTCGGACTGGTTAATTCCTACTAGGTGAGTGTGGACAGGGGAATCAGGTTTAGGGGCCCTCGGGGATCGGGCCAGGCTGGAAGGCCGCGGGCATTGAGACCGAAGCATGTGAAGTCCGCCGACTCGGGCTTGGAGAAGGCTTGTGCGGAGACCCCAGCACAGAGCCTGGAGCGACTCTTGTAGGGACATTGAGGGCCCCTAGCACAATGCTAGACTACCCCGGGCACAGAATACAGGCGAGAACTGCGACCCTCATCTGGTCTGTTGTAACTGAGGAAAGGAAATTTCCCCGGCCAAGCTGGCACACAGTCCTTTAGAAGTCGGCAAATATGACAAGCTTTCCTGGATCCCACAAGGTACAAAAGCTGAACTCAACAACGCCTGGCAATAATTCTTTGTTCTTGCGAAGCTGAGTGCAAGATCGCTGTGTGTGGACCTGGCACTTGAGTATTACTCGTACTCGTAAGCGGAACGCGGAATAATTCAAGGTTGTGGGCACCAACCAACCAGCTGGAACATATTTGGCAGTCAGCGGCTGGCAGCTGGCATGTTACCGGGAAGCCGAGGTTCATTTCATGTGAATTGTCTTCCTCCTCGCTCCTTGGTTGCCCAGTGGCATAAACGACAATTGACTGCGTCGAGTCCCCGTTACTGGCTGCGCAGGTGATCGTTTTCATCTCGCTCGAGCTTCGAAAACTCATCATCCTTCTTCTCTCTTTCCTTTCCATACCTCTCACCTCCTCCCATCCGCCTATTGCCGCCTTCGAATTACTTCCTGTCTATCCGAAAAATGACCCCTCCTCGTGTCATTGTTGTTGGCGGTGGCCGTACGGAACCCTCCCTCTTTTGATGCTGGTGCAATTGATAGCTAACTCTGCGAAATCACAGTGTCTGGCCTCAGTGCCGCCCATACCGTCTACCTGAATGGAGGCAACGTCCTTGTTTTGGACAAGAATAGTGTGTGGAATCGAGAGTCTTCCATAACGAGACAGTGGCTGACACAAACGCAGACTTCTTCGGTGGCAACTCCACAAAAGCTACCTCTGGTATCAACGGTGCTCTCACCCGAACTCAAGTCGATCTCGGCATTCAAGATAGTGTGAAGCAATTTTACGAGGATACGCTCAAGTCAGCCCGTGACAAGGCCAGACCAGATCTCATCCGAGTGCTCACATACCAATCCGCCGCTGCCGTGGAATGGCTTCAGGATGTCTTCAATCTCGACCTGACTCTTGTTTCTCGATTGGGGTATGTGAGATGTCGAATTCTTGAGACACCGGGTCTAATGCAGTGTATAGTGGCCACTCCTTCCCCCGAACCCACCGAGGACATGATGCGAAATTCCCCGGTATGGCAATCACCTATGCTCTGATGCAGAGACTGGAAGAGCTTTGCGAATCCGACCCTGAGAGAGTTCAGGTCATCAAGAAGGCCAAGGTCACGTCTTTGAACACAGAGGGCAACCTGATCACCGGTGTTACCTACGAATATGACGGTGCGTCGCACTCGGTGGACGGTGTAGTCGTTCTGGCCACTGGCGGATATGCCGCCGACTTCACAGAAACATCCCTTCTCAAGAAGCACAGACCAGACACGTTCAATCTGTCTTCGACTAATGGCACACACGCCACTGGTGACGGGCACAAGATGTTGATGGCAATTGGTGCAAATGACATTGACATGGACAAGGTTCAGGTTCACCCTACCGGTCTAGTCGATCCTAAGGATCCCAACTCCAAGTGGAAGTTTTTGGCTGCTGAGGCCCTGCGAGGTGAAGGTGGTGTTCTGCTCAACAGCGACGGCCAACGATTCTGTGACGATCTCGGCCACCGTGACTACGTCTCTGGCAAGATGTGGGAGGAGAAGGAGAAGGGTAAATGGCCCATTCGCCTGGTTCTCAACTCCAAGGCCTCGAATGTCCTTGATTTCCATACCCGGCACTACTCCGGTCGTGGCTTGATGAAGAAGATGACCGGCAAGGAGCTGGCCAAGGAGATTGGATGCGGTGAGGCTGCGTTGGACAAGCAGTTCAAGGAGTACAACGCTATTGCCAAAGGCGAAAAGAAGGATCCTTGGGGAAAGAAATATTTCCACAACATGCCCATGGACATCAACGACACTTTCCACGTTGCACTGATGGAGCCTGTGCTGCACTTTACCATGGGTGGTATGGAGATCAACGACAAGGCCCAAGTGCTCAACAGGGAACATAAACCCTTTGAGGCTCTCTTCGCCTGTGGTGAACTTGCAGGCGGCGTTCACGGCGCCAACCGTCTCGGTGGCTCCTCACTCTTGGGCTGTGTGGTCTACGGGCGTGTTGCAGGTGCTTCGGCGTCTCAATACCTGTTGCAGAAGCTTACTACCCAGGGAGGTGCTACCGGAGCCTCTCAGCGTCTGGGTCAGATCTCGCTACATATTGATCCCAGCACTCCCGGGAAGATCTCAGTGGAATGGGGTAGTGGTAGTGGATCTTCGGGACCCTCAGCAAGGACTGAGACGATCTCACAGCAATCCCAAAAGAGCGCGGCGCCGGTGATGGACGGCGACAAGAGCCAAGATCCCGGCAAGAAGAAGGATGTCAACGACATCAGTAACTTCAAGGTCCCAGAGCAAGAGTACAGTCTGGAGGAGGTCGCCAAACACAACAAGAAGGATGACCTGTGGATTGCCGTCAAGGGTGTCGTGATGGACGTCACCAACTGGCTCGATGAGCATCCCGGTGGTCCCCAAGCACTGTTCAGCCACATGGGCAAAGATGCTACAGAAGGTAAGCCTGCAATCTTCCAATTTGACGGTACATCTGCTAATACCTGCACAGAGTTTGAGATGCTTCACGACGACGAAGTGATTCCGAAATATGCAGCTGACATTGTCATTGGCCGCGTTAAGGGTCAAGAAGTTCGACTGGAATATTAGGTCGCGTGATCAGTGTCTCCTTGGGAAGCATTTTGGGTTGGGAGACAGCATGGAGTTGACCCTTGTATCTTGTGCAGCTATAGCATTTGTATGTTCTGAGACTAAAAAATAAATCAAGCTGCCTTTGTCAAATCCACTTCCGGGACATGTTAATATGTATGTTGTATGCCTGTTGTTGTAGTCCTGTTGTTGTAGTAGGAGACTTTTTGGTGTCTCGATCTTGCTCGGTGTATCCGAAAACGGAAATTCCTGGTTCTAATGACAGTCATTTGACTCCACCTCCCGAACCGTTATTTCGCTCGCCTCAACTCCCACGCAAGGCCTTATGCGACATCTTTCATTCTGTTACCAGCTTTGATCTCGTGGGCCGGCATATCTCAGGACTTATCCAAGACCGTGGACCCTGGGACAGTGCGGAATGGTCGCAGCGAGATATTGATTCAGGTAAGGACTGCCTGATGGTACTCATGCATCTCGCCCACATCCCACCTTCTGAACGAGGCTCAACACTGCGCGCACCCGAAGAGACAAGCTCATCGCGAGGAAATCGGGAGAGGAGGTTTCCCACGAGGCCATAAGGTTGCGCGCACAGTGCCCGGGGTGCGATGCTCACCGGGAGTCTTCATGTTCCAACTGCGTTCTGCCTGCCATGATCCTCTCCCACCTTTGGTCACTTCACTCTGACTTGCTAATCACCATCCAGTAAATAGGGAAACACCATCGCCGACTCTGTCCGAACCCTCAGCACTCATTCGGAATTCGTCACTGCCGTTCACGCCTGATTCGCTCTCTCCGCCGAAACCACACATTTCTCTACTGTCGAGATGGATCGCAGGGAGATCCTCTCCAAGGGCTCGGCACTCCAGAAAGCTATTGCCGCGAAGGAGCCGTCTGCAAATATCCTGACAATTCTGCGTGACCTAAAGGCAAACGTACGGCCTAGCGAAGAACTTTTGCGCGCCACGGGAATAGGCAAGATCGTTAATAAAGTGAAGGGAGTACCTAATGTGGACCCTCAAGTCAGCCAACTCGCTGCAGAGATAATATCCCGCTGGCGGCATGTGGTGAACGAGCAAAAGTTGGCGAGCGGGACGTCTACACCTACCGCCAACGGGGCGAGGTCGAACGGCACGAGCTCGCCGGTACCCCAGAAGCCCGCCACACCCACGCCAAAGGCGGCCAGCCCCGGAGTTGCACCTGATAAACGCAACTGGAAAACGGATAAAGTACCCCGCGACGAGTTGACATCCGACACGGCTCGAAACAATTGTATCGGGCTCATCTACGATGGTCTATGTCTGGGTTCCGAAATTCCCATGAAACAGATCCTTGACCTGGCCAAGCAAATCGAGACCGCTGCCCTCAATCTGCCTGACGCTAAAGGGTCCTCGGCTTCGACCGTGTACAAAGACAAAATCCGCTCTTTGTACCAGAACCTCAAGAATAAATCCAACCCGGGACTGCGAGTGCGCATTTTGTCCGGGGAAGTTACCGCGCAACGATTTGTCACTATGTCACACGAAGAGATGAAATCGCGGCAACAACTAGAGGAAGACCGCAAGATAGCAAAGGAGAACATGAATAATGCCATGGTGGCACAGGAAGAGAAGTCCGTGAGTACTTCTCTGGAGTGCGGAAAGTGTCACCAGAAAAAGGTCAGCTATTCTCAAGCGCAGACGCGGAGTGCTGATGAACCGATGACAACCTTTTGCGAGTGTCTTAATTGTGGCAACCGGTGGAAATTTTCTTGAGATTTGCGCAAAACTAATGTACTACTGGATTTTTTGGGCGGGGTATGTGTGGTTCAAAGCGGCACCAAAGGGGCAAGCTATCCTGGGCAACAATTGGAGCTGGTTTCTTCAAAAGAAATGGATCTTGGGAGAAGAAGAGAGACAAGCTTGAGGTGGTATTGGGGTGTCCTTGTTCGCGGTTGACTCCAGCCAACAGGAGAGACGAACGCAGGCTGCTGTCGCGTGCCGTGCGTTGGGAAGCCGAGTTCTCCAGGCGCCTATTGCCAAGTGCACTACCAGCTGATCTTCTCATTCTACGCTCCTGGTGCATGTTGATAAATCTAGGTGTCGCACTCGTGGAAAGCCAGGCAGCGAGTGGTCAGAGCGCATGCTGAAAGAGGACCGGTCGACGAAAAGCCCGCCATGGACGCGCCCAGCACGGCTCTAAACGGGCGGAGACAATGGACAAGACTCACTGTGAGGCCGCATAGAGATTGTTGCAGACACAAAGGCGGAGCAAGATGAAAGCGGCCAACTGCTAAACACTGGGTCTGTGGGCAGGGAGAGGTCGGGTCCTCCCAATGGAGAATATTGCAGCTTTGTATCAAGAAACCCCCCAATGAACATGAGATAATGAAACCTTTCTTTGAATCCAAACATCATTCAATGATCCGGGGGTAGACAGGTGTGCGGGCCTGACAGGCAGGCAAGGTGACCCACTCACTCGGCTCCAGGGCCAGATGAAAGCCGATACCCCCTTTGAGAGCGAGGGGAGTGCTGAAATGCAACCTGTATGAGTCCAAGGAGATAAAACGAGTCGGCGGGAATCAAGTCCTTGACCCGATCCACGACCTATTCGGCTTATTAAGCCTCGACTTTCTGGTCAGCATGGCTCAGCCGGCTGTGACGATACGAGTACGAGGTACTAGGTAGGTAGGTACTACGTATGTAGGTAAGGGGGAACTGCGAAGGGGGCGATGAATTGACCGTGCCGATCGATATCCCACACACCCGGTCTGCCTCCGCCGCACCTCCTCGCCCCTTAGGGCGCCCAGCCTTGTCCGTCCGTCCGTCTGGGGAGGGTCATCATGCCGCATGCATAGGTACCTTGTACTCGGATATACATATGTACGTATGTATATATAAAGAGAGCGATGGAACGGGCTTGAAAGCGGGTGGGAAGATAAAATATATTCGAGGATGTTTGCCAGGGAACGACCAGTCATGATCTGAGGTGGCTTACTTGTCTCATCATCATCATCATCATATTATCATCGTCATATTGTTACCATTGCGGTTTTCTTTGCAAGGAGGCATCAAAAGCCCATATCTGCTCCGCATACAGGGTTTTCAAAACAAGGGGATACGAATAATGGCCACCCTCGACACCACCTTGACCGTCCTCCTCGTCGCCCGCAAAGGCAACGCGTTGGACGAGGCGCAAGCCCGGCTCCTGCAGACGAACATCGACGAGAAAGGCTCCCCATATCCCCGGTCTGATAGGCGGGTATATGTAGGAACTACTCTGGACGACGTACAAAGTGCCTTCGATCAAGCCGCCAAAGAGGCCCGCACGATCCAGCATGTCTTTGTAGGTGCGGGCTTGGAGCTCGAGGTACGCCTGGAGATTGTCAAAGAAGCCATCACCCGCAGCGGGGATACCTGCGTACACTTGAAGGATGCAACTTCTGGGCCAAGCGGATTTCTGCCCTTCATTCAGGCCGTGTTGGGAGATCGAGCATGAGGGAGTGTTGGGTCATTTTCCATGGCGATCTTCTCTGTTGGACGTCGATGGAATAAGCTGTGTGCAATGGCGTTTGTCCCAAGCATCAAGGAAAACTAAAGGAGCGATGAGTGAGATAGGAGCACTTGCTTCATGTCTCGCACTTTGATCATAGCAGGGGAAAGTATAGGAGTGCTGTCTCCTTTTTCCAGAATGGTGGCATTTGGCTGGCTGCTGGCCAGCGTCAATGGCTAAGAATCAAGGAGACCAAATCATTCCAAATAATCTGAATAGGCCAAAACCACTGTATTTTGGAGCCCACTGTCTCAAATCAATGTCCACGCTTGTGGTATCCGTGAAGCCTAACTTGAGAAAGAATTCGTGTGCAGCGGGCTCAGAGCAGACCACAAGTGGGACACATTCAGTCTTCGCTCTTTCGAGGCAGGCATGGACCAGTTGTGACCCTATCCCTTGCCGACGGGTCGAAGGCTTAACGCAGATATATGAGAGCTCTGCTCCCTCTTGGTCAGCATAGGTGGACATCGTTGGCCACAAGACGTTATACCGAAATGATCGAATCCTACCGCGCTTCGGGCGATCTCAGACACCGCCCCGGATACTGCTTCGAGAACCTCCGAGTTGAAAAATTCAGGTATATCCTGCGGCTTTTCACTTCCGATGCCTTTACCGGACGGCGGTTGATTGTTTGTATTCCCAGTAGAGGACCGTTTTCTAGTCAAGGCAAGATATCCGAGAATATCCCCCGACTTCTCGTCGATTGATTTTAGACAATCGACAAATTCACCTTGGAATGCTGTTTCGACAGCAGCTGCGTAGAGCGGTTTTTGAGCAGCTTCATTGGGCCAATCTTTGAATAAGAGGCGATTGATGGGGAGGGCGAGTTTGCAGGTGTGGACGAGGTCGGAGAGGAATGGAAGATCAGAGTGCGAGATCGGGTGGATGGACTGCTTATGATGATCCATTTCAGTCTAATCGCTCTTCGTTGTATTAGGGGTTTGGAGTACTCTGATTTGTGTTGAGGGCTGCACAGGTTCAAATAGGCTGCATGAGTAGGCACCACAGTTCTTTGAGTTCCAACCAATCTGATGAAACCCTGGCAGGATGCGTTTTGTTGACCAAATGACAAGGAACAGGAAAAGTCAGGATGTGGATGGCAGATAGATGCTGCAGGCCGGCTGGCCGGTCAGATGTAATGACCACAGTACCAGCACCGTGCCGGATACTTGTGCGGCTCCATGACTTGAAGGTTTGATATTGTGGGCACCAGATTGATGTGTGGCCTGCCAGGCAGTTGTGGTGCGGTGATGCCCCGCGGGAGGAGCCGCGCCGCCGAGCCCAGGTACATACGTTGCTACTTGGGTGCTACTCGCACTGTGTCGCACAAGCAGGCACTAGGAGCAGGCACTCACTTTCCGTACCGAGTACGAGGTACAGTAGGACTCAGTATAAACTTCACTCATTCTTCAGGGTCCGCCCTACTACGCAAATTACTACCTCCCCTGAACGTTTTGACATAAGTCTGCCGTGGAGCTGTAAGTCATCGAGCGATTTCAGAGAGGCTGGTGCCGCTATCTCTGCAGCCTCTGGTCTTCTCTCACACCAGTCATGGGGCAGCGAACCAAATGTGTAGCGATTGGCGGCCAGGTTGCTTGCCCCTCAGCCGCCATCTCGCGCTTGAGGCTCACTGGCGCCAGCCTTACTGCAGGCCTGAGTTCTGGAGCTGAAGTTCGTCCGGATGGGATCCCTTCGCCTTTCTGTCGGCCAACTGCCGCAGTCAGAGACTTCTCATCGACGGTATCGTTGGGAAGATGACTGGCGACCGCGTCAATCAAGACACGGAGCAGGAAACTCTCCAAGGCAACCCTTCCTCTGCCAGGTACCTTGTGCCAGGATGTCGCGACATGTCCTTGCAGCTCAACAGTGACCCAGCGGAGTCGACTGCAACAACGGACGATACATTGAATGCACAAAACAGTGGGAGGACACTTCAAGGTTCGTCGTGCCTCTTGACTTCTCCGCCCACTGCTCATTGGGCGATGTGTTTGCAGGCTCAGTTTCAAGCCACTCCTCTCCTTCAACCGCCTCAACGAAACAACAATGCAATCTCGGACAAGGTTGCGTCCTCGAGCCGCCACAAGACTTGAAACCTGCTATAAGGACAGACATCGCTTTCGGCGATGGACAGGGCACAGTCGGGTACATCAGCGAGTTTGGAGAACTCATTCAGGTGAGGCGCATGCTGGATTTTGGTCCGAGAGGAGTAATCTACGTTCGTCCCAACTCGGACATCTTCGAATTAGCCCACATTACCCAAGGCTCCTGTCCAGGCATCGGGCTGCGCCTGAATAACCGATCGGTCTTGCCTGACAAAAATTTCCGCCCTGTTTCGTACATCCATGACAGGTGGCCGAAGCTCTCATACACCGCAGAGGATATTGAAGTCGAAATGGTGTTTGCTGTTGTGGATGGGAAAGTTGTGCATCAATGTGTGCTCTCTAACAGAGGCAGTGTTGAAGCCACGGTAGATCTGGTATTTGACCTGAGTTTTGCTCTGGATACCTCGCGAGACTTTTATCAAGATTCCCAATATCGAAGCCCCACGGAGTTCCAGGGAGGGATATCCGTCTCAGGTAATACCTGTATCGTCCTCTGCGGCAATGCTGGCGGTTATGCCAATTTCAGCGCCTCCCTATACACAGACCATGGACATCCAGTGACACTCTTACCTGTCACTGCGAAAGATCTGCTTGAGTCTTGCAGTGAACCAAATCTTGCTCCTTCTCCCGCAAGGCTGAGAATGGGCAAAGAGGACGAGCGGACAAATGCCATTTACCATCTCCTGCCCACCAAGGTTGCCCCGAGTGGGAAACGAGAGCTGACGGCTGTTTATGATTTTAACTATGAACGATGGACAAGAGACCAGGTATATGACTTGAAAATCATGAGGCCACTAAGTGATGGTTTCTATGCATCGCAACGCCGCCATGAGGAAGCATTCCTGACAGCCTACGATAATGCTAAAGCCAACAACGATAGTGAGCAGGCAAACAAGCTCTTACAAGAGGGAGTTCCTGGATACCACGTGGCCCCTGCACGAGAAGATTTACAGCATGGCACATTAGAGGATCTCGTGATGGGAGCCAATCGCCCCAAGGACCAGCAATCACTTTCTCCAGAGGGCGAGGCTCGCGTCATGTTTCAGGTCCCCTTCCACAATCTTGGAGGCGACCCCTTTTGCTCTCATCGTCTGTTTGGGATTGAATGGAGGTCGTGCTGGTGGTTAGATGATCATGTTCCCAGAACCGATGATTTCTCAGACATTCTATGGGGAAGCGCGGGCGAAGCATATGAGCAAGAAATGAAGACACTTGTTGCCGACAAGTTCAAAATGTTACAAGCAGACCCCAAGACTCGACGAGGTGAGCCGCATCGTGAAGCAACTCTTGTCCCTGGATCTGCTAATTCTTGAAGTTTGTGGCTACGTGGATGCCCATGAGTACTTGGGTCATAACTGCCCTGGAAGATGGATCCAGGATCTTCCAGACCAGCGAACCAATTTCCTCTTTCGTCGATACTTGCAGCACATTTTAACAGTGGTGCCCATTGCCGTACCTGGGAAAAGAGACGCCGATTGTGCTTACTTCTTCTGTACTGAAGACCTGCGAGATGTGTCCATGCTTCCTTCAGCCACTCTGTAAGGGTCGTTCCTGTCGGTTGTATCGGTTCTAATCCCACTGCACAGGTATCAGTTCCGTTTTCTCGGTTGTATGCATCGGCTTCTTATGAGCCAAGAAGGCATCATTGACGACTCGCTGAAAGCTTCCCTACTCTCAAGCATTGAGAGAATCTGCAAAGGTCATCTAGCGTGGTAAATTTCCGTCCTAAAATAGGAGCATGCCCGTTCGACCTGTCTGACACTGGTGCTCAGGTGTTTTGAAGTCGCCCAAAAGACACAGAGTGGATTGTGGACCGACATTTACAACGCTTCAGGTGCTAAGCACACTCCTGAGGACGATCATCTTCACACCGTTACAAACTTCTTGAAACTTTTTGATTTCTATGTGGAGTTTCCGATGGGCCGATATTTTGTTCTGGCCACCCTTAAAAACACACTTCTACCTTGGCTGAAGGCACTTCACGAGACCCGAAACAAAAACTCTGGCCTCTGGGAGTCGGGTCGAGAGACTATACAAGTGTCGTGGTGGGATCCCAGTTACCGAGAGGACGAGCAAGTATCGACCCCCGAGTACGATCTGTGTGAATCTATTCAGTATTGGCAGGCTCTTCATACCGTCTTCAGCATCCTAAACGAAATTCGAGCAGAAAATACTGATTCTCAAACACATGGCGACGTTGCCATGTGGACTGCGCTACGGTCTATCACAAAGGAACTTATGGACGGTTTGGAAAGCACGGGTCTTGCGAAAGAGCTAGCCCCTTCTACTCTTCGGGAGAAGATCTTGGAATGCTTCTCTTTCGAGATCGAGAAGGTTTCTGTTGAGACGACGATCCAATCTGTCGAGTTCAAGAATCACACACCGATTTCCGGTTCGTTGGTGGAACAAGTGAAACATAACAAGAAGAGACTCCTGGCCATCAAGCGCTGTGCTAAGGAGCGGCCGAGATGGAATTGGTATATATGTCATTTGATTCTCGATGGACTTGGAGTGTTGAGCTGATTTCTTTCAGGTATACGGAATCCATGATACTTTGCCCCAAGTTCGACCTCGGTTTCTTTGATACCGATCGCCCTCCATACCGACTTGAAGAGTGGTCGAATGCCGTTGAGGCGCAACAGTTTCAACTGGAGGCGTTTTGGAGGAAACCCCTCCGATACAGCTTGGCCCTTATTTTGGCTTCTGACAGCAAGATCTCACTCGATAAATCGAAAGACCCAGCAGCAATGGCTTCTACGTGTACAACTGTTCTGCTGGGGTGTGTCTTGCGCAGCGGACTGATGGCTGAAGAGGTAGACCCAAAAGACAAGAAGCCTCAGCGCAGGCATGGAGACCTTCCAAATGCCGGTTTTGGGGTGCCCTATTACCTATTCAGGGTAACTTATGGAAACCTGATTGCATTCTACCCAAAACAGATTTCCACTCTCTCTGACGGTTCTAGAGATGGCGTCACCTTCGACGAGAGACTTTGGAAAAAGGCTTACAAAGCCATCCGGTCCAAGACGAAGGCTGGCTTGTACAACATTACAAATGTTGACAGAGCCAACGTGGTCGACTTGACTGAGGTGTGCGAACCAGAATGGTTGTTTGACCCTCCATGGTACTGTAGAATTTCATTGGAGAATGTCCGAGAGACGACTGACACTCACAGGTATTTCGCGAAACAGGAGCGTTTGGCGGACAGGTCGGGCGGGGATTATGGGATACCAGATGACCTCAAAGAAACAGTACGCTTAAGATTGGACACTCTCAGAGCCTTGAATCATGGCGACGACAATTTCCCCTATGCCGTTTTCAACGAAGCTATTGAGTTATATGATCGTGATAGCGACGAATTCTTTCGAGATGCTGACAATGAACGGCTTGGAAGTGTCGTCGACGTGATCAGGGCCGGCAAGCGTCAGTCGCGGATTCAAGAATTCATCCCTAACGCTTGGGAGCTTCTTGAGCGCACATCCAGGACTAGGACCAAGAATGATGTGAAGAAGAGGCTGATGTGAGTTGTGAGAAAGTGCTTCAAGCCTAGGGATTGACATTGACATCTGACATCCAGATACGTATACGAGTGTGGACCAAGGTTCTCATTAGCGGTACGGCCACCGATCTGCTTCTCACTGAGAGCCATCTACCTGTTGCTCTACTGACAGCTTAAACAAGCTCTATCTTTCTGTTCCAGATAAAGAGCGATACTCAATGGCGACTTTCCTGGCTCGCCACCAGTCACGAGACGTATTTCACCGTGAAGATGTACAGACATTTCCCTGGAAGGCCTGTAAAGCTCATTTCTGACGAGATATCGCAGACGCACAAGTCCATCAATTCTTGGATCACCGAGTTGCATATTGGCTTCTACAGAGTCATTTCTGACTGGTCAGCTCCGACTGATGATGATGATTCCGATGACGAGCAAGATCCACGCAGTCAGTCTATATTCTCGGGAAAGCCATTTCGACTGCCGGGCGACGAGACAAATTGCATCGAGAAATGCGCAATTTCTTTCCGTTTTGATGGTGACCTTTATGACCGATACTGGACCTGTTATGCCGCAGTATATCTGCCAGAATGTGACACCGAAGATCGATGGTTTGCCGATGTGAACTCGTTCAATCTAATGAGGCCTACCGGAGAAGGGAATAGAGACACTGAACACAGCCAGCGCAAGATCTTGGAAGCAAGGTGGTTTGAGGGAGCGACCAGGATTGTATGTGAGGAGACACAAAATATTTTGAGAGTCGTTTCGGGTGTCCTTGGTGAAGATGTCGGTATATGTCCGTTGAATTAATCCTGACGTCGAAGCTGACCTGGTCACAGCGCAATGGACGGTACACTGCCACTGCCTATGACACCTTTCGAGAGACCTTCGAGACGAACAAGACAACCTACTTCCGATATGGCGAAACGGTCAAATTTCTCCGTCACGTTCTCGAGAACCTTGAAGCGGTGCGAAATGTTGCCGACAAGTGGGAAAACCGAGCAAATGCACGCGAAGTTCAGCCTCGTTGGACGCGTGATGATGAAGCTGCGTATGCCCTTGAGGTCTCTATTTGGTGTCGCCGAGCCAAAGCAAATGTTCAAAACATGGCTGTTCTGAAGAACCAGGTCGAGGCGAAACTGAATCATATCAAACAACTCCGAGAGTGGCTTATTGACGACTTGCAACTTAAGGAAGCACGAGTGTCAAATCGATCTGCGGACGATGTGCGCATCTTCACCTACGCCACCGTCGTCTTCTTACCGCTCAGCTTCGCGTCAAGCATTTTCAGCATGGGTGGAGCCCCTTCACACAGTACCGCCGTTTCGTTTGTGACCGCTGCGATTATTGCACTGATTGCCACCCTTGCGTTTGTTCTCAACGCTGGAACCTTTATGAGGGAGATTGCAAAATGGAAAATGTGGGTTTTTGATCTACCAGATGAGGCTGGCTTTACCGAGCACTCGGAAAGCCAATGGCGAAAAGTTGGACAGAAGTGTAAACACTGGTTTGTGCGTTATCCCTCCGGCCGTGTCCTCGTCGCCTGGAGAGTGGTGGCAATGAAGGACCGTAGAAACATCGCGGGCAAGCTTCTCCTGGGCATACTTCTTCTCCCTCTGTTCGCCTTCACATGGATCTGCGGCTTTGTGGCGCTGAACCTCTACGACCTGATCAAACTCTTGTTCCTCGACCTGCCTCAATATCCACGCAACCGCAAAAAGCATCAGGATCAACTCGAAACTGCAAAATCCGACGAGCAACTGTCAGCTACTCAGAAAGCCACCAAGGACAAGGAGGAAGGAGGCAAGGTTTTGGTAGACGCCTCCAACAAGAAAGAAGCACAGAGACGTGCAGCGGAGAAGGCTAGGGAGAAATGGCGACACGAAAGACTCAAGAATTTTATGCACAAGCCACGCTTGAAGGACATTTCGAAGCATTTGACCGAGGGCATGACGGTTGGAGAGGTCAGGGACGCCCACAGGCAAGATGTCGAGAAAAGGGCAATGGAGCTCGAAGAGCGCAGGCAAAAATACCGTCACGCGATAGAGAATGTCTCTAACTTCAGCGACACCGAAGATGAAGACGAAAAGGCAACTCAATCGCGCAGGCGGAACAAGCGTCTGGCCCCAATCTTCTGGAGAAGACGGCAAGAACCTGACGTCGAGGCCGTGGGACATGGAGATTGATTCCGGCCAACAGTGCAACAGTTGTGTTGGAGACCAAGGTGTCGAATCACTGGTTGATTCCCCTGGGGATATAATACTTAATGATAATATGGAGAACTGGTTAGTCGACTCTGGGCCTGCTCTTGCTTCTTTTGCTTTGCGTATTGCTAGTGCCATTCATGAGACTCTTGGTCCATAACGATATGAATCAACGAGGCTGTCCACACCAGCATATAGGCCGCTTTCCAGCCGTAACAAACCCATGAACCATCACCATCTGGCCAAACACTTCCACTATACGAGTCCCGAGTGAGTCCAGGTCCACCAGCAGTATCGTGATCTGGATCGGGATCAGTTTATAAGCCAACATTGATGTTGCACGGTCTCGCTGAGAAAATCGCCCTCGTCACATAATCTTCAAGCTCGAGATGCCCCCAAATACCATTGTCCCCCTTTATCGTTGTGGGCGTATACATGCATGAGTGCCTCAAGCATTCTAGGTATCATCATGGTGGTGGTGGTTGTCGCCCAGCAAGAAAAAGGAGCTTGCTTTGTATTCTCTCCATACAAGCGAATGCCTCGTCGGCATTGGATTGCCTTGTCTTGGTCTGCCCTGTTTCGACGCTTAACTGGGCGTGCTGGGTCATGTTTGACCGCGAAAAGACAGGCGATTAATGGTATCTTCTCCTCGGACGCGTCATCTCCATTATGATCGAAAGAGAATGCTGGGCCTGTTGTGGATGAGTGCTCATATTGTCGAAAGGGGGCGAGTGTAGCGTCGTTTTACTGGAGACAAGACAAATATCCGTTCCCTGGCCATGAATGTGAATGTGAATGTGTCGTGTGCACTTTTGATTGGTTTTTTTCTGGTTCCCGCCGTCTTCTTTACTGCTTTGGTGTCTTTTGCGGTCCGACCTTTGAGCGAATGTCCGGGTGCCGTCGAATAAACCGTGGCAGCCAGTTATGACCGACCAGACCGGACCCTCCGGTCGTCGTGCTCAAGATACCGGCGAGTTTATTCACCGAATCGAAGCTCAACGGCTTGCCGCTGAGCGCCTCCAGGTCGAGGATCCACCCCTTCAGCGTAACCTCCTGCGCGTTGGACAGCAGCTGCTGCGGCTCGTGCGACAGCGTGGCCGACTGCGTGCTGCCCTTGAGTCGGCGGCTGAGCGTCGCGTAGTTGACCTCGTTGGCGGTCGCGCACGCGCGGATCGACGGATACTTGCGCGTCCGGTAGTCCGTGATGGCCTGTTGGATTCCGGTCTCGCGAGTCGGGGACATTTGGATGACTGCGCGGTTTTTAATGAGACGGGATTGGGAGAGTGGTGGTCGTCGTCGTAGACTGGGTAGGGCAATGGTTTTGTCTGGGTCTGTGGACAGGGAGCGCGTGTTGCATTAGCAGGTGTACCTCCGAGTAGGGACAAGACGTGTGTGTGGTTGGTCGGTTGGAACTGACTGACCAGATCCGCTCAAGATGGAGTTGGTAATTATTAGGCGGGCCGGCCCCTGGGGTTCTTAGTTAGGGGACCCACCATGCAAGTACAATACTCGCTAGGTACCTAGTAAACAACCTTGAAGTCAGTGCGGGATGGAACACAACGCCACTTGTGCATGACCACATCTAACCAATATCATTATCCTCAATATCGTCGCAGGCGACAGCCACAAAACGATCGATTTTATCCTTCGACACAAAACCCTCTCGACAGATTCCTATCCGTCCAAGTTTTCATCCGTACCATACATAGAAAGACATATCCACCAGTTCCCCAGAGAACCCGTCCCCTCTCTTGTCCTTGTACGCGCGCGCGCACACCATCATATATATCACATCCTCGAACCAGCAGCCATGCTGCGGCGTAAACCCACCGCGCTGACCGTCACCAACGAAGACATCGCCGCGTTCGAGGAGGCGTACCTCCGCCGCCTGGCCTACGCGAGGTACCTCAAGACCGGCGAGGATCCCGAAGGTCTGTTCCGCAACGGCGGCGCGGGGCCAGGCGTGGGCGTGGACGGGAGGATGATGACGACCACGACCACCGCCGCCGGCGACGCACGCAACATGCGCGGATCTGGCGCCGACGTGGGCGCCGCCGCAGGGGCGCAGGTGGCGATCGATCCGAACGACGAGCTCAAGCCGCTACCTGGGGACAAGGCCAGGATTGTGAGGAGTCGGGAGGAGAGGATCATGGGTGGTGCTGGAGGTGGAGGAGGAGCAGGTGCACGGTGATATACCGATCATACATAATACACACATACCACACCACATCACACGCACAAACGCACAAACGTGGAGAGAGCGGGCATGTTGCGTAATGACGATACCCAACAATCCGCGTCGCATACCCCTTCGCACGGAGAAGAATGCGTGCCCTCAATCCTGTCCTGGTAGAGGTATCCAGGATGGGATGATCGTGCGGAAATACTGGGCCGACAACACCTGCACGCCGCATCGAGATTTACTTCTTTGCGAAGAAGAATGCAGTGGTTGCACGCGACTCTTCATCAACCAACCGATCCAGCAATCGTCAGAATGGATCACTTGCGACGTAGGTCAGAGTCAACATCACGTTGCGGAAAGTCTTGTCGTGCGGAAGTATCCTCTACGGGGATCGTCTCCTGCGCACACCGAAGGGGCTAGTTTGTCTATGGTGTCACTTCCACCCCCATCGTGGTCACCAGAGTGGATAGTATTCGCTTTTCCACGTACGACTCATCTATCTACATTGCTTTGCAAGCGCCGAATCAAGGAAACGCGGGCCCGTTGGAACACCACAGGGGTTGGTTCTGGATGGAATAGGATATAATTCGTGTCTTGGAGCAATGTTGGCCGGAGGAAATGATGGAAAACCATAAAGAATCTCGCCAGAAGTTGATAGTGTGCTGGGGTAGACCAAAGTCCCTCCGAATAGCTTGACACCTTCAGTGGTATTTCCTCCGATCTGTCAAGCAGACCATAAATGTTGCACGGTTTATTCCATGTTCCCCAAATACAAATACAAAGTCGACGGATATCACTCCTGCTTATCATCCTCTACCCGCGGTTGTTTGGACCCAGCGCCGTCCTGACTTTCCTCATTTGTGCCCTGCTGCTGACCCTGGCCTTCTTCAGAGATGGTCTCCATCCTATCCGCATTCCGTCTCTCTTCCTCCTCACGTGCTATACGCTCTCTTTCCAGACGATGCTGTTCTTCTTCCATACTCATCCGCAAAGCCATGGCGAGTTCTGGGTCCGCCGCTGCATCGATGCCAAATTCATCGAATCGACCAGCGCCGCCGCCAGTCTCAATCCCTTCCATACCACCAGCTCCAGCTCCCATATCTCCACCCATGCTGACGATAGGCGTAGTGATGAGGCTGTCGCTAAGCAAACCCGGTCCCGGTGGGATGACGGCAAGGTAATTTCCTTCTCCCGACGAGCCACCTACGGCTTCCACAAATTTCTCCAGTATTGATTTCGTACTTGATTCAACGGCATCACCAAAGGCCACAAAATCGACCGAGACGTTGTTTTTCTTGCACTTCTTGGCCAGCTTGATCAATTCCTTCTCTGTGTCGTTCTTATCCCCGAATTTCGGATCCAGTTCGCTACATATCAAAACGACGATCCGCTGTCGTTGGGATTTGTTTGCTCTGTGATGGAGGGCCAGCATTGCCACGCTGATAGCCGTACCTAACCTTATGTGGCCCTTAATCTTGGTCTCATGTAGGCCAGCCAGGATGGCACCAATGTTGTTCGTGGGGGTTGTAAGGACCTTGGGACCCGTCCCAGCCATGGACATGATACCGACAGCGGATTCGGGATTTGAGGAGGTCTTTGCGTTGAAAATGAGTGAAACAACTTCGGACTGCGCTGAGAATCGATTGGGTCTGGCGGACAATAAGTAGCTACTCGTATATGACTTCTAGTCCTCACATACAGATAGTCGCCATTCCTGCTGGCCTCGCTGTTGTCAACAACGATCATGGTCGCCTCGAGCACCATATTGGCGGTGTTGTGTGAACCGGAACTTCACAATTACGTCAATGATTCCTGGTCGAACTGGGAGTTGACAAAAAGGCCACTTGGGTTTCAGAGTGAGAGTGGACTGTGAGGAATTAGAATAGAGGGTGTGGACGGAGGAAGTTGGAATGAAGTGATCTGGAAGCTAGATTCACTCTTGCTGGCGGAACCTGAAGGTTGATGCAGGCACAGACGCAGGCGCAGCCGCCAACGCGTCAAGCAGCAGGAGAGCCGCCCCCACCACCCCTGTGCAGCCTTGGCGTCCTCCGCGTGGAGTTCTTGAGCTGGACTGCCATCTGCGACTATATCCTATATTCATCTACCGCACTAGAAATGGCTACACTTCTGGATTCCGCTCGACCACTGTATTGAGGGAATAACAGTATAAACTCCTCGTGCGATGATCTCAAAGAATTCAGGTTTCTCAGAGATGCTTTACCTGCGTCACTAACCCTTCTGTAGGGAAACGAGTCGAAGATCGATAGGGCATGGACGGAGGCGTGGTTGCGACATAGGAGCAGACACCGTTGACGCTTCAGAGCAGCAAGATACAGGAGGGTGATGGATGACAGTCAGTGACGTGGACTTGAGGAAGGCGAAGGAGGATCCTCTCAGGCGCCAGATGCGGATGCGCGGACAGACAACACCCGTGTCCACTCGGAGGGGTAGTATAGTGGAAGACAGAGATCTGGCCTTCTCAACTGATCGAGCTCTTACGGACGTCGATGTTCGACTACCACCTTTTCACTATGCGCCGGGACGATACGGCCTCGCAGGAGAAGCCCCAGACGGTGGTCGAAGAGCTTAAAACCCCATCTTGACATCAAAAAGTGGGAGAGGGACTTAGAGACGGAGCGCTGACTGAGCAAACGGGTTATACTATGTCTGGCGCAACCCCTACCGACCCAAGGAGGGAGCCAGACGAGCTGATACAGTGGCTGACGGAGGTCGGGAAGAGGGAGGACAAGATGAGAGTGGGTTGAGAGTGGTTTAGCCACTGGGAGCCAGGAGACGCGATAGAGTGCCTCTCGACCGTCCTGGCCGAGCAAGGCCTGGAAGTGCAGAGGGAAAGTAGAAGACGCACTTATGATACTTGTTTTGAGCCGCAATCTGTCACGATTTATACATGCAGATAGCCTGGGCGAGACAGACTTATGGCCAGCGCTTTCTGCCTGCGTGTTACTTGCAAGCACGACCAACAGTGCGAGATCTGGGGCTTGGTCAGATCTTCAGTCGCTCCGATATCCTCGTAGATTCAATGAATAGACGTCTATGAATACATCTGGGACGACCGTCGAGCATTGATTTTGATGGAAGGTGTAAGCGGGGGAGCGATGATCGCCCCCAGACCCCACAGAATGTTGCACACATCTTCGCTCCTCGTTCTCACTTGACTGACCCATTCCATGGCAACCACTGATACCTGATGCAGTGACCGGGTTAGCGATGGCGACAGCGGAGATGCCACACCCTTGAGAGCAGACCTTTCCTCCCATCTGCTCGTTCCACTTCTTCACAGAGTCACAATGTAAGTTCAACCTGGTGTCGGGGCGCGGTGTGGAAATGTACCTCGATCGTCTTGTTTCCCCCCTTCCATTCAATGCCTCTGAGGTCCATGGAGATTATTTTTTTGACCATCTTTGGTTAAATTCAATATTTGCGCGCACAGGCCCGTCTTCGCCCTCCTCATCATCTCCAAAGCCGGCTCGCTCATCTACCACCGCACCTTCCCGACCACGACCCCGGGCACCAGCGCCGGCAGCCTCGCGGGCCAGAGTCAAGCCCAGACGGTGGGCACGCTGGGACTACCAGGCACCTCGACGCTCACCACGAACGACTACCTCGTCCTGGCCGGCACATTCCACGGCGTGCACGCAATCACGCGCTCCCTCACCCCCAAGCTCCCCGTGACGTCCTCCTCGGGCACCGCACCGTCAGGGAGGAACTGGACGTACCCAGACCCGACCGTGCCGCCCTCGGGCATCGAGTCCCTCGAATCCTCATTCTTCCGCCTCACGGTCTTCCAGACGCTGAGCGGGACAAAGTTTCTCCTCTTCACCGACCCGAGCATGCCCAACACGGACGTTCTCATGAAGGGCATCTACGAGCGGTACGCCGACTACGTATGCAAGAACCCTTTTTGGCAGATGGAGATGCCTATCAGGATAGAAGCGTGGGACAGGAGTTTGGGACAATGGTTGACGAGGCGATGAGCGATTTCACATATACTTCAGCACACGTGCAAGCAGAAGCCGCACAACGAACGTTCAAGAGATGAGTTGGACTATCAGCTGTGTCGCTTATCAAACACAACCCGTCAGTCAAGCAGGAACTGTCTGCGAAAAGCGGCATTATTCCTCCTCGGGCTGGCTCAAGATACATGCTCTGTCATGGAATTTGATTTCCCACCACCGATGTGTATCCAATGCCTTGTGACAGCGCCCGACTGTGTGGAAAGTGGTCTCTAATAAAGGGGATACAATGGGTTGATGTAGGGCCTGCTAGCCTTAGCGAAACGGCTAGCGAAACGGCCTTTCGCTAGGTAGCGGAGGAACACATTTTTGATCCCTCACTCCATGCCCCTAGATACCTTGGGACGGGAAGGCAAGACTTAAACGCGCGCGAGAGGGATCTTCAAGCAATCTCAGGCGTCTCTGCCTCAATGCGATGACGAGCATGAACCGGACTCTGGGAGGGGCAGAATAGAGGCAAGAGCAAAACCACATAGAAAGCCAAGAGAGAAAATTTTACGATTCACAGAATCGTGCAAACCGGCCATAGACGCTCTCGTCGATTGTCATCATCGTCATCAATATCTTTCCAATCCGGTCTGCAAATGACCTAGAGCAGAGATTACCTGCTCCAAAATAGGGCTTTCCTGCTGGCTTCTGGTCCCTTCTCGTAGATATATCTCCGAGACTGGCACATGTATGCATGGATAGGTATCCATCCTGATCGATCGATCGTAAGACTGCAAGAATTGCAGCATATCTGCCCAGGCAGTCAGTCAATCCCGTCTGATCATAAGTCGTTGCCATTGCCCATGTCCAGTTCACCCTGGCCCTTTCTCTCTCTCACAGTTCCTCGCCCAAGAGCTTTCTGCCCATATGGTGAAACATACGTGGCCATTGACCATGGTGTTTGTCTTCGTTTTGTTTCGCGCGCTGTTATTGTCGCTGATGCCCATTCTAGGATTGCTCCTTTGCGCGTGCGGTAAGTGATCGATCACCCTCTCCACTATGGAGCGCATGCAGAACCCTTTCCTGCGCACCCGTCCAAGCTGAGCATGGGGAAATTAGGCACATGCGGGTACGGGAATGTGCGCAGGCACAGCATCGAAGGCGAGTCTGCGCGGACCAAGCAGTATTCCCAGGCTGTCCTTCAAAGTATGTGGCCTGCTTGGAATACTATCATTGTGCGAACGCGCCCTCGCTGTAATGGTGAGGCACTATGCAGATCGACCTTCGCGTTCTTGTGATTGAAAGTTCATAACCCAACTAGAGGCAAGAGAACCCAAAATACTAATGAGTATAATCCCACCTCCTCTTCAACCTGCCTGCATCAATCACATTAGCAACACTCTGCTGCCACTGTTGAGGTGTCACGAGCATAGCCGCGCCTCCCACTCCGGTTGTAGCGTACGCGGTTCCGGCGGACATGGGCAGCTGGGAGTCTGACACCATTTGCGGTGACGCATTCTGATATGACTGCGACTGCTGTGCGGCAAAGTAGTGTTGCTGGGGCTGTTGCTGCTGAGGGGTATAGCTCGGCAGCGAAGCCGCTCCGTAGGTGGGGGAGCTGGTCGAGGTAAAGCTCGCTTGCATGGATTGCATATTCCCTGGAGGTGATGCACCGCTGCCCCCGTACAGGGACGGTGGGGGAGCAAGCGCCGACGCGGGAATAGCGAATGCCGTGTCAAATTGGTCAATGATCGGGGTCGGATTCCACTGAATTTCGGTCGCCGACGTCGGCTGCTGGTAGTAACCACCCGCGGAACTCGGGATGCTTGAAAAGGGTGTCTGTTCCAGTTCGTAGTTCTGGCCATACAAGGGTGTCGGAGGTTTGGAATCAGCGGCATAGACCGAAATAGGCGGCGTGGAGAGGTATGGGGTCTGTCGCGTCATCTGGCCTAGATGTTGTGCCGCGTACGGACCAGGCTGTGCTTGCTGCTGCTGCTGCTGCGGCTGTTGAAGGTCGACAAGTTTCTGACCCTGTGACTGCAGCGGTAGCTGATGTCGATCGTACGGCTGTGGAGAAATAGGAGACGGGCGAGAATTCTCAGACGGTGTTCCATGAGGAAACGACTCCTTGAGTTCAAAGGGCTTGTTGACGTCGGCTGAAAATGCGGCTCGAAGAGCATTGATCTGAGCCTCTGTTTCTGGCATTGGCCAGGCAGAGATACACCGCTCAAGGATCCTCATTTGTCGTACAAAGTAGTCCTTTGCTTCAAAGTTGAACTCTGGATCCGGGGAGGAAAGCGCAACCAGGTGAATCATGATACAGGTTAGGATGGCATAGATGGTGAAATTGATCCCCCTTTGCATCACCAACAATCCCGTCAAATCGAAGTTAGCGAGAATTCCTTCCTGTAGTCGACAAAGGATCTTGGCCGAGTTGTAGCAGACACTCATATGGTGTCGCCACTGACTATCAGCAGCGAACGACTGAGACGCCGACAGCTGTGGCCGATGGAGCATCACGATGGCCAGATGATAATGAGAGTGCATGTTTCCCAGAAAATGGGAAGTCACATTAGGCGTCTCGCCTGTCGGTGGAAGTGGCAGTTGTAAGTCTGGTGGAAGCTCATCGGGCCATTTCTGAAAGGAAGCGTTATATGCCACGAATTCTTTGTCCAGAGCCCAATCCTTCTTCCGTTGCAGTCTGCGGTGGACGTCCGTGATGAGACGAATGTTGCGGACGTTGCGAACGAAGTATGCAAACTGTCTCGAAATTGTCCGTTCGTAGTCGTCCATTTCAGAGCCCGGCGGGCTTTCGCTGATATCAATAGAATTCGGATCTACACCGAAATCGGTTCGTCCTGGATATATGTCAGTCAACGCAGTCACTCTATGGCAAGAAGAGCAATATTCACCTTGCGGACCTCCTACCATGGTCTCGCAAACCAGAAGTGTCTGCCAGATTCGAGTCTTTGTCAGGCACTCAGTCGGGTCGGAACCACATGACTCCCCTGAGGAATGGATTTCATAGTGTAGATGTAATTCGAGATCTTTTGCCATCGTGATTGCCGTTTTACAAGTCATCCATGAACGATAGTAGTAACCCCTTTTGGGGGCACTCTCTCGCGCTTTTAGCAGAAGTAACAAGGCCTGAAGATTGCTCAACCGTGGACTGTCCAGAAAGAATGGTTCGTGTTCTCCCGCTTGTTAGCAGCGCACAGCCAAAAGGGTGTATCGTACTTACTATTGGCCAAAGCAAGCCATTGTGCGCCTTGGGCTGGATCATCTGACAGGCGACCAGCATTGGCAAAAACGGCTTCCAGGATAAGAGGTGAGATGGATGACTGATCATTGTGCCACTGATTGTAGAATTGTTGTCTGTTCAGCACTGGCACGTATGGGTGGACGTTATTGAAATACGTCTCAAAGGCTTGCATCGCGTCCTCGTGCGACGGCATCAGAGCCGGAGGAATCCTGATTTGAGAGCCTGCATCGGTGCTGAAGGCAGCAGCAATCCGTGGTTCAGGCTCAGGTTCCTGGATGGGGAGGTCCAGTTCTTTGCTGCTTTTTTCTGAGCGAATATAGGGAGCGACTCCGCTTTCACCAATCTTCAGCTGCCCAAGGTGTTCCATGAGATCTTCGGCAGTGAATTGGTCGATCGGGGAAGACCCAGCGCGCTCTTGCCTGAAAGGTGTCTCGTCATATTGGGTCTGCGCATACGTTTGAGAAGCATTCTGGAAGGTGTCATGTAGCGTCCCGGGGATTTGATGGGAGTCTGGGTAAAAGCTGTCGTAGGTCTTTTCGTTGGCTTGAAACAACGGCTTCTGGTGATTGGTCACGTATGCATCGTAGGAGTATGGGTTTCCTTGGTTGAGTTGGAAGGCTGGGGCTGCGGGCGCATAGCTCTGGACTTGTTGTTGGCCAGGTGCGACTAATGCGGCCGAGTATGAAGGCGGTCCGCCCGTCTCTTCGCCAGCACTCCCCGGCCCAACATCTCCTGGATCACCGTCCAATCCTCCCGCCGGAGGGATGCATTGAAGTTTCAGCCGGACACAGGCGGCGCAAGGCCATGTGTTGGTTGTGGCAGAGTCGCACTTGATCTTCCGTCGACGACATCCTTCACAAGCTCTCATTACCTTGAGTCGCTTATGTCGGTTATGCTCATCGACAAAGACGTAGTTCTTGGGGCCGGGAGGAGGCGCGGATGACAGAGAATAGCTCTGCATAGTGGCATCTCATCCACTCGGACTGACACCACATTGGGTAAGTGCGAGAACGGCGGGTGCCTCGATCGAGGAGTTGTGGCCGTGGTGAGATGGTCCAGTGTCGAATCAATGACTAACTCGTGAATAAGCGGGCAGCCGGATTGCGCGCATATAAGAACGACCGCAAAGGAGAGGGCTGTCGCAAAAGAGGCGCGTGGTGAGGTTGAACGGAGATGGGAAGAGGCCAAAGGGTGAGCGCGTGCTAAATGGGCAGATTTGGATGATGGATGATGGGACTCTTTTCGTGTAGCGCAACCTCGAAACACTTCGACCTCGGCACGTTGGGGCACTTTGAAGCGTTTTGAATGCACAGGTTCAGGCAAAGTCGGGTTTGTGGTCAGCCACAAGAACGTTGGCAGAGGCAAAAACTTCACCAAGTTCGAGGCATCAGGCGTGAAGATGCCTGGGCCATGTTCGAGTCTCAACGCAGGGAGGAGGATGGTTCCGACGGTAGCGGGCGGAGCGCGTTGACAGGACACGGCCCTCTTTGCACATGCGACAAGAACAACGTACGAGGTACAAGACTTGTTCGCCTAAGAAGTCAGCGGCCGTGGAGTGGGTAGGAATGGTGTTCGTATGCTGCCAGTTTGTGGGAACAGCCACAGCCTATTCGCATCCGAGTTCTTGTACTTGGTTGTGGTCACGAAAATGCCACCGGAAGGGTTGGAGGGCAGATCTACACCAGGATTTGGTCCTATAGGGGTGACAGTTTAAGATACAAAATAAGGGGATTTGCAGTCCCAAGTTTGGGGAGTGGTCAACCACTATTGCAAGGATGAATGCTGCTGCGTGGTGAATGGTGCGTGGTGGGCGGTGTTACGGAGCGCCAGGGAACGGACGAAGGAATCATCGTTGAGCTGCTTACCCAGCCAGCTTTCACCAGCTCTCTCCCTGGTGTCCCTGCTCAGCCAACCATCATCTGTTCGCCATTTTGCCTCTGGCCTCCTGTCTGGAGGGGCTGGAGGCGCCGTCAGCCCTAAATGCAACGTCAGGACTGCCGGCTTGACCAAACTCTGTGCCCTCGGGCTCGCCGCCCTACGAGCCTGTGGCCAACGACCAGTGGAGAGTCAGTCTACACGTCTACAAGTGAGCGACACTTCAATCATCCCATCTCTACCTTGCGCTTCGGAGGGTACATGCTATTTGTGCCAGCAATGTCCCACGTTCTCCGTCAACAGCACCTCAGGCGCCCGGAGGCATTGAACTGCGCACCAGCGTATGGAGAGTTTGCGAGGGTTCCACGGCGATAAGACCACCAGTTTTGTTTCAGAAGAAAAAAGAATAAAAAGAAAAGAAAACTCGCGAAGCAAAACTCTACAAGGAATATGGCTGTGCGGGTGCGCAAGGGGGCACCATCATTGTTGCGGCTTGCGCGATACAAGGATAACTGCACATGCCTAAAGCTGCTCCTTAAATTCCTGATCCCAAGGCTCAGGGGGTTCAGTGTTACGCTACTCCCTGATCCACGATGGACTGGACAGTTATTGTCGCAGATCAGACAGGCTTTCCCCTGGACAGCCTGATGCCACAACTCGAAGACCTAACGTCAGAGACAGCGCCATAGTGGTTTCCATTGTACAGTAAGCCCTCAAAAATTCCATTCTCTTACCAGATGGTTGGTTCTTCCCGAGGCACAAACAATGGTTCTTGCCTGCGCCACGATCGGCCGTTTCGAGCTGCGAAGAGCAAGCAAAGAATTTGTAGATACGGCCCTGCAGCTGGACCTGTTACAAGTAGGGATTCTTCCGGAAGAAAACATACTCTGTGATGCTATGGCTGCCTTGAGTACCCCATCTGTCTCGCCATCACAGGCTCGTGGCGTTAGAGGACAGGATTATCAGAGGACCGCACCACCAATGCGAGCCGGTCTCTGCACTTACTCAGAGCCCCCCAATTGTTTATTCTCGACAGAAAGCCTCGTTGTTTCATCGATCTAACCAGATATACCAACTACCCTCAAGGACTGAGTGCCTGAACTTCCAGCGGAATGTGTGCGAATACGTGTTCTGCGCATAATCAAAGCGGGTATATCAGGACACACCACGAAGGCGGACAGCGGCCCGCCGGAAACGCATGTGATGACATTGGACTCGCACTCGTTAAAAGCAATTCACCCCAGCTCGCGTGTCTTCCACCATGAAAAATCCTGCTCTTTGCCACTCAGGCGAAAAGTGCTGACGGCCGAAAGAAGTAAGGTTCCAGAAGCACTTGAGACAATGCCGATCGAAGGCGAGGAGGTGGTGGATCACAAGCGGGGAGTGCATCAGCTGTGCAGGGCCCAGGGAACGAAAAGCTATTCGCTTTTGGAGGGCAGCAGACTTCAACATGACACCTGGAAGTTTGGACACGGGTCCTCATCTCATCTTCTAGCCCGTGTGCTGTGCGAAGAGAACCCGCGGCAAAGATACCTGTAGATACTGAGTGCTTCAGTTCAAGGCGTATTCTTCGGTGGACAGGCCCTTGAATGAATGATCGACACTGTCCCACAATGTGCTGCTGAATGGGTGCTGAAGGCGTGCTCCGCAGCTGACTAACCAAATTCCAGACAATGGTCGAAGATCAACTGCCAAGATTTGACCACGTGACTGTACTCTCCAACACTTGCAAAAGACGTCGTCTTCGCCTCTTTTCAATTTCAGGCGCAAAATCCATCTCCCGACCACTGCGACTCGATCCACGCGCACTCGTAACCTATTTCTCTCCGTTTCAAGTCAGATAGCCCCCCTTTGGGAGATCAGCTCTAGCCAAAATACGCGCCATGGAAGACGGAAAGAATGCGAATCCCCTTGTTCTCAACCCTTCAGATCTTCCGACCCGAAAGCGGCGCGCATCAGCAAGGGACGACCATACCTTCGGTAACTCTACCTTTGCGTATCCCGCGCCGTCGTTCGCTGTCGACCCTTTCACACGTTCCGCTAGTCCGTCATCCATAGAGGCAAGCGACAGCGATGCAGAAGAAGAGCCTATCGATACCCAGGAGATCTATGACCTGGTAGCCACCATGTCTGATCCTGAACATCCTATTACGCTCGGCTCCCTGGCCGTCGTGTCATTGCCCGATATTTCCATCAGACCTACCATTCCCAACCGGCCAAACTCGAATCTCCAAACAGTTACGGTCTTGATCACTCCCACAATCCAGCATTGCAGTTTGGCCACTGTGATAGGACTGGGAGTGCGGGTCCGGCTGGAAGAATCCCTTCCTCCCAGATTTAGGGTTGACGTCAGGATCAAAGAGGGTACACATTCAACGGCGGATGAAGTCAATAAACAATTAGCAGACAAGGAGAGAGTTGCTGCAGCTCTGTGGAACCCTACCCTCCAGAGTTTCATCAAGAAAATGTTGGAGACATGCGAATGATAAGGTATTCCCGACAGGGAATGGGGATTGGGAGACACGCCACTTGTTACACGAGGTTAATGATATCATGAACACCACAAAGGCCCAGCCGACAGAACATAACCTAAAGAAGCGGATGGCCATCGGCAAGACTGGCCTCTGAAGCGACAATACTCCAGATACCTGACTTCCACAGCCTTCCACGTGATCCTTTTTTGAGCACAGATCTTGGGCTGAAACGTGCATCTACAAGTCCTCCTACTCGTAGATGATGCCACGTCCGGCTCCTCGAGATTGAAGACGCGAGATCAGGCCACGCATTTGTCATAATCGTTACTCAGACAGTTGGAGCGTCCACTCTGGCCAAAAGCCCTCATAAAGAATCAGAAGCTGGTCGGCGTATAGGGAAAGAGTGATGGTCCGCTGCTGACGACGCATGCACATGTTTGAGCGCGCAGCTTCAGAGCGGGCTCCATGGCGGTAAGCGGCTACCCTACATGGGAGCAAGTCTACTTGTGCACCGAAGGCCAAGTGCACACTCAGCATTGGCAGATATGTCACAAATACTTATAGATCATGTGTCAGGATCCCAAGGCTCACGGTGGCGAGTTCGGGTCTGGGCAGATGGCATTGTGCAGCAAGCACATCGACGTTAACGAGCATCCGAAGATCCCAAAGTTCAGCTGAAGCTGCTTGGCTACATTACTGCCAAGCTGAACCATTTCATGACCAATTCGATTTAGGAAAGGCATGTACCGGGTAACGATACGGAGTATTCACAGTACAATACCAGTAATTCCTTCAGGAACCAGAGAACCTTTGTTGCCATACCTACATACTTGCATGTTTTATTTGGCACCTGTTAACTCTGAAGCTCCTTCCTCAGGATTGTTGTAAAATGTGGCCAATCCAATTCTATAGCCTTCTTCGCAATGATGGTCAAACGACCACATGAAGAATTGCGCTGGTGGACTTCGTACAGGATCCTTACAATGAGAAGTATGTTGGTACCTCTTTGTCAACGTTATGTGGCTCTGCAGATCTCTCAATTCACGGTCGACGTAAGTGCTTGACACTTGTAACTTGCGCAGACGGGATGGCGTTGCGATTTTCAGTTCAACTCGGCTGCGCTGGCCCTTCGAAATTGTGCTACCATCAAGCAACTTGGACGGTATCCCTCCTCTTGTCCCCTGAATACCTCTGAGCAAATGAGTGGCGATAACTCATCCACAAACCTCTCAGCGTGCTAATACCAATGTAGTCCTTTGCTGTGGCTTCAGACAACGTTCAGCCTCATTGAATCGACACATCGTGTCAACCTTCCACAAGTTGCTCGCCACAGTACCGCCTTGACCGTCAGCAGATGTGTGGAGGCAACGGATTCAATGGAATTCAAACACCTGTAAGTGTCTATACCTCGCAGCGCATTAGGCTCAACTAGTCCGACGGGCTGACAGTTCCCTCTTTTCGATCTGGGCTCACTCGACCCGTGCCTTCGTCAATTGGTCTGCGTCAAATGAGTTCCGAACTCCAAGTCGACAGGAAGTGGATCAGTGAAGCTAGGAAGCTGGAACAATGAGTGTAAGAGAACAGTTATGTCAAGAAGTAAACCGCCTCGAAGGCTCAGGAGAAATAGATACACGTGGGAAAACAGCGGCGCGGCGCGTTTTGAGGACAGCCATGAGACGTATCGGAACGCTGCATTCGGCTCATGCAAGGTATCTGCAATTCAGGACGCATAGATGTTCTACACCATGAACCTGGCTTTTGTCACAGAGTATTGACCCTGTCCAGGACGGTTCTCGCGCACAAGACCATACATTGCGAGATGTCGACGACGAGCAGTTCCATGTGTGGCCACGACGAAGATACAGAAGATAGCAGTCCTGCTCTGCGCAGCTGACCTCCATAGCCTGGCCGGGTTGCTGAACCGCACTCATACCCATCCATGCCTTGCTTTCCTTCTGTGGCAGTGGCAGACGGGATCAAGGGGCATCCGGGAAAAGCAACTATCGCTGATAGGTCTGCATCGTCAAGTTGAAGTTACACTGCGGCAGGAGGATGGAGTACGCGAAATGGCCCTGCTCGTGAAGAAATGGGGGAATCCCAGTGGCGGGAACGATCCCAGCAGTGGTGGAGAGGTGCCAGGGTCAGGCACTGATCCGCAGGCTAGTCGTGTGAACTGCTCTCTCCTACTCGTACTCGTAGGTAAGTGACGCTTTAGGATGCAATCAACACAAGGAGTGGTCAATCTCCACAACAACATCAGTACGAATGTTGTTTTTCTACCGAAAGAATAGTTCCTTCTTCCAGTGATGGTGGCAGATACGAGCACTTGAGAACCTTACAATGGGTAAACTTCTCAGCTGGCACATGGTAACCCTTGCGATTGCTAGGGCGAGACCACGTTGTCTTTGCGGGATACAGGTCGAACCGAACAGTCTACTGGTTCAAGATGTACAATTATGGACTTGCGCACACTGGTTGAACACTCCTGGTAATACCATGCCTGTCTTGCCATACGGGACCTATTCGCTGTTGCTTGAAGACGACGACTCCTGCGGCCGCAGTCAACTGGTGCTCCCGTGCCAGGAACGTCATATGTTAGTTTACAGGTCCGTCGGCTTCATGTACCCAGATGGCGAAGGATCGATCCTGTCTCTTGCATCCTCGATGATTTGCAACATAGTCCAATCAAAACACCGACGTTTGTCTTCGGTTTTGACCAGAGCCGTCAATGTGCTCCATCTATCCACTGCCCCTTTCGTCACCTAAAATTAATACAGTGAGATGTCAAAGAACATAGAAGACCCCGAGACCACCAACTCCTATCATAAGTTCTCTACCTAATAGGGCACCTACCCACACAGGCAAGTCTGGTGATGTACTGAATGCGTCGTTGTCGAAATGTCATGTAACAATGAATACTGTGTATACGAAATTACAGGCCATCTCCACCTAGCGAGACGCTACTCCAAATCGGGCATGAGCTTGATCGGCGCAGGTCCAGGCCTCGTCGGCCAGTCACTCGCAGCCTTTGACTGCACGTGGGGGAATGCAGCATCTCGATTGGTAGACAAAACTTAAAAACCACCTCGCGACCGCAACCACAAATTCAACGCGCCGAGTTTTCCATTCCCCAATTTTATTTTGGTTTCCTTGTAAGCGATCACACGGTTGCTCTTAGTTCTGATGCTTGGTTCGAAGAAGATTTCAATGAAAAAGACCGCGCGGATGGCAAACGGCGCCGCCGCTCATATGCCGGGCTGGAGGAAAGGCATACCGAGAACAAAGCAACCGGGAGCCAACGATTCCCAGATGCCATGGGGGTCGTCCAGAGGGCTGTACGAGGTATCCTCATCCTAGTAACTGCAGCCGCATGTTTTATGCAAGCGGCACGAGTTAGTGCGGGCGGTGATCAAGGCGTCCTCCCTGCTCAGATCAACCTCACCTCCACCGAACTGTTTTGCGGAATCACCGATCTTATGGAGCTTGTAGTCGTCTGAGACTCGATCTCACTCGATCTCGTAGCAGCCATTGTCGAGGATGGGAAAGAGAGAGACATGACGAGTCTGGCGTTCATCTATCTTCTCATATCTAGTCCTGGTGATACTTGTTTGTAGATCATGATGAAAGTTTCCATGACATAAAAACGATTCTTGGCAGAAGGCGTAACTCAAAGTTTGTCGCGTGTGTCAAGCACCAAAGTCTGCCTTTTTATCTCCGTCATTTTGACTTGCCGAATACCTGCTGTGCCTGCCTCGTAGCGGCGAATGTTAAATTTTTTCTTTTCTTCGCCTGCGTATTATCGCCTGACGCCGCTCATCAATCTCCAGACACATCACTCATCCACTCCATACACACACCATCCACGATGATTCCTTCTTCGACTCCTCCCTGTCCCGCTTATGATGACCCTTGTCGGCAACGCGCCCATTACTCACTGATGAGCATTCTCCATCTGGATATCGCTCCACCTACGACCCTAGCCAGCCTCCCACCTCCCACCTCCCACGGTCCCTCCCACGGTAGCCATCGACTGACCCTCTTATCGTGCAGCTCGGGGTTAAACCCAACAAGTCACATCATCCGCCGGCAGCACTCGGCCCCCCTCTTCTAATCTCATCCATGACCCTTACCTTCCCCCGATACCAATAACAATGGCACGCTGTCACGCCCCTCGTGTACCTTTTCTGTCGCTTGTGGACGAATGAATTGACCTCTTTGCTACTCGTGGCTCTCTCCCGCCTGTTTTTGGTATGCTTCGCCCGTTGCCAGCTCCCGTGGCACGCCTCTTCAGTGGATAATACCTCCCCTGCAAGCCATCCGTCACTTCCGTGCGACAAGCCTTTTTATACTATGGTCTGGGGCCTTTGACCTGTTGCTTAGCCCATGTCCGTCGACTCTCAAGCTTTGGCCAATTGACGAGCTGCCTTGGCTGTCGTCAAGATCGTTTCTTATTTTTCGGGTGCGAGTCTCCGCTTTCCTACACAAATTTCTTGTGCGCTCCATTTTTCCCATAAAAAAGCCGGTACCCTTTTCTTGAACTTTACTTCCACTCTGTCAACCTCGACTCATCAACATCTTTTACCACAACCTCCACGCCCCCTCAGCCTTGTGTCTCCTGTATTCCATCCTTGGTATATCCCATTGATTGATACACCATGGCTGGCAACGGAGAGGACGAGGTCACGCGATATGGGCCCAATCCCCCGCATGGTCCCGATGTTTCGGGTACTCACGCCCCCTTCGAGGATCCTCATCTGGACATGACCACAAATGAGAAGGACGTCTTCCGATACCTTCTGAAGCCCGACGACCTGTACGACGAGAATGGCGTCTACTGGGCTGACCTCCCCATCATCAAGCGAGTCAAGTTCGTCTCCAAGGTCGACCGAGAAGAGACCCGGAGAGAGTTCTCCGCCTTCTGGGAAATCTTCAAGAAGGACCCTCTGGCGCCCGTTGGTTTCTACTTCCGCAACATGGTTCTCCCCGGTGCCGGTCTCGGTCTGGAAGGTTAC